CCTCTATCGTGGTTTTGCACATCTCAGATTCACTAAGCGATTTAGAAAGCAAAGCTACCTTCCTGCATATGTAGCACGGCATTCAAAGACTGAACAAATGCTTTCTGAATAGTAATGAGTAGTTAACATCGATTGAAATTTTACTATGCACCAGACACCGTGCTGATTTTTATTTGTATACAATCTCATATCATCTTAGGAGAGAAAATAAGAACCCATGTTGGGACAGAGACTGGGACATAATGTCTTTGTTAAGGATATTTTGATGGCAAAAACAAAAACTCACTCAAGATAATTTAAAGTTGAAGGGGCAATGGGAATGTATTAGAAGGTTAATTGAAAGATCTTATGGAAACTCAAGGCAGGAATTAAATCTAGGTCTCAGGAGGTACTGTAACCACCTGAGAAAGCTATTTGGAGCATAAAAAAGCAATCTTTCTTTCTTTCTTTCCTTGGTCCCCTATTGCTGCTTTTCCACATCCTTGTGACTCCCTCTCTATTGATGCTTCTGCTGATTACCATACATGTGGCACCATGTGACTACACTACAGTGCCAACCTCAGCCCCCAAGTTTGCATCATTCCATTCAAGCAAAAAGCCCAGGCTGAGAGTAGCATCTAAGTCCCAAGTCTATGTTCCAGGGAAAGACACCTGATTGTCCCTTATTGGATCAGGTACTCATACCTGGCCTAATGAGCTGGACAAGGACACCAGTGTCACCTTAGAGACATGGCAGCTTGTGGTTCTTCCCTGTGGATGAAGGCAGGCACTTTTCAGAGCAGTGTGTAGGCTCCGAAGGCACTCCAAACTGTGTCTTCTAAAAGTGGATAAGAATCTGATAATTATAGAATCAGTAGAACCTGGTGATCAACTGAATGTGGGCATGAAAGAGAAGGAGAAATTGGAGATGACTCCCAGGGTTCTAGTTGGGGGACGACAAGGGTCAAGGATGAGAACCCTTCCACTGACGTGGCAAGTGGAGGATGATGAGGGAGTGAAGGAGCCTGTGAAAGAATAACATGAGGAAAAAGCCTCTCAGGTAAGAAAAACAACCCTGTCTAAGGTTTTATCTCAGCGTGATGAGCTCACACAAGCTCCCCTCTCCCCATGGCTTCCACAGCTCCCCCTGCACTCCCTCATTCTGACTTCTGCCACATGACCAGCACTACCTTTTCCTGGAGTGTGAAGATGTTTTCTCCACAAATTTGCCTAAAGTAGCCATAAGTCAAGACAGAAGGAACCCCTATCCCCACCCCACCCAATCTGGTCCCAATCTATTACTCTTAGAGGGCAAAAACTGTCCCATCATTATATCCCCCCGAGCCTAGCATGGGCAATTACAGATGGGCAATAAATATATATTGAAAGAGAGAAGAAATGGACATTTTCAAAAATCTTTTTACAAAATACTTAGGGAGAGAGATAACCACAGAAAACATAACCAGCATAAAAATAGCTAATTTCCAACTAGAGATTTTATTCTTAAAATGACTAAATGCTCTAGACTTATAAGTAGGGTGATCAACTTGTCCCAGCTTGCCTGGGACTTTCCAGGTTTAAGCATTGAGAGTCCCAAGTCCTGGGAAATGCTTCAGTGCCCAGCCACCGGGAATGGTTGGTCTCCCAGGCTGGTGTCATTTCTCTCGTGTCAGGCGTTAGCTTATTTCCTCTCAAGGGCAGCTAGGTTTGATCCTTTCCAGGCCAAGGTGAAAAGTTCACATCTCAGTCTCCCTTCCACACGAGGCCTTCCCACTCCTTGGCTTTACCGTGTTAACTAGGTAACTGAGATACGTTTAATTCTGGAACTTGTATCTCATCAATGCAAACAAAAGAGTAGTGGTTTATACAGCATTCAGTACCTGAGAAAGTGATCCCTGGAAGAGAACAGGAGGAGTTACTTGACTGTACTACAAACTGAATGTCAACACACATGGGTATCTACGGCCTCTCTCTAAGTCCAACTTGCGGACAGTAGCACTGTCTAAGTACTCTGTGAATAACGGATACAAGTAATCTGGACTTTGTAGTTACAGAAATAAGTACCCTTACTACCGATATATAAGTTGTCATTTCAAGTCATCGAGTCCCTTATGAGTGGGGTGTCCATATGTCCCTATTTGCTTGAGGCAGGCTCAGATTATGTCTGTTGCCCAGGTTTGATCATTAAGAACGCCCCCTTTCACTCTCAAAAGTGTCCTGGAATGAAAAAATATGTCCAGGTTTGGATGATAAATAATATAGTCACCACACTTCTGAGTGTATTTGTGACTCCCAGGGCCCAGTCATCCCAGTACGAATCGACAAGTCAAGCTCCTTAATGTTCACAGGAGCACTGGTGCCTAGATGTGAGGTGTTCATGACAATATGCAGACAACTCTGTGTCTTATCCCTTCCTCGCCTCTCCCAGCATTCCAGCCCTGCGCCCATCTCTCTCCTGACTCATAAATATATTTACTAGCAGGAACAAGTTTACAACAGGTCTCAGAATCTTTTGACAAAAATGTGCCAAAATATCAGTCTCAAATTTAGTTTCCTCTCAATATATAGATTAACTTCTTCTAAAAGACCTACCTTTAATTCTGTAGTCCTTTATGTTTCTCTATCATGATTAAAATACACTCTCTGTTTATTTTGCTGGCAAGATCAATTTGTTTACTTCTTTTGAGAGTGTGGGTTCTTTCATTGTCTATTTTAAGGTGTTAATAAGACTGGGCTGTGACAAGTATGTTATTCTATACAGTTCTAAAGCCTTGTGTGCAACTTGAGACTAAGGGACCCTGAGGATAGGAGGGATATTAGGTTAGTGGAGGCAGGAGACCAAAGAGGAAAGAGGATTCTGATCCTTTGGACAGTTGCCAGGTCCTCTGTACTCCTGGCATATGGAAATTCCTCCCATCCAGTGCTGCTCTCTATGCACACTGTTCCTTGTATGCCTTTAAATATGCTACGTGGTCCAGACTAGGAAAGAGATTTACACAGCTGTGTGCGTGTCTTCATGTGATCTTTTTATCCTTGGATGTTATAATAAGAACTACTTTAAAAAATCTGTTAATTATGAAAGTGAGTGCACATGCCACAAATTGGAACAGACCAGAATGGCATGAAGTGAAAGGGAACTGTCTCCTCTCCCACCCACATCCTGTTCCTACTTCCCAGACAGATACCCGTTTCTTAGGTACCTTTCCAGGAAATTTGTACATGCATACACATACACACACACATTTATGGATAACTTCTATATCAAAAATATTCTTCCTGAGCTCTTCTGTCTACAGAGCGCAAGCCAGCAGGAAGTCACGTGGAGTGAGAGGAGGAGGATACAGTTCAGTTCTCTCACAAACACAGGCTCACGACTTGTCTCCCCGACTGTGGCTTCTGCCCATTCCAATCCACCCTGGAGATGCTGCCAGAGCCATTTTCCTAAAATACTGCTTTCCTCATATCCCTACCCAGCATCTACGATGTTTCCTGTAGTCTATTTCTAAATTTTTCTGCCTAACTTGCAGAGCTTTCCTCTATCTTGCTCCATTCTATCTATTCAAATGTTCGTTATAGTTACTATTATTATTGTTATTATTAATCCTAAATCTGAATGCTCACCTGCAGAAAGGTTGGTTTTATCTTTTTCTCCTGGTAAACGCCACCCTCAGTCCCATCTCTGGGCTTCTGTGCATGTGCTTCTCTTGAGTATCTTTTCTTCTCCTCTCTACTCTGAGAAATGTCCCTAGAGATTATGACTAATCCTTGTATTGGGTAGGGGAGGAAACTGAACCTAGAGAGGTGAAGTGATTTCCTACAAGTCACATGCCTTTTTTCTGGCAGAGATAAAACTAACTCTTAGTGTGGACCACTGGTCTTTGTTTTAAACCACACTCCTTAGATCCCAGAAGTATTTCACTGGACCCACCTAAGTCACTACAAGGAAAAGAATAGATTAAGTGCAGTGAAATCATTACTCTATTAGGTTTGTTCAATGTCACCCAAGTGTGAGGTAGAAAGGGATTCCAGTTCATTCTAGAGGGGGTAAACCATGGGGCTGATCAATGAATTTAACCCTGATAATTTGCCCAGCAACACAGTCCCCCCAAGACTGGAACTTGCCCTGCTTGAGCTGGTGAACTCCTCCACCCACACCCGCTCACTCCTTTCCCCACACACGCGCTTCCCGCTCCAGCAGGGGTTTCTCCACTGCTGCCCTAGGCCAGCTTCCTAAACGTCTGTCCGCCAGTAGTTTTGTATGCCGTCTGCTCCCAGGCACTCATCTCCGCCAGGATACTCACCTTCTTATTCCCTTACCCTCTAATGCTGGACATTTGTCTGAATAACTTCTCCCCTTTGTCACCACAATCTGGCTCCGATGCTCCATCTACCTGGATGCACCTAGATACCTGCAAGCCCTTCTTCCTCTCCCATCAAGGGACGTAGTGTCCACAACTTGATGTTTCTCAGTCTGGCCTGTTCTACCACCTGCCAAGGTCAGAACTCTGTTGTTCAGGGCTGCATTAGGACTCTCACAGGCTCTGGGCACTTTCGTCTTTGTGGGCCCTTTTCTTTACAAAAAATATTAAAAATCGGATTTGACAACTATGTTGGGATAAAGACTAATTACTATAAACCAGACTGGATTCATTATTATATATCATTAATATTATATTTTTCTTTTGATTTTAAAAGAAATTAAAATATTTTTGTGGGCCCCTAAAAACACCATGGGCCATAGGCACTGTGCCTTCTGTGCCTGGTGGATAAGTCGGCCCTGCTAGAGTCAGACATTCTTGAGTTCAATGTTGCCATAAACTTGAGACATGGTCAGGGAGAGAGTAGGGGTGAAGCTAGTTAAAAAGAAGACAACCCTTTTAGTCTATCTACGGTGAATGGTTTCTCATTTTCATGCCTGATGCCTCATTTCCACTGTTTTTTTCCTATACCTCTCTTCTGCAGAGTGAATCATTTCAGCTCACTTTCAGGCCTAAGCCTGTTTGGGTGGCTCACTTTAGAGGATGGACCTATCAGAGCTTGGAGAGGCTGCAGCTTTCCTCAGAAGAAGCGAGGCTGAGCTGCGTCTGCTACAGGCCACGGCCTCTGATGGTAAGACTTGTGGGGGCTGCTGGCTTCACTTTATTTTACTGCTTCTAAGTCGCAACTAAGATATTTGATTGGTTGAGAGGAGCCATCAATTCTGGAGCCTAACTTATTTGCTTGGGGTGCAATTGTGTCTATGAACCTCTGACTGAGCAATTGAGGAGCTCAGAGTTGTCCAGGGTAGAGAGGGAAGTTTGCAATGAAGAGGAGGAGGGCTGGGAGGCAGCCCAGGCCCAGGCCCTGCCTACTTTGCCCTAAGACAGGTTTTCTCTTCAAGGAAGCACTAACACAGATACCCAGGAGCGGTCCAGACAGAGCTTTCTTCAGAAACCTCTTAGTGTCAGTGAGTACCATTGAAGAGAGAAGACTGAGACTCAGATGTGGGTGGGCTTTGTTCACGGTAAGGAAGAAAAAAGGAAGAACTCTGGGAAGGCAGGAGAAACAGAAGTTGTCCCCAGCTCTCTTCAGAATTTCCTAATGTTGGAACTTTGCCCTCTGGGTATCTTCTAGATCCTCAGGGTCACTCAGCCGACACTAAACAAAAGAAAATTGGTAGACTTTCTCACCCTGATTAATAATTTCTTGGTAGTTTCAGGCAAGGACATAGGTTAATGAGGATTTACCCTCAAGATAAAGGCTGAGTTCTACGTTAAAGTCTCTAAATAAATGCTACATTTTCCCTCTCCTTTATGTGTCTGGGCTGCATGGCCATCTTCTGAATTTCAGCTCATTGGAGATTTAGAGTCAGATTCACAGTGTAATCTAGCATCAAGCCGGCTACATATCTTAATTCCACAATTATTCAACTGTGCAACATAAATCCTGACTGAGTGTTGTTCTAGTTTTCAGTCAACATTAAACTTCAATATGACCAATTATAATTCAAGCCAGTTATGTAGGTCATTATATTTCCATCATAGACCAGTCCTGGATCAGTTCCCAGTTTCCAGTCATTGGATTTCACTGCTATGATTGGATTTTAGAGTAGCTAATTATAATCCATCAAATCAAATACAATAACAGAACCATCCCTGAGGTCAGAACTGGTCATGCAGAAGCTTATCGGAGGTAGTTAGATAAGGAAGGACTGAGATCACAGTGGTACCAGGGAGAAAATCAAAGTCGGGCCAAAGCATTAGAGATAATTGGATGATACATTTAGCGGAATCAGCATCGTAAATAATTACTTAAAATATAACAATCCACATAATTTTTAATTAATTTTTTTGGCCAAACAATCCTTTCTCACAGAAATGCCCTGACCGCAAACAGACGAGAGTCAGCAAAAGTTTTTCATCCACCTGGGCTGGTAGACGATGGAGTTTGCTTTTTTGAAGTCAGGCCAAATGGAAGAGGTGTGATAAGAGTATTTGGCAAGTAGTCTTGGGTTCAAATTCCCTGTCCTTGATCCTCTCTAGTTGTGTAATTAGAGCAAATCACTTCACCTCTCTGAGCCTTGGTTTCCTCATCTGTCAAATGGGATAATAGTACTTGCTTTGCCTACCCTCCTCCATGAGGACCAAATGAGACAATAAATGCGAAAAACAAGCACAATGCATTATTATGATACCTGGGAAAGAAAGCTAGTATTGCTGGGTGTCAGGGAGGAAGTGGGCTTTTAGAGATAAAGATGTAACACGATTCCAAAGCAACATGTAAATGATTTTTATATTAGAAAATGATTTTTAACCTATTAAAAATAATTACAAAACTGAATATAGTATTACTGCAATTTTGATCAATATCATAGAAAAAAGTCTTGAAAGAAATGCTCAGAATAGATAACAGTGGTTATCTCTGAGTTGTTCAATTATGGGTGATTTTTTAAAATTTCTTTATATATTCTCTAGTTTTTAAATTTTCTCCAATAAGCACTTTACCTTTATATTGGAAAATACATTTAATCATCTAAAAATGTGAAATCATATAGGCAAACCTCCTAACTTTACAGATGAGAGGACATGAGGCCATTGCTTTATGTGTTGTTACTAGCAAAGCCAGGACTAGGATCCAGGTGGCCTGACTCAGATCCATTGCCATCTACATTTCCATCTCTGCAATTTTTCATGAATGCAAAGAATTAAGAGTTGACTGAGTTCATTTACTTCATCTTCAGAAACATCCCTGTCAGGAACTGGGCTTCAGATAGGTAAGGGTATTGGAAAATTCTCCTCTCCCACTGTTTCCAGGGGTGATAACAGAAAGAGCTAATCGTATAGGTGATGACCCTAATCCTTGAGAGAAAAATTGGAGGAAAAAAAGCTAAGCATATAAACATATAAGACAGAGGAAACATGCTGCAGAGGAAGGGCTCTGATTTAGGAGGTAGGGGATCTAATTTCTAAAGTCATTATTCTAATGACTGCCACTAATTAGCTATGTGACTATGGACAACTCTCTTAATCTCTTTTCTCAGGTTCTTTTTCTAAAAAAAAAAAAAGGGAAATCTGTGCCAGGTGATATCTGTGTTTCCTTCAAGTGATTATATTTGGTTTAAAATGCAGTGCATTTACCTTATCACACAAAATGTATGTGAAATGGGTGCTTTTCAAAAACAAGCCTATTTTCATAGACGTAACACAAAGCAAAATCCATTTTTGCAAAAAGAGACCAAAATAGTAAGTACAATGCAAAACCAGTATTTAAGATGCAAATGACAAGGAGAAGCAAATGCAAAATCAGTCAGACAGGAGTGCAAAACTCTTGCCAGCGGTTTCAGTGGTGAATTGGTTGTAATCAGGGAAAGGAGGAAGGGAGCACAGCGTAGATTGTGGTGTCAAGAAAGTAGTGAGCAACCACTTTCTTTGCAGAGACCAGCATGGTAGAGGAAGGGGTGAATGCTGCCCCACTTCACCTCCTTCCTACATACTCCATCCCCAAGTCCTGTTGCCCACCTCTGGGGAGAGCATCTGGTGTGGGTGAGCATCTGGTGAGGGCCACCTGTCCTGCAGCAACGAGGCTTGCTTAGTTTTTGTGATTCATGTGTTAAGGGTGGTGGTGGTGACAGAGTTGGCGTGACCTGCCGGGGGTTTCCTCTGTGTATCCCCCAGCTGTTACAGCACAAAGGGCATGATCTGCTCGCTGCAAGACAAAAGCCAATCGTCAAGAGGCAAGATGATGGAAAAGAAAGGGCAATTTATTACAGCTTGCTAGCAAGAGGAAAGATGGCTGACTAATGTCTCAAAGAACATCTTAAAGGGACACAAAATCTTACAGCAGTTATATAGGCCGGTGGGTTACAGAGGAGGAGGTTAGGAACGTTGACACTCTGGTGTTACAGACTGGGAGTGCCACAGAGATCTTTCAGTTTTCACTGATGATGGCTATCAGCATAGACTCTCTGTTCAGGGGTCATCATATTCCTGAGGAACTCAAAAGAACAAAGTTATCATCTTATCACACCTGGGAGGTACATGCACAAGCAGGGGTCATAAAATCTACAGAGCAGTTAGATCTCCTGGAGGGTGCATATCCAGCTGGGTTAGTTTGTCAGAGGTCATTCAAAGTTACAATAGGATTTCTTTTCTACAACATGGCCTCCCTTATGTCAACCTTATCTTGAGCTGGTATCACAAGCCTGGGTTCAGATTTTCCCTCTTCCAGCCAAATACTTTCCTCTTCCCTTTCCCCCTGTTTACCTGGTGAGCTGTGACTGGGAACTTCTGTGAGCTCCTGGTAAGACTCATTTTCTTTTAAAGGTATATTTCTTATTCATCTTCCTGGGCTATCTGCCTCAGGCGGGAGAGAACTTGAGAAGCTACCTTAAGTATTCATGAGTTCTGGCTCATTTCACTGGAAACTTCTTAGTGGTTAATAGCTTTGTGGAGGGTTGCTTTGCTTAGGGATGGGACTTGGGGGTGAGGAGGCTGAGGAGAGAAAAATAATATATGAGACAAAATAATATGAATCAGTTACGCTGTATGACAAAAATAATGCATAGTCTCACTCCTCAATCCTCACTCCTCCAATTCTACCATGTAATTCTCTTAGCAGGCTTTCACTCCAAAATTAAAAATAGGTCTAAAGAAACCCTGAAAGACGGACATGACCACTAATCTAAATTTTCACTTAGTTGTAACTTTCTGAGTGAAGTGTTTTGGAGGGGAGCTGGGAAGAGTGAGAGCATCAGGTAAGCAGCCGGGACCTGGGATGGGGAGTGGGAGGTAAGTGTTGGGTTGGGAGGGGTGGGTAAGGTGTAGACGGGTAACTTTCTTGTAGCAAAATGGTATATGAGGTCCCCAGCCTCTGTTTGCTCAAATGTTTCTTGTTCCTACAGAGTCACTGTATGGGTATATCATCAGGATGACCTTTCATGATTTTATCTGAGTTTGCAGTGTCCTATATTGGTGACTCCAAGTCAACGAGCAGAATTAGCAGAAAAATGAGATCTCATATATCGGTGTGAAAGTGTCCAACATGTATTTTGTACAAGTATTGTAGTTATAATCCTTTTTTTTTCTCTATAGGGAAGAAGAAATGCTGGATTTGTGATGACAAGAATGCTTATGTTGAGGCTGAGGTTAAAGGGAGGGGAGAGGACGGCAAAATCATTGTTGAGACAACAGATGGAAAGGTAAAGGAATATTTATTTTATCTCAGGGATGACGAAGTTCTCTATTTAATCAAATAATTAAAAATATCCTTTCTCTGATAGTTTAAAAACCTGGGGTAGGAGACGCCACTGATACACTTTGGAAACCTCATTCTCTTTAAGAATCTCCTCCACTTACTATCAAAGATTTAATGACGACCATTGAGAAAATCAGAGTAAAACGATTGCCAGTGGTCAAGATCATTGACCCCAGAACTCACAACTTTTCTCACTTCTTTCAGAAGTTTCAAGTTTTGTTTTTTTTTAAGGTGCCCCTTGGAGTGAATAATGACCTAAGGTACTATGAAGCAAGCTGTGTTTGTGTTTGTAGGTCAAGAAAGAGATCTTGCTAATCTGAAGAAGAATAGCACAGCATCAGAGAAGCCAAGAGATGGGGGAATGGTCAGTAATGTCAAGTGCACAAGAAAGAGATTAAGGGCTTGGAGAAAGCCTTGGATTTCAGAATTAGGAGATCACTTATGACCTTTGAAAGAGCAGGTCAGGACCAGTGTTGGGGCATATGCTAGACTGTAAGGGTCATAGAGGGAATGTGTAGTGAGGACGCAACAGTCCCCACCCCCTTTTCCCTGTCACCAAGGCAAGGGGGCAGCAGGGTAATACTGAGCAGACAGCCCACTCTCAGACCCTTTGCCTACATCACTGGCCTAAGGTGGCCTGCCAGCCCTTTGGCAGTGAGCTGGGCCCTACTTCTGGCCTGACTCAGATGACGCTTCCTTATAGATTTTACAGATGATTCTCAGCCCATACTCACTTCTCCCATCTTCCACTTCTGCCCCAACTCCATAACAAACAGGTATAACATCCTGTAACAACACAGGTACCATCACTATCAAGAAAGTTTGTCTTTTTCACTCCCTTATCTTTGTGTTTGGACAATGTATGATCTAAAGCATTGCCATTTGAGGTGGAAAATTCTGGAGGCCCCTCATAAATTACCACTTATGGTGTCTTAATACGCCTTCCTGACAGTATCAGGAAATAAAAAAATCCAAAATTAGGTAGATTTTATATAACTCACTAATGGAAGTAAGGGAAGAACTTGGACCTTCTCAACAGAAACATAAATAGGTAGGCAAGGGAAAATTCAGAAGAAGGAAACAGAAGGACTCAGTTAGGGCCATTTAGCCTGGGGACAATCTCTTATTAAAAGAGAGAAAGCAGTTTTGAATGCCTCTTTTCCATCATTGTTCATGCCAACTTTTATTTAACAACTTTTTTGAAATACAATTTGTAGACCATATAGTTCATCTCTTTCAAGTATATAATTCAATGGTTTTTAGCTTACTTCAAGAATTATGCAACCACCACCGTAATCTAATTTTAGAATTTTTGTCATCCCGAAAAGAAATCTCATACTCATTAGCAGTCATTCACCATCCTCCCCTCCCACACCAGCCCCAGGCAACCACTGATCTAATTTCTTTCTCTATAGATTTGCCTATTCTGGGATTTCAGGTAAATTGGGTCATACAACATATGCTGTTTTGTGTCTGGCTCCTTTCACTTAGTAAAATGGTTTCAAGGTTTATTCGTGTTGTAGCATGTATCAGTACTTCATTCCTTTTTATAGCTGAATAATATTCCATAGTATGGATATACCACATGTTGTTTATTCATTCATCAGTTGATAGACATTTGGGTGGTTTACATGTTTTGACTATTATGTTTACATTTTTGGCTATTACATGTTTGGCTATTTGCCATGAACATGCGTGTGCAAGTTTTTATGTGGACATATGTTTTAATTTCTCTTGGGTATATACCTAGTGGTGGAGTTGCTAGGTCTTATGGTAACTCGTGTGTTTAGCATTTTGAGGAACTGCCAAACTGTTTTCCAAAGTGGCTGCATCATTTTACATTCCCACCAGCAATGTATAAGAGTTGTAATTTCTCTACATTCTCACCAACATGTTATTATATGTCTTGTTGATCATAGCCATTCTAGTGGGTATGAAGTGATATTTTAGTGTGATTTTTATTTGTATTTCCCTAATGACTGACACTCTTTTCACATGCTTATTGGCCATTTGTGTATCTTCTTCAGACAAATGTCTATTCAAATCCTTTGCCCATTTTTTAATTAGTTTATTGCTTTTTAGTTATTGAGTTGTAAGAGTTCTTTATACATTCTGGATACAAGTTCCTTTCTAATATATGATTTACAAATATTTTCTCCCAGTCTGTGTGTTGTCTTTTCACTTTCTGGATGGTGTCCAACTCAATTTTATTAGGCCTCCAGATGAGAGGCTTGCTCTTCTGAGCACATTTGCCAAAACTGCTGTCTTTTCAACAGTATTTAAGGTGATTTGTAAACATAATGTGCTTACAACTATGATTTTCAAAAGAAATCATAGGAAGAAGAGCATGAAAGCAATAAGTTAATGATGTAGAAAGAGGAGTCAAAAGTGGTTTGTTTTGTTCTATTTGTCCTTCCACCATATAATGAGGGCCCATTCCTCCAGCCCCACTCTGCATCTCCCTGGCTCCAGGCATCCTTCTTCTGATGTTAGAAATGACTAAACTTCCAATCACGTTGGTCTTTGCAACATTAGCAGAGGCAATAAAGCCAGTGGGTGTAGAGTAATACTTGTGGAAGAAAGTTGGTAATGAAAGAAGAGAAAAATAGAATCAGACCTAAAGGGAGGTATTTGAAGAAATAAAAGACCAGATTATGTTCTACGGAAGAGAAGGAGTCCTTGAAATACAGAAGTTGAAAGGACTCAAAAGAAAAAGGGTTACTGTTGGAACAATGTCAAAGAAGACTGTGGGTAGGAGTTGGATCAAAAATAGAGAGAGAGTGAGAGCCTCGGAAGAAGAAGCCATCACCACCTGGGATTAAATGGAGCAATCAGTTGATACCAATATTTATTAACCAAGGAAAAAGGCTATAGGAAATAGTGTTAAGAAACTTTTGAGAGCAACTCTGAGCAATTATTTGATAATAGCAATGCATCTATATTAATCAAGAGATAATGTTGAATAACTACCATGTTCCTAGCATTGTGACAGATGCTTTAATAACTATAGAAGAAGACAATATCAAAACTCCTTCTTATAATCTAGCTGGGAAATAGTCTTAACATAGTCAATTATTAAAACATATGCAAGAGTTAATGATATCAAGCTAGTACAGGTTGCATATATGATAAAAGACTTTAAAAAAATGAGCTGGAGGAGTTAAGGATGGTTTGAGGAAGAGGATAGGTCTTGAACTAAGTCTAGAAGGATGAGTCTGCTTCCTTGGTCTTTCACTCCAAATTCCTTCTTCTAAACCTCCAGGATATGTTGAGACATCTAGAAAGGAGCCAGATCACATGTAATATGATGTGTGTACACAGAGGCAGTCAGAGTCTGTGAGAGACACAGGATTAGGGCACTACAATTTAGAACACTTGATTCAACAAAACACTTTTTTAAAAACTTCAGGCAAGGAGAGAGCATGGGCAGGAGAAACACCTGTTTCTTCTATTAAGGTGGGTTTAACTTCTGGCCCCATCCTCTAATGAGGCATCTTTTTCTTGACTCTGAAAATTCTTTCCAATATATGGCAAAATGAATGAGCATAGAAGAAATGGGGAATATAGCTTAAATTTTTCTCCTTTCTGCAGAGTCTGAGTGTCAAGGAGGATGAAGTCCAGCAGATGAATCCTCCAAAGTTTGAAATGATTGAAGACATGGCAATGCTGACTCACCTCAACGAAGCCTCTGTGCTGCATATCCTGAAGAGGCGCTATGACCATTGGATGATCTATGTGTGTATATGTGCTTTACTGCTGAAGTATCACGCTAGCACTCATATTAGTGATGTCCCTGCCCTCTCTTGGGTGAAAAAGATACACTGAATTTAAGCATACGCACATGGGGATAATCCTTGAGGAATGCTCACTAGGAAGGGACCTTATCTTAGCATTTCCCCAATTTTATTTTGTCTGTATTCATAGTCCTTCCCACAGGTTGTCATGCTAAAGTAGAGGCATGAGGCTCAGAGCCTGATAGATCAATGTCCAAATGCCAGTTCTGTCACTTGCTATCTGTTAAATTTCTTATCTTCTTGTAGTCATCTTACCTGTAAAGTGGGATATAATGCATCTCTCCATGGTAGCGTGGAGGATTAAATAAAAAAATGAAAAACATGTAGCTCAATGCCTCTTACCTAGTTGGTGCTCAGTATGGAGTGATTTTTTTTATCATCACTAAATTGGTGATGGTTGGTTGCTCAGATTCTTTGATTTACTCTGAACCTATTTAGCAAAAGCAGCGCTGAGTAGATGAGGTGAAGATGAAGGCATTTGGGACCCATTGCTGTAGAAGCCTTGACATGCAGCCAACGTGCTCCTTGGCTCTCTGATTTACCCCATGACTGTATTAGTTTCCCTGGGATGCTGTAACAAAATTGCCACAACCTGGGTAGCTTAAAACAACAGAAATTTATCCTGTCACAGTTCTAGAGGCCGGAGTCCAAAATCAAATCAAATCAGCAGAGTTGCGCTCCCTCTGGAGCTCCTAGGGGAGAGTCGTTCCTTGCCTCTTCCAGTTTCTGGTGGCTATTGGCATTCTTTGTGACTGTATCACTTCAGTCTCCGCCTCTGTCTTCACATTGCCTTCTCCTCTGTGTGTCCATATCTTCTCCTCTGTGTGTCTCTTCTAAGGACACCAGCCATTGGATTTAAGGCCCACCCAAATGTCATCTTGAGATCCTTAACTTAATCACAACTGCAAAGACCCTTTTTCCAAATAAGACCACATTCACAGGTTCGGGGAATTAGGACATGGACATATCTTTTGGGGGCCGCAATTCAACCACTGCAGTGACTGAGTGACCCACATGAACTCCTGTTCTTCAGTGCTTTAGATGTCAGGCTCCTAATCTTGCTGAAGCACAGATTCCCTTCTGGCCTCAAATGCCTGATAGCTGATTACCGAAATCTGCAAGCCTGCTGTTAGCGTCCTCACAGTCTTTGAAAGGTGTATGTGTCAGACACGTTAGTAGTTAACAGGCCTCCCAGGGGGGAGGTGATCCCAGGTCCTGTTGTTGCTCTAACCTAGTTCTGTCTCTTCCTGTTAGAAGTCCCTTCTCTGCAAGCATCCAAAAGCTCCCCTCCTTTTAGTTCCTTTATAAGTAAATATTCGAGCAAATGTTACCTGACAGCGAAAGAGCTGACAAACCTGGAAGTATTTCTAACCTGTTTTCTGAAATCTGTTCTGATCTTCGCTCAGACATATTCAGGTCTCTTCTGTGTGAGCATAAACCCTTACAAGTGGCTTCCAGTGTATCAGCAAGAAGTCGTGGCTGCCTACAAAGGGAAGAGGCGATCACAGGCGCCCCCTCACATCTTCGCTGTTGCCGATAACGCCTTTCAGGCTATGCTTCACAGTAAGTGGCCGCCCTACAAAATGTAAGGCAAAAATATCTGATCTACTTTTCCTCTGTGTCACTAAGAGGCACGTAGGCATTGTGATAAGAGCATGACCTTTATAGTTACCTAACCGCTTGAAGCCTCTGTTGCCTTCTAGATAAAACGTGGGTAAAATAAAGCCTCCCTCCTAGAGTTATGGGGATGATTAGCTCACGTATCAAATTAAACGAGATGACGCATTGAAAGTGTTTGCCCGGTGGCTGGCCCGGAGTAAGCCCCCTGTAGATGGCAGCTTTTATTACAGAAAGTGCCTGTTAGAGTTTCTGGCACAAAGAAGTTTTTCTATAGCTATTATTACCCCATGCTTCTTAAAAGGCTTAAAATGGCAAATATGTCAATCATTAGTCAGTTATCATTTGTTTCTGGAGCCAAGAAATAGGCCTAGAATTTGTATGTTCTTATGACTGGCATACATGGGACAAGAGAAAGTCTGTTTTACTCTGTACCATTTAAATGGTATTTTTCCTAACTGTATACAGAGCAAATCCTTTCCCTTGTGTCTGATTTCAAACTGCAACCAAGGAAATTTTGAATAAGTTCATACCAATATGTAGAAGCTCTGGCAGAAGAATGTTCTGACGATTTCCTTTCTTTTGCAGATCGAGAGAATCAATCTGTACTCTTCACGTAAGCATTTGCCTTGCTTTTTCATTTGGGCCAGCAGTGAGAGTTTCAAGGGAAACGGACACCCACGTTTCACTGGGAATGAAACATAAATTCACTGTCTTTGAATTGTTTGCTCTTTAGACATGGAATACACTCTAGGCAAGAATAAGATATTCAGGAAATTGTCATAACATTTTAGTTAGTGATTACTCCAAATATGGTGCCAGCTAGGCTGCCTCCACTATTTTAGAAGATCTTTAGGATCCACAGTGTACAAGCTGATCTTAGTCATCTTCTTGATGGAGAAAGCTCCCTGTCCCAAATGATCATTTTCAATCATCTGGACTGGCTAGTTAGGCAGAGAGGCTGAAAGCCCAGTGGGTATGACCATGGAACAGATAACATGCTATTGTGGGCAGCCAGATTGCGGCAGGTCAAGGTCCATTATGTAGTCAGAACTAAAAGATGGTGAGGATTGGAGGAACAAGGAAAAGGGGGTGAGAGGAAGGAAGGGGAAAGGACTTCAGTGATACCATATTGTATGCTAATTTTGATGGGAAGAGCATTGGCTGGCCCGGTGAACTGTCAACATGGTGGCTGAGGGGATAGGCTAAGACTCAAGAGGCAGTGAAATGCTCAAGCCCTTGATCTTCCTATGCAATGATGATGCCATCTCATGTGTTGGGCTCTCCACTGGCTTCAGCCACCCCAAGAAGAAGAATAAAGTCTCAGAATCATAGAGCTAGAAGGGCAGATAGAGTTCAGCCCTTGGCAGAGAGGATAGACTATTTTCTGGAGTTTCAGACAGATAAAGGCAGACCTTGATCCTATGACGCTTTGCGTGATGAGGCTGTAAATTCACCACTGTGTTCTCCTCACGTTACAAAGTTAGCTGGTTATCAAAGGTAAAAGAGAAACCTAAAGGCCAGCTGCCTGGTAAAATGATTGGTAGGCCCTCTTCTGAGGGCGAGGGCTGGACCTGGACAGGTGGTAGCCTTAACATGTGAAAATCTCAACAGTTGATAATGAGGAGACCTGTCTCTATTTAATATAGGTGCTCTTCAGCTTTTTGTTAACAGGACCATGAGGAATAGGCTGCTTGTTTTTATAAAAATCTTTGATCTTTCTTTACTCCAGATTTTTGCTCATGCTGTTTTTTCAGCTTGAGATGTCCATCCCCTTCTCCCAAACAATTAAATGCCTCCATCTCCTTCAAGTTCCATCTTAAGTTCCACTCTTCCATAAAATTTTCCCTTCTTGCCTTAGCCTGTATGATTAAAATTATTTAACTTTCTTTGCATTTATAATTTGAACCAGCTAACTGTGTCATTGAACTTCTAATCACAGAGGAGAATCTGGTGCTGGAAAGACTGTGAACACCAAGCATATTATCCAGTATTTTGCCACCGTAGCAACCATGGGTGAATCCAGGGAAAAGCCGGTAAGTGTCCATCTGTCTCAGAAGGAGAGGTGAGGTGGTTCTATCCATTGATCATGGAGGCTCTGCCTTGATCACTTAAGGGGAGAATGAAGGGGAAAATAGCCATACAACCATCAGAAAATTATAAAAAGTCTTTTTTCCCATATTTCCTTTGCCTCTTGAAAGGATCATCAAGTACTCCAAACCAATAATCCCAAAACATGAAATGACATAATTTGTTTCAGATCTGCTTTAAGAGGTATTTACTGGCCTGATCTTTGTTGGTCGGACCCTCCGAGAATTAGGCACTTAAGATCTAAACCATCTTCCCTAAAGGCTAGGGATGACCTTCCCTAAAGGTGATCAATGCCTTGAACGGCCACTTTTGGTACATCTGAATCACTTTAGTTACTGTGAGATGTCAGACTCCCACAGATATGCACCAGTAGGAGTCTGCTTCCTTCACCACCATCTCCTGGATCAAATCCCAAAGACTCGATGGAGTGTTTAATTACATTCCAGGTTCTGAAAAACTTTACTTTCTCTCTCTATTTAATTATTTTTATCCATGGCTATTTTTAATTTAGCTTACTTTGTTTAGCTCCATTAACAGGTTGATGGATTTCATAATAATTTGAGAATAACTAGACCATGAGAGTTGGCGTGCAAAATAAAATTAGATAATACTGAGTGGAACTCAAAATCAATGAGTTATTGAGCTGTTATGACCTTTCATCTTTCTAAGTCTGACACTGTTGTTTGTTTTTGCAAAGTGAGAAGTATATCAACATAGCAATCTGATCCAGTTTTCAAACCATGGAAACTTTCTTTTCCAACCACCACATTCCTGAATTTGATTGATTTCTTTAGGTATCATTGAACTCTATTATTCACTAGATGTTACTTCATTTTTGTGCATATTTTTAGTTGTTTGGTGTGTGTTTGTTGGATCTAGCCATTGAGCCTTAGGATAATATATTACACAATACATAATACGTAACACTTCTATGAAAATCTTTGCTCATATAGGCCTTTACTTATTTAAAGGACGGTAGACCCATAAAAACTAGAAGGGATATGGTATTTGTAAATCTATAAATTCTTGAATACCATATACTATATGATTCCCCCCATAAAATGGGTCTTTGAGGCTATGTGGAAAACAACAAAGCTGTGTTGCAATGTGGGTGCTGAGTGGTTTTTCAGACTCCTTCTGTGTAGATGACCTGCTCTGGCCCATCAGTCTGAGCACACATCATTCAAATTGAAGACCAATACCATTACAAGTCACTGCTTGGTATGGACCTCTAGATTACTTAGGAATGTAATTTAATAATGCCAAATTTCGGCTGTATTATCTTAGGGTAAATTTCCGGGTGTGAGGATTAGATGGGAAGAGAAGAAAATTAACAATGAGGGGGAATATGGAGTGAAGTTTGGAAATAGACTTTTGTTGTTGTTGTTGTTTATTTTGGGAAATATTCATTTTCTTTTCCTACTCAGGCCTATGCCCACCCAAAGAGAAGCACTGTGAATAAATGAGTTCCCACATATACTCATAGGGGCATCGTATATTAAGTCAGTCTCTCATCTATTTTTCTGAGTTCCCATTCCAAAATAACATTTTATAACTAAAATTGAAGCAGCTTTTGGCTACTGGTTATCAAAGTAAGAATGAGGTTTGACCTGGGTTTGGAGGGTTTGCCACATTATAGAATTCTGCTCAGAACTTCATCAGCTGTACTTCTCTTACCTGTCTCTCAGGGGACTTTAGAAGATCTAATCATGCAAGCGAATCCTATCTTGGAAGCATTTGGAAACGCCAAAACCCTGAGAAATGATAATTCTTCTCGTTTTGTAAGTAATGTGATTGATCAGTATATCAGTCTTTAATTTTTAAGCAAATTTTTACACAAATGGTAAAATTCATGTCTGAGCACATAAGTCTCAAAAAAAATTACTAGAACATCAAAGAAGGGCTTTGATTAAAGTTTATAATATTGTTAGATTACTCAAAAAAATTTACCATCTTCATCATTAAGATGACTAAAACTACATATAAATATGTACCTGAGAATCTTCTATTGTTTGGTCAATTTCAGGAAGAAATTATTTATCTTAGTTTCAAATTCCTTTCCACTCCAAGTAGGGAAAGTCACCCAGCAAATTTTAATAATGTTATATATTTTATCACATTTTACAGATTTGAAAGTACTTTCTTTTTCATAATTTCCTGTACTCCTCATAACAAGTTGATTTAGGAAGCACTTCCTAATTCACTTACTACAATTATTGTTTCTACTCTTGTCTATGGCCCCTCTATCCCTGCATATTTTTCATTGGGGAATTTTTTTTATTGGGAGAAAGTACTTTTTAACATAGCTTTTGATAACTAGCAGTCCCATAATAGAGGAAGAATTTGGATTTCAAACCCTGGCTTCACAAATCCATTTTAGGCCAAGAGTGAGTGGCAGGGAGCCACTATATAATTTGCATGGAAATTTGCAGAAGGCTTCCTGTTTGAGTCTCTGGGCAAAATTAAATAACAGCCTGATGCTGATTTGGCTGGTTTCCATGCGGGGCCTTCGAGCTGCCCTGCGGACACTCACGTCTGCCTGCAAGGTCAGCCTGCAGAGCAGGCGCCCGTCCCGGGCCCTGAAGGACTGCTCGATTCGGGATTTGTTAGAACGTGAAGGGCTTTTCTGCTGAAATATGAGAGAAAAAAAGCTGGAAAATAAGAAGAGAGAGAAAAGAGAGGGAGGGAGGAAAAAAGATAGCTGAAAGAATCAAAGAAAGGAAGCAAGGAAAGAACAGCAAGTGGAAAGAGATAAATAAGGAAAGAAAGCAATTGAAAAAAACAAGAAAAAAGTTGGAAGGATAGGAGGAAAGAAGTGGAGAAGCAAAATAAATAAAGATGGATGAATGGAAGGAAGGAAAGAGAGAAAAGGGAGTCCAGAAAAAAATCCGGCTTAGATTCTTTCAATTAACACTATGTATGTATATATGTATACACGTGCAAATGTACACATGCATGTATGTACACATGTGTGCGTGTATATATGTGTATATATACAGGTGTATGTTTGTGTGTGTGGCACCCATTATCCTACATTTTTTAACGTAATGGCTCAATCCCCCTGTACGTAGCCACTCTCCATCCTTTGCCAGGCTGCTGTCCTGCTCTGACTCCTTCCTCGCATGGGGCAACCTCCACCAGGCTGCCCCCCGTCCTGCACCAACATCCTCACTCCGCAGGATCTAGCTGTCCCTGGACTGCCACCTTGGCTGCATCTTGTGTTCTAACGCTGGCTCTGTCACCTCTGGGCAGCCTTTCTGCCCCACTAGGTCCTATCCTATGGCTCCTCACTGAGAAGGAAGGATGGGAGTCCCATCTATCATTTATGCTGAAGTGTTTTTTGGTTTTTTTTTTTTTGCTTGAGGAAGATTCACCCCGAGTGAATATCTGTGCCAATCTTCCTCTATTTTGTATGTGGGTTGCCACCTCAGCATGGCCACTGATGAGCGGTGTAGGTCTGCACCTGGGAACCAAGGCTGGGTGGCCAAAGTGGAGCGCGCTAAACTTAATCACTAGGCTACAGGGCCAGCCCCCAAAGTGGGGTTTTGAAACATAAATCAGATCACACCACTCCTCTGCTTAAACACTCCCAGTGTCTCCTGAGCACACATGAACTAAAACCCTCCTCTTCCTGTGGCCCACGGGGCTTACGTGATATGGTGCCTGGTGCCTGTCTACCTCTCAGACTCCGTTTTATGCCCCCCTTTCTCTTAACTCACCAAACTCCTGCACAACTGGCTTTTCTTTTGATTTGGAAACATTAGAGCTGTTGAATTTGCTGCTTACACCTAGAATCTACAAGAGTTGGGACCACACCTATTTTTCTAATGTGGTATCTTCAGTGCCCAGCAGGTTTCCTGGATCATAGTAGATCCTCAACAAATGTTTGTTGAATGAATGAAAGAATACATTAAGCAGATTCTATTTTTCTCATTTTTAGATAAGAACACTGAGGCTAGAGATGTCCAATAATGCAGACAAAAGTACACAGCTAGTAAATGGCAGGTCGGAGACTAGAATCCAGGACCACTACCAGTCTTGATGATCATTCTGGCTTCCTCCCAGCATTCATTAACAGTGCCATCTCAGACCCATGTTGCATTTTTTTTAACTTTTGGAGAAGTAATCATTTTGGGAGTAATGTGCATAATGAAGCCATTGCAACTATTTGGAGTGTTTGAGTAGGTGACTGTGTTCTGTGTCCACCCAGGGCAAATTCATCAGGATGCACTTTGGTGTCAGAGGCAAGCTGTCATCTGCAGACATTGACGTCTGTAAGTAGTCATTGCACTATCTGATTACTTTTCTTCTAAGTTTTGCGAGAACACCTAAGGATGAATCTTTATCCATTTCTCATCCTGCAGATTTGCTTGAAAAGTCCCGGGTGATTTTTCAGCAGCCTGGAGAGAGAAACTACCACATATTCTATCAAATTCTGTCTGGAAATAAAGAACTGCGTGGTAAGTGTGTTATTCTGCAGCTGAGGGTCATTCCTAAACAAGAGACGGAAGTCAGATTATTGGGGCTAGAAAAGTGCTGTTTAGTAAGTCTCTTAGGCTCTTTAGAACTCAGTTTATTCATCCTAAAATGTAAGGAATTGAACTGATTATAGAACCAGTGTTCTATAATTTTATATGGGTAGAGAGCAAATAGTAACGCTTTTTCCAATTTGGTAGTGTTTGTAGGTGGGTAGGATGCCCAGCAGAGTTAAATGAATCTGTGTGTGTGTGTGTGTGCCTGTGTGTGTGTGTAAAAAGTATTAGATCATTTAAGTCGTTAAATGATTAGAACCACATGGTTGGTATAGACAAGAGGCCAGATGTGGGAGACATCATCACGGTGTGAAGCAGTCAATGGGAGTTTTATAAAGAAGAGAGGGTTTGGGTTGGGATATCAAGAATGGGAAGGGGATTTAACCAGAGAAATGAGTGGAGGGTATTTCCATTAGGAGGAACAGTGTACACAATGGCAGGGAAAGGCAAGGCAAGAGCAGGGAGCAGAGAGACCAGGTTGGCTGGAGGAAAGTATTTGCATAGAGGAAGAGTGGAGATTTTATTCTGATGGTTTCTGAACTCAGGGAGTTGGGAGTGTGTGTGTGTGTGGTGTGTGTTGTGGGGGTGGGGTGGGGTAAGAGGAGGTCATGATTTGTTGAGGGCAGTGACAATTAAGCTGGTGTGATGGGCAGTATGGACTGGACGCAAAACTCTAGAGGGAAGTGATTATGGTAGTCCCAGTATGAGGTGACAAGTCTAAGGCAGTGTCTGTGGGAATTCGAGGAGAAGGTGATGAATTCATAGAAGAACAGAAAGGTCTTGGCAATGACTGAATGTAGGAATGAGGGACAGTTATGAGTCAAAAATACTCCCAAGTTTTGTACTTGACTAGGATAAAGGTAGTGCCATGAACAGAAACAGAAAAGCAACTTGTGGGGTGAGAATGAATTTCAGGTATTCATTCAACAAATATTTATTGTGGGACTGTGATGTGTGTACTAGGCACTGCTTTTGAAGCATGGGGGATAGAGAAATAAAGAGACAGACAGGTCCCTGCCCTTGTGAGCTTCCACTGTAGTGTGGAAGACAGGTAACAGACAAGTAAACAAAGAAATATATAGTGTCAAAGAATATTAGTTCTACAAAGAAAAATAAAGTTGGGTGAGGGCACAGAGTGAACTGGGGTTTGGGAGGATAGTGGGTGGTTATATTTTTGATAGCATGGTCAGACAAGTTCTCTCTGAGAAGGCAATATTTTTGCAGACATGTGAATGAGTGAGGGAGCAAGTAGGCAAAGATTTCCAGGAATAAAGTTCCATGAGGAGAGTCAGTGAGCACAAAGGCCTTGAAGCAAGCATGCATTTGGTTTATTCTTGGAATAGCAAAACGGCCATTGTGGGTGGTGGAGTGGAGAGGGTAATGCAGGGGGAGATAGACAGTGGCCAGACCAACAGCACCTTGCAGGCCATGGCAGAGGGTTTACATTTTATTTTACGTGCTGTGGGAAGTCATTGGAAGGGGAGAATGGCAAGCTGGTTGGATTTCAAAGGTATTGCATATAAAGTAAGCCATTGAGGACAATGATGCTCCCACAGGAGGGGATGTGGGATGAGATTGGAGATCCAGGTGAGCAAATTGATGGGGAACAGTCCCCCCAGCCCCTTACGCTTAGATTAAGTATGGTATAAATCTGCCGGTGTTTTGACTACATGGTCTTCAACTCCAAAGCGCCTGCACCAGATGGGGAAAGTTCTGCAAAATGGGCGGTTATTTTTGCCACAGGTGTAATTGGTGAAATGTAAGAAGCAGCTATTTTCAATACTTCCCCCCTTCCCTCCACCTAAACCTGGAATAGAATGTTTTGATCTTCCTTTCATTAACCCTGCCAAATCTGACATTCTTGACACAAATTTCTATGCTGTGCAGACCATCTGACACAGGGTCCAATGTGGGTACCAGCAGTGACGACAGGACTTTTAGGAGCATCTCTTTACTAAGACACTGTCTGGTCTTGGGGAAAATTCATGATTGTCCTGAGTTCATTTACCTTGTTGAGTCTTTGGGGATGCTGAGATTGATTACCGTGCAGAGACTGACATCTGGTGGTCCAAACTGGATATTGTGAGTCCTCTTGTTCTGGACACCAATTGTCGTTCTTTGGGACGTTTTAAAATTTGGAACTCTTTCTATTCATGTTTGCCAAGAAGAGCTTCAGAGTGGCCCAAGGACTGATACAAGAGGGCACATCTCAGCAATATGAGAATCATCATGTCCAAATTTCCAAAAATATGAGCATTTGTGCATACTACAAAAGAATCAGGTTTGGAAATCACAGCCGAGAGGCTGGCCACCTGCTGAAGGAGTTGAGGAAATGGGGTGATGTGTTACCCCAGAGCCAGCCCCTATCTAGCCTCTACATGGCCTGAATGTCCCTTCTCCCCTTCTCTTTCAGGCAAGGTTGACCCTTGTTCCAGGCACGGCAAAAACCCACTTCCCCACCTCCCCACGTCCCCTCCGATGTGGCTCCTTCGAAATCTTTTAGTACTTAATGCCATATGTATAGTTTGGTCCCATGTATATCTTCGTTTTTCTCTTCTTTTCATTGACTTTTTGTTCTTTCCACTTATTTTTTGCATCCATTCTTGCTGTTCAACTAACTCATAAACTCCAGGAGGAGAGGTCAGGAAACCTGTCTTTGCCTCTTGGAATCCTTGACACTTTGTCTAGTACCCTGAGTATTCAGTCTATAAAGTGTGACAGTAATGCATAGTGGTGGCTGCCAAGTCTGTCTACTGGTGGCCTGAATGCCTCTGGGGAAAGAAATGGTCAGCATCTGGACCCCCTATTCTGGAGCAGATTCACTTTACTCATTAGGTCTCTCTTGAACTAGTCTCATATCTTTACTCCCTTTCTCCCCACTGGTTGTAAGGGGGCATGAGATGTGTGTGTGGTTATGCAGATTGTGTACTTCCCAACTCCAGAGAATGCTATTCAAACTGTAGACTATGTAAATGATTCTCTCTGGAGTTGGGCAGTGCACAGTCTGTTCCGCTGTATGTTGCAGCACTGAGGAACAGGTAATGATGGGTGATGCGGCATAGAGGCGCTAGCTACAGAATTTTATTTGTGATCCTAAACGTTTTTTGGCCTGATGTCAGCTTTGCTCCTTTTCATGGTGAACACAGCTGAGTTTTGGAGAACGTTCGGCCATGCAGAAAGTAAAATTTAATGTTAGGATTACATGTAAAACAAAGCCTTGAATGAGAAAATACTCAATCTTAATGGGCCCTTTGCATCTCCTACTGGAGAGTGGGCTCTGGAAATGAATCTGCACGAAGGTTGACACCTATACTCTGAAACTGTGAAGCAGTTGGCTTTTGCATTTAGAGTCCTGTCTATGCTACCCACTCCCACCCCTCCTGACAAGCTCTCCTGTTCTCCATGAGCCCATGATCTGGTCAAGAATATTCTATGTGGGCCCTTGCTGGCCTGGACAGTCTCTCTGTCCCTAATAGTGTCTCCTAAAAATGCATTCACTTTTTTTTTTCATTCTTGTAGGGCTGTTGCTTTTGGTAGAAATGAGATTAATTGAATAAAGGAATCCCTGTTTACATGATACTCCTCCAAGATAACCTCAAGCCTTATCCCAATTAAAATTCATTGCTCCTTGAAAATAATGTTGATAAGTCCCAGAGGGGAAGATGTTGGGCTAAAGGCCTTTCAGAGTTCCTCAAACATGCATGCATGTAGTCTGTACATCCTTTAGAGCCACAACTCAAAATTGAGCATAGCTGCTCAAGCAAATGGTTAGGCCAGGACAGCAGCCATATTTCTGGTTGTAAGGAGATAGAAGAAAGACCTATTAGGTGTACTTAATGACTTCTACAACCAATGCAAATGGAAGCAGGGAGGTGCTGAGGGAGAAGTTCATACACTGCATTCCGCCTTACTGCCAGCCCCCTCCTGAATCTTGACCCTGTCCTCCTCCTCGTCCTCTAGACCTCGGGCACATGGTGTTCTTCTCCCCGATCTCTCTTCCTCAGTGTTTGTCCAGTTGTTGAGCCTGCTTGGATGGAGGCAAGACCCTCCTTCTGTCTAGCATAAAGAAGGAAATGGAATCTCATCACAGTTTCGGACACAGGTTTGAGTAGGTGGGCCGGGCGTAGTCTAACAGACATACCAGAGACTATGTTCTCAATTCAATTCATCATTAATTTGATCCTGGACAAGTAGTGAGCCTTTCTAGGTTTCTGTCTTCCTGTACTCCACATAGAGAAAATAATGTCAAATGTAGCACCTTTGCTCATCATAACCAGGATGAAAATGATCAAAAATGACATAATAAACATGAGAGTAAAATGAAAAGTATATAAAAGGTCATGATTTAGAATGATCTGAAAGGTAATTCTTGGCAAAACAATCTTGGAAAGTAGATTTTTTTTTTAACAAAAACATGCCCCCACTCTAAAACACGCAGCATTTCCCGCACTGGTCAGGTGTGTGGTCCTCTAGCCTCCCTGAGGTAAAGGACCGTGTTATTTTTGTATCCTCACCTCCTCCCATAGTGTATGCCTATCGTAGAGAAAACAGGTTAAGTAAATGCTCTGATTTGAAAGACATGGAGATGATGCCTCTATTTGAGCTGTGAAGGAAGTGAAGGGACAGGACAGTCATGGGACCTAGGTGTCTGGCCTGGGTAGGGTGGTGACATTCACTGGCATAGGGAACCACAGAAAAAGAATGGCTTCAGAGCAGACATAGAAAACATCATAGATTCAATTTTGGTAGCACTGGTTTGAGCTACATCTGACCATCCACATTGAAATTGTCTAATGGGAAGTTAGAGATCTAGGTCTGGAGCGCAGAAAATAAATACAGATTTTAGAGTCATCAATAAAGCTATGAATGAACCTTGCAGAAGAAGATATCGGGATGTTCTTGACCTTTAGAATCGTGACAGTATTTCACACCACTGATTACTCCCTCCTCCTTGAAAATCTCTCCCCTTGGCTTCCAGTATACCTCCCTTCCTTGCTTCCCTCCTGAATCTCTGGGTGTTTCTTTGTGGGTTCCTCTCTTTCACCTAGCCCGTGATTTTAGAGTGCCCTGGGGCTCAGTCCTTGGGTCTGTCTCCTGGTGACCTCATCTAGGCTGACAGTTTTAAAGATCATTTCTATCTGTTGACTGCCAAAGTTTGATCATGAGTCCAGACTTCTCTCCGGTATTCCAGACACAGAGCTAACTGACTCTTCTATTTCTCCTCTTGGTTTGGAGAAGGGCAAAATTATATGAGTCTTACAATGAAATTTACTTGTTACTGATTTTTTTATTCTCTTATAACCACTATTTTTTGAGAGTTTTGCACAGCGTAAAATGACATAATCATAGATTGCTATGTTTTAGGCTATACATAGGGTAAAAACTATGGGTTTTAAATGTTTGGGGAAATTCCTATGGAAAAAAGAGAGACATGTAGAAGAATCTCTAACAAGGTTAACGTGCATGCCCAAGGTCTTTTGAGATTTCAGTGTGTAAATTTCCCTTTAGCTTACACAAAAATAAAATAATTTAAAAGAAAAAAATTTGTCTAGAATTTTATAAGACAGAATCATATGGTATATGTATACTCTTTTTTATCTGGTTTATTTCACTCGGCATAATTATTTTGAGATTCTTCCATGCTGTAGCATGTATTCATAGTTCATTCACAGGCATCTCAAATTTAATGTGCATAAAACCTAGTACCTGAATGCCACCCCCAAGGCCTGCTGCTACCACAGCATCTCCCATGTCCACTGAGGCAGCTCTATCCTTCCACTTGCCTTGGCACAATCCCTTGGAGTTATCCTTGATTGTCTCTTTCTCCCACCTTATTCTCATTTGTTCCATCAGCAAATCCTATTGACCCTACTGTCAAAATCCAAGATCTGGCCAATTCTCACCAACTCTCTTGTTACTACTCTGGTCAGATACCACCATCTGTCTCCCGGATTACTCTACAGTCTCCTGCCTGGTATTCCTGCTTCCACCTGCCCCTCTGTCTTTAACCCAGCAGCCATGGTAAATTAACAACAACAACAAAATCAGATGACGTCACTCCTCTGCTCAAAACCCTCCCATGGCTTCCTGTCTCACAAACAGCATAAATGCCCAAATCCTCCTGATGGCCTGTGAGGCACTATGGCCTGGCCTCTCGATGCCTCTCTGACCTCATGACCTACTCCTTACTGCTTTCTTAATTTGCTCCTTCTTTGACCCACCTTAGCCAGGCAAAATGGCAGGGAAGCTCCCACCTCAGGGCCTTTGCATTGGTGCTTTCCTCTTTCTAGAACATTCCTCCCCTACTCATCTCCATGGTTCTCTCCCTGAACTCTTTCAGGTCTTTACTCAAACGTCACCTGATGGAAGCCTTCCCTGATCACCCTATTAAAACTGCAACCCTGCATCTCCAATACTTTTTACCCCCTTTCCCTGCTTTCATTTTTCTTTGCAGCACTTATTACTATCTTACCTGCCACAATTTTCATATATTTTACTTTTTTTTTTTTACTTGTCTCTTCCTGTTAGAATATAAACTTTATCAGGGCAGGAGCAGGGATGTTTTTTCACTGATGTATCTCTGAAACTTACAGTCATGCCTGGCACATTGTTTGATCTCTACAAATATTTGTTGATATAAAGTGAGGCATGAGGAAGAACATAAGGAGATTCCTGCAAAGTGTTAACATTTAAGGGAGTTTGAATCATCATTCAAGTAAATACTTTACAAAAATTATGGATTATATTTCTATTAAAAAATATATATGTTGTACTTGCCTTCAGCCTGATTCCTTTCGGCTAGCCCAATTTCTTTTTACTTCTTAGCTTTCATAAAATAGTTTTATGGAAGTATTATTGACATAAGTGTAAGTTTTGACATATGTATTCATGAGGTGAAACCATCACCACTATCAAGATAATGCATGTGTCCGTGCAAAATTTTTCTCGTGATGTTTTATAAGCCCTCTCTCATGCCCCTTCTCACTCTTTTGAGCCCTCCCCTCCCCACCCGGTCCCTAGGCAACCACTAATATACTTTTGTCACTATAGATTAGATTGCATTTTGTAGAACTTTATAAGACAAAATCATACAGTATATACTCTTTTTTGTCTGGCTTATTTCACTCAACATAGTTATTTTGAGATTCTTCCATGTTGTAGCATGTATTCATAGTTCATTCCTTTGTTTGCTGAGTAATAATCCAGTGTATAGATGACAACGGTTTGTTAACTGTTGATGGACATTTAGGTTATTTCCAAATAGATCTGCTATGAATATTTGCATAGCCTAATTTCTTTGTTTCTGAGATTTGGGTTCAGGATAACAGAGCTTCACTTCATTGAGTGATAAACAGAAAAACCAGATCAGCTCAAAGACACTCCACTGCGAGTGCGTGTTAGGCATTAAGAGGTTAGTGTGATTTGGCCGAGAGAGTGGCCGCTGTGCTACCGACAGCCTGCCTGGGCTTCAGCCTGTGTTATGTTTCCGACTAAGTGAGTCATGTCAGGCGTCTCAGACATATCAGAGGAGCAGCACTGAACACAGTAACTGATTTATGGGTCCCTTGAAAGACAGAGTCAGCCTCCTAATAGGGCGGACATGATGTGACAGGATTACACTGCTAATGTTGCCTGGGTGCTGACCCCAGGGCCTGCCTGCTCCCTAGCCTTTGAAGCTCAGGCCTGTTATACTTATAATTTTACAAAACATTTTTTGTTTTCGCCCTCAACCACGTATCTAGGCCAAATTCCTGTTTTCAAAATTTGGCCAACGCACATTATCTGTTTTTTTCACACCAGTTCAAGCTGCTGCAATTGCATCTGCTTTCAGACTTGGCCAGACTGGTTTTCTCTTGGGAGGCATTAACACACGACTGACAAGTTAATGGAGGGCAAAAATTGATTGCAGAGGTTTGGGTGTAGAATATGGATTTGATTTTGGCTTGTTTACAAGTATGCTATGCGCTGTAAGAGTAAACTGTGAATATTGGTCAGTTATTTTCTAAAGCCTCGTGGATTTCTTTAAGCTGTTTAACTGATGCTTTTCCTGCTGCAGACATGCTCCTGGTGTCTGAGAATCCCTCTGACTTTCCCTTCTGCTCTCATGGAGTAGTTGCTGTGGAGAGCTTGGACGATGCCAAAGAATTGCGGGCCACAGATGTAAGGCTTGTTGGTTATCAGAGCAAAGTCTGGTAATAACAATGAGAAATGAAATAAAGCTTCTTAGGTCTCCTTTCTTCCAAAGGGTCCTGGAGAAGTGACCTTCCTTCCCCTGGGGGTGGAGGGTGGAAGGAGCCTCTCCAGGGCTGCTTCTGTCCAAAGTTGACTTATTTATTGTAACAATGCACCTTGCCAGTGTAGTAATTTTGGAACATACGGAAAAGTGGGAAGATGTTTCAACTCAGTGGCGGCCACTGTTTTTATTTGGTATATATCATTACATTCTTTATTCTTTTTTTCAATTTAGGGTTGCTGTTATATAGTTGTTTGGTGTTTTTTTTTTTTTTTAATAAAAGATCATAATCATACTGCATACACTATTTGGTATATAGAGTTTACTTTTTCAGTTAATCTTAGAAGCACTTTCAGTGTTATTACAACTCTTCATAAACATTTAAATGAATACTTAATATTTTATCTGTCATTTGTTCTGTAGTTTATTTAGCCATTCTCCTATTGTTAGCTTCAAAGTTTTTTTTCTACTGTGGTGAATGTCTTTCTAGGTAAATTCTTTTTTTGTGTATCAGATTCACCTTATGCTAAATTAATCCCTTTTTTTCTTATTCACATTTAAAAAATCTATAGTCTTGCCTGCTTACCAAAAAGATTTGAGGCATCTTACAATGAATGATCTGTCTAGAATGATCATTAAAATAGAAAATCACAATTATGAAAAGAAGGAAGCATAGTTATTATAATCATTTCATTTAATATTAAAATTCCCTGGCAACTGAAACAAAAAGAAAAAACCCATTCATTCAACTTTCAACACATAATTTTTTAATTGAATATAATTTTATAAATCTTAATGTAATTTCCTAAAAGTGAAATTACTAAGTAAGGATTATGAATTTTTTATAGTCTCTTGATACATATTCTAAAGTAACCACTGGAAAGACTGTAGCAATTTCTAACCTCCTGGGTATGTGAGAACACACATCGTACCACGTGCAGTGCCTCCTTAGGATGTAGTTCCTTGGTGACATCGTTTTTCTTAAACACTTCCTTTCACCAGTCTTTGAAATGTGTCTGCTCTGGAATAAAGTTGGGAGAACATATGGGATCCCAGAAATAAGCAACCCATCAGATATGGTGCTACTTTCTGCTGTAACCGTGAAAGGAAGACAATTTACCTCATATAGTCAGTTAATGATGTGTTGCTGGAAGGGAGAGGAGGGGAGCAGGGCATTGAAGGAAAGTTCTAAAACTACTGGAAATTAAACAAGCCAAGTCTTGTGCCTTCCTAGTTTTCTTTTAAAGGGATAAGCAGACTGCAGGTGACCTAGTGCCAACAGGGCCAGATTTGCATTGCTTTGAACAGAGCTGTCCCACCTTGGGGCTGTGGCAGTCTGTCTCCTTCCCTTCGGCAGCCCACAGCCCGCAGAGTACAGGGAGGTGTGACACACAGCAGGGGTGAGGCGCTTACTGCAGCCATTAGGCAAATGAAGACACGGCCATCTGTTTCTCTTCTTACAGCAAGCCATGGACGTCTTGGGCTTTCTTCCTGATGAGAAGTATGGATCCTATAAACTCACCGGAGCTATCATGCACTTAGGAAACATGAGATTTAAACAGAAACCCAGAGAAGAGCAAGTGGAAGCAGATGGCACGGAAAGTAAGAATTCCTTCGAAGACGTGGCATTTACTCTCCCAATCCCTGACCCCAGACCTGCTGCCCTTTTCCTTGCAGTTGACCTCGCCTCTTGTTTTTTGGAAACTGTTGAAATTAATCAGCAATCTCTCTCTATTGCTGTTCCTCAAAATTATTCTCTCAGTCATCATTTTGAGGTAGAATCCTTACATCTCAGAATAAGAAGCATTCTGTAATTAATTATTGGTGATACCAGTAAATTTGCTCAACTTGGGTGCTATAGGATTGACTAAGACATAGCCTGCCTTCAGCACATAGACTGTTGAGAAAAACCGAGAGAGGAGCAAATTATCGTAAGATGTACTAAGTAACACAATGGAGGTGTGAACAAAGATGGTCAGAATTCCAAAGGTGGGGTTTCCACTGGGTTGAGACCACAATGGCTTCATTTCTCTTTGTTTTTTGTTCACATTTAAAAAATCTGTAGTGTTGCCTCCTTACCAAAAAGATTTGAGGCATCTTAAAATGAATGATCTGTGTAGAATGATCATTAAAATAGAAAATCATGATTATGAAAAGAAGAAAGTGTAGTTATTATAATTATTTCACTTAATATTAAAATTCCTGGCAACTGAAACAAAAAGGGAAAACCCATTCATCCGAATCTTTCAACAAATAATCTTTTTAATTTTATATTTTCAATTGTAAAATATATATAACATAAAATCTACCATTTAAACTATTTTCAAGTGTACAGGTTAGTGGCATTAAGTACATTTCACATTGTTATGCAACCATCACCACTATTCATCTCCAGAACTTTTTCATCATCCCAAACTGAAACTCTGTACCTATTAAACACTAACTTCCTATTACCCCCTTTCCCCAACTCCTGGCAACCATATTCTACTTTCCGTCTCTATGAATTTGACTACTCTAGGTGCCTCATGTAAATGTAATCATACAATATTTGTCCTTTTGTATCTGGCTTATTTCACTTAGCATAACGTCTTCAAGATTCATCCATGTTGTAGTATGTGTCAGAATTTCGTTCCTTTTCAAGGCTGAATAATATTCCATTGTATGTATATTTCACATTTTATTTATCCATTCATCCATTTATGGGCACTTGAGTTGCTTCCACTTTTCACTACTGTGAATAATGCTGCTGTGAACATTGGTTTTCAAATATTTGTTTGAGTCCCTGCTTTCAATTCTTTTGTAAATGTACCCAGAAGTAGAATTGTTGGATTAAATGGTAGTTTTATGTTTAATTTTTTGAGGAAACACCATGCTATTTTCCACAGTGGCTGCACCATTTTACATTCCCACCAGTAATGCACAAGTTTTCCAATTTTTCCACATCCTGGCCAATATTTGTTGTTTTCTGGAGTTTTCTGATAATATAGCCATCCTAATGGGTATGAGAAGGTATCTCATTGTGGTTTTGATTCGCATTTCCCTAATGATTAGTGATGTTGAGTATCTTTTCATGTGCATATTGGCCATTTGTATATCTTCTTTGGAGAAATGTCTATTCAAGTCCTTTGTCCATTTTGAATTTGGTTGTTTCTTTTTTGGTGAGGAAGCTTGGCCCTGAGCTAACATCTGTTGCCAATCTTCCTCTATTTTGTATGTGGGACGCCACCACAGCATGGCTTGATGCGTGGTATGTAGATTGCCCGGGATCTGAACCTGCAAATCCTGAGCCGCTGAAGCATAGCGTGTGAACTTAACCACTATGCCACCAGGCTGGCCCAAATTTGCTTGGAATAATGATCATAATCATATTGCATACACTATTTAGTATATAGAGTTTACTTTTTCAATTAATCTTATAAGCATTTTCAGTGTTATTACAAACTCTTCATAAACATTTAAATGAATACTTAATATTTTATCAGTCATTTGTTCCATAGTCTGTTTAGCTATTCTCCTATCGTTAGCTTCAACGTTTTTTTTTCTACTGTGGTGAATGTCTTTCTAGGTAGAATCTAACTCTTCATCTCACCCTGCCCCTGCTACCAACTCTTCACTTCTCAGTCTTCTTAATAAATGTCAACTGGATTCTCCCAGTGGCCCTAACTCAAATCTCAGGGTCATCCTGAACTCCTCTCTTTCTTGTTGTCTCTACCTTTAAATGCATGTAAAACTCACAACTACTCACCATGACCATGTCCACTGCCACCACCTAGCCCCAGACACCATTTCTTACCAGATTATTGCAATAACCTCCCTACTGGTCCCCTTTTCTCCATCCATGTCCCGGTACTGATAGTTCTGCACATAGCAGCCAGCGGTGATCCTTTCATAGTGTGTCAGTCTATGTCTTCTCCTCTGCTCTAGACTCACCAATGGATCCCACCATAACTCAAAATAAATTCCCAGTCCTCATCATAGCCTCCTTGTCCTCTTTGATACCTCTCTAAATCTGTCTCTAATCCCTTCTCCTACTGTGCTATTGTGATTTGTAAGAAGAAATTTATATTTGGTCTTTGTCCAGTTTCTGGCACAGAGCTCCTAAAACCCTTGGTATATCCTAAGTGGTGAGAGTAATGAAGGTGTCTTTTGTTATGTTAATGAGGTGACTTTCAGACTGCACCTAAGGTTGGGGGCTGGTCACCACAGACACCAACCATGTGATTAGAGAGTTGGAATTTACAGTCCCACCCACCCCTTCCAACCTCTCACTCCTGGGAGAGGAGAGGGGCTCGAGATTTAATCAACCATGCCTATGTATTGAAGCCTCCATAAAAACCCAAAAGGACAGGATTTGGAGAACTTCCAACTTGGTGGAGATTTAGGGAGAGTGGCATGCCTGGAGAGGGCATGGAAGCCTGGCGCCCCTGCCTCATACCTTTCCCTGGACATCTCTTCCATCTGGCTGTTCCTGAGTTATATCCTTTTATAATAAACTGTTGATCTGGTAAGTAAAATGTTTCTCTGAGTTCTGTGAGCCTCTAGCAAATTAATTGAACCTGAGGAGGGGGTCATTGGAACTTCTGATCTATAGCTGGTTGGTCAGTAGCTCAAGTGACAACCCGGACTTGTGATTGGCTTCTGAAGCAGGGAGGCGCCGTCTTATAGGACTGAACCCTTAACCTCTGGAATCTGATGCTATCTCCAGGTAGAAAGAGTCAGAATTGAGTTGAATTGTAGAACACCCAGCTGGTGTCACAGAATTGCTTGGTGTGGACCCCACCCCGCACCCCCACCATGGGAATTGGGTTCGGAACCTTCACCCACTATTTACCCTTCTCTCCATCCCCTCCACTCAGCCCCGCTGGTCTCTTGGCTCTTCTGGGAGCATGCCAGCACCCCTGTTGCAGGATGTTTTCACTGATTCCTCTTTCTTTCTGGAACTCCCTTTTCCCAGGTATCCTCATGGCTTACTCTCTCACTTTATTAAGGTGCCGTCTTGGATGTTACCTTATCAGAAAAGCCTTCCCTGGCCACCCCCACCACTTTCCCATCACTCTCATCCCCTTACCCTAAATATTTTTCTTCATGTCATTCATACAGCTATTTTTTATTGACTATCCTACTCCTCAGTCCCCATCAGATGTAAACTCCGTAAGAGCAGAGACCTAATTTGGTGTGTTCACTGCTGTTTTTCTAGGTTTTAAAACAGTACCTGGCACATAGTAGTAGGTAATTATCTGTTAAATGAATCCTACTTACTCAGGGACAATCACTGTTAATGCCACAGGATGTATCTTTCATATCTTTTTTCTAGCTGATTATGCACAGGTAACTTTTTAAAATAAAAAAAATGTGATTCTACTCTTTGTGTTGTTTCATTTAGATTTTTTCACTAAATTATATGTGACCATCTTTCTTCTTGTCTGCAATATCCTTATAGATGGCTACAAAAAATTCCAGTTTATGGATATATCATAATTAATTTAAATATCTCTTATTATTGAATACTGAATTTTTTTCTACATTGTTGCCATCATGAACAAAACCTTGGTGAACATCCTTATAGATTCAAACATATATATATTATTTTCTTAGAATGAACTTCTGGAAGTAATTTTTTCTTTCAAACTGCCCTATATTTTACCACTTATATTCCCACCAGCAGCATATGAGAGTGACTTTCTCACTGACTTCACCAACATTAGCAGTTATCATTTTTCTCTTGCCAATTAGCTAGGTTTTGTTTTACACTTAAATATTAATAAAGTTAATTTTTTTGTATGTTATTACCTATTTGTATTGTTTCTTCTTTTGGATTTTTGTTTCTATCCTTAGCCCATTTTTAAAATTGAGGTGCTGGATTTTTCTTATTGATTTCTAAGGGCTCTTAATATATGAAGTTTTGGTCATTTTTTCCCAGTTAATCATTTAGGAAGGAAGTGAAGGAGCTAGACAGGGGGAGAGGAGGGTGGAAAGGGAAGGACACCCAGACCTGAGGGGGCATCCTTGCCTTTACCTCTTTCTAGGGTTCCAACCCCACATTTCTACCTTTTTGCTGCATACTCCTGGTCCCCTAAACTCTGCATGGTTAAACTCAGTGTATCACCTTCTCCCCCACGTGATGTCTTCCTCTCGACTTTTCATATTCACTTCTCTCTGCTCTTCTGTCTGCTCTCGGGCTGGAAACCTCTTAGTTGTGTTTCTCAGCCTCTCCTTTCCCCTTTCCTGTTACTAGTTTAGACCTGAGCCACCTTTCACTTGGGCGTCTTGCAATGGGTTCACTTTCTCTGTACTCTGTCCCCTCTGGTCTGTCTTGCACACTTCCACAAAATTCACCGTTCTGAAGCCCGACTCTGCGCCATTTCTCTGCTCAGAGCTCCTTTAACATTTCCCCATTATTTGAGTAATACCTTATAGTGACATCAGATGTCATCTATGACCAGAAATCACCCGCTTTTCTGTTTATTGCTTGCTCCCTGACTGACTGGTTCAATTTGTCTTCTCTGACCACCCCTGTGCTCTCCTGCCTCTGCGCCTTTACCTCATGCAATTCTCTGTCTCAGAAGTTCTTGTTCCTGTGTTGGCCTGTCAAAACCCTCCTCATCTGTCAAGGCTCAGATCAAATGCTGTTTCTCTTTTGGAACTTCCCTGGTCATGCAGTCTAGAAGGGATCTCTGCCTATTTCAGACTTTCCTAATTCTCGATTTCTTTGTCTCTCATGCAGTAGTTTTACTGACCCACTATTTTTGCCTGTTTTTTAATTCACTCTCATGGATTATAAACTCCTTGATGCCAAGGATTTTTTGTCTTGTTTGTCTTCTCACCATGGCATCTAGCACCAGGCCTTGCACACAGCAAGTGCTCAGTAAACTTTGTTCAATAAATTAACAAAATGTGCACAGCTCAGAAATCATATTCTAACCCTACCTAAAAGACTAATTGAATGCCATTGTCACAACCCCTCTTTTAGATTAGCCAGATTGTGGATTGACAAAACTGGATTTTGTTCCTTTCTTTATATCTGGTTATTTACAGATGGGACTGAACTGGGATAGAATTGTAAAGTTCAAAAGGATTGTCTTTTGTTTTTCTCGCCCTCGTTACCTGTTCTCAGGTGGGTCAGACCTTGTTCTCTCCACCTTCTTGACTTCACAATGTAGTTACCAAACCTGGATACCATTCTCCCAACGGTAGTATTCAAACTTGGCTGCATATTGGAATAACCTGAGGAGCTTTTAAATATCTGAAGCTCAGGCCTCACCCAGACCAAAGAAAACCAGTCTCTGGGGGTGGTTTCAGGCATCGGTGTTTGCTTTTACAACATGCCAGGGGACCCCAGTTTGCAGTCAAGGTTGAGGACCACTGTAACAAGCACTCTGTTCTCAACCCTTCCTGTATATCAGAATCTCCCGGGGAACCTGGTGAAAATAGGCCCAGACCCTAACCTCTGTCAGCAAGCCCAGTCCTTTGTGCCTTTATTAGCTTTCCAGGCTATTCTCATCTACACCAATGTTTGAGAACCCCTGCTCTGGCTAAATGTTACCTCTCCCAGGTGAGATCATACAGCCCAGTTAAAATCCATGGGTTTGTTCACAAGGTCCTGAGGGAATGACGTGTATTGGTGGGAATTGCATAAAGCCTCTTTTGGAAGACCTCAGGTCACATGATGAAAATGTGTTTATAGACATTGCTATATTCACAACAGCATTTCCTGAATGTCAGATGGACATTTATTCATAGATTTAAACTATTTTCATCTTGGTTGTAAAACTGTAAACTTTTAGTGAAAATTAAGTCATTTATTTATTTGAACATGATAATCACTATTTTCTGTCAAAAAAAAAAAAAAAAGGAGAACACGTGTGATGTATAATGTACACCTGCAGGATAACTCCAAGCATACTAGCCCTGTCTGTCGATATGTGGCTGTCTCTGGAGTAGGTGAGAAATAATTCTGTAGTGTTGGATGCTGCTTCTCTTAGAAGTTAAGGTGGGATAATATACAGAGGATTTGCGTTTCCTTAGTTCATGGATAAAAATAGACTCAAAGGACTGTTCTTTACATTAGGAAAAAGATGTATGAATTTGAGACTAATTACCTATGTTGTCCATGTGCATGCTTCCAAAGCTTGGAAAACCAAACTCCTTTTTTCTGGACAGAAAGTGGAATTGCTCATTTTTCACATTATTGATTACTATTCATCTCCACTCAGATTCATCAGGCATGTTGCATTTCTCCCTTTCTCTTAAATATTTTCACTTTGGGTTAGATGCTCTCTAAAGTCTCTTTCAGTTCAAAAAGTCTGTCGTTCTGACCCAGTGGATTCTCAGCTTGAAATAATCAGGCTTTTGTCTCCAAACGTGGCACTCTTCGCAGGGATAGCTCGGCATAGGATGGGCCTGTCTGCTCTACTTTTGATTTTTCCATTTATTTTCCCAAACAAGCTTTGCATTTTGAAAGGTTTCATAGCAGCTGAGTACCCAGGCCATTATCTCTGACATAGACTAGGTATGTAGCTTGCAGAAATGTGTGTGTAATATATATTGATTTTAGTTAACCAGCAAATCAAACATGTCCAGCTTTTTAAGCCCTTGTGAAAATTTTAAAGGCCCACCAAAAGGAAATTGATATCATGATTACAAATGACATGTAGCTCTCTAATTGTGTTTGGTTTTTACTTTATTCTCTGTTTGTGGTTGTTGTTCAGGAAATTTTGTACTTCTTGGCGAAGTAAGGGAAAACTGCATTTCCTTCTATTATTAGACATTATGTTACAGAGTGACTACATCAGCTATACCAGCATATCTCAGGATTCTTTTAAAATGGAAGACATAGCAGAGAGGTTTCAGATAAGTGAAATATTCCTTTTATTTGCTAACTGAAGAAATCTACCATTTGAAATGTGCTTATAACTTTTTGCTTGTGGCACTCTTTTGTGTCATTGTCGTTTTTAATACATGATGTGATACATGCCTATTTACTTTTCCTTCTGATAACACTCATTCCTCTCCCCTTCTTTCCTTAGAAAATGGAAGCACCGTTGTATAAAAGTACAGTTGTGTGGGTTGCGAGTATTCTTGTTGGGCAGCAGAGGGCACTATGGAACAAACAGAGACTTCACAGGAGAAGGAAATGTTTTTGATAGGTACTGGGCAAGTGTCCTGGCTTCTGTTGATTCGTGGTTGTCTTGAATTATCAAATAACATGGCAGAAGTCTCTGTTCATCCAAAGAATCTACAAATATATATGTAGAAGGGAAAAAAAGGCAAATAATAAAGATGAAATGTTTCCATGTCCTTTAGATAAATACTTCTTTTTAGAAGGGTCCAGTATCAAGAAATAAATACTTTTTAAATTTGAGCTATAATTTATATACCATAAAATTCCTTTTCAAGTATATAATTCACTGAGTTTTAGTGTATTCACAAGGTTGTGTAACCATCAGCACTATCTAATTCCAGAACATTTCATTACTCCAAAAAGAAATCCTGTATCCAGTAGTAGTTACTCTCCACTCCCTTCTCTCCCCAGCCCCTGGCAACCACAAGTCTACTTTCTGTCACTATGGATTTGCCTATTCTGGACAATTCATATAAATGGAATCATACAATATGTGGCCTTTTGAGTCTGGCTTCTTTCACTTAGCATAATGTTTTCGAGTTTCATCCATGTTGCAGCATGCATCAATACTTCATTCCTTTTTATGACTGAAAAATATTCCATTGTATTTATATGCAACATTTTGTTTATCCATTCATCAGTTGAAGGACATTTGGGTTTTTTCCACTTTTTGACTATTGTGAATAATGCTGCTAGGAACATTTGTGTACAATTTTTTCTATTGGGTGTATACTTAGGAGTGGAATTTCTGGGTCCTATAGTAACTCTAATTTAACTTCTGAGTAGCTGTCAACTGTTTTCCATAGTGGCTGTACCACCAGCAATGCATGTTACATTCCAACCGGCGATGCATGAGGGTTCCGATTTCTCCACATCTTCACCAACACTTATTGTCTCTCTTTTGTGTGTGTGTGTGAGGCAGATTGGCCCTGAGCTGACCTCTGTCAATTTTCCTTTTTTTGCTGAGGAAGATTAGCTGTGAGTTAACATCTGTGCCCATCTCCCTCTATTTTGTATATGGGAATCCACCACAGCAGGGCTTGATGAGTGGTGCATTGGTCCGAACCTACGAACCCCGGGCCACTGAAGCGGAGCATTCAAACTTAACTGCTACACCACTGGGCTGGCCCCCTTGTCTGTCTTTTTGATTATAGCCATTCTAGTGGGTGTGAAGTGGCATTTTGTTGCAGCTTTGATTTGCATTTCCAAGAAATAAAATCTTTTAAACATTTAGGATCCAGGCATTTATTTTAAAACTACAGTCTACCTTGCTACATAGGTCTAAACACATCATCCTTGCTACATAGGTCTAAACACACTCTATTTGACTATAACGGAATGGATTTTAACAGCGTTTTTCATTTCCCTCTCCCAACTCTCCTTGCTTTCCACCGTCCTCTCTCCCTCTCCTTCTTTCCCCACTCCTTCCCTCCCTCCTTCCTTTTTTCTCTCCCTTTCTTTGTTCTGACCAGGTGCTGACAAAGCTGCTTTCCTCCTGGGAATTAACTCCTTTGAGTTGGTGAAGGGCTTGATCCAGCCTAGAATCAAAGTTGGTAATGAATACGTTACTAGAGGTCAAAATGTAAAACAGGTAAGGCGATATTTCAAGAGTGTTGTGATTCTATGATCCTGTAATAATTGTCTACATATCGTACTTGTATGTTTTTCAACTTCTGACGATGTCTGCAACAAGAGCTTCTATTAAAAAGCAAAAAAAAAAAAAAAAAGCTACTGTGGTGGGTATTCCAGATGTATTCGTGTGACGCGTCCCGCAGTAAATGCTCTTATGTTAAGAGCCTTTCTAGCCTGAAATATACCGTTTTGACAGTTTCGTTTAGGTAACAAGTCTCTTTGCAGATGGAGGCAAGCCCTTTGCTTGTGATCAACATCTTTGTTGTCCAGCTAAGAAGCTCTCAAAGTTAGTGGTTCCTGACATAAATAAAATTGGCAAATTCGCATTCCTCGCCTATTTGGGATATCGACTCTTTAGAGTAATGCATTAGTTGAGAAAGGGTTGCAGAACATATGCTGAGGTTAGTATTTGAAGGGAGGAGGGGATTGAGAACAGAGATGAGAAACAGATAGTCACATAGGTTTGTTCAGCATTCAGGAGAATGTTTTAATGATAGAATAACAAGTGCTCTAAGGACTGCTGGTCTGAGGCTTTGCCAGATGCAGTAAATATTCCCAGGGCTGCCGGATAATGAGATCATCTAAGCATGCCAGTGCATTTCAAAATGATAATTTACATCTCTAATGTGGTTAGTCAGTACCAGATAGGCCATGCTGCAGTAACACACACACTGAAATCTCAGTGACAACAAAATAAACATTTATTTCTGCTCACACCAAGTCCAATACAGATTGGACAGGCTTCTTCATTTTGTAGTTAGGCCATCTGGAACACACAGCCTCTGAAGCCACTGCTGCACGAGGGGAGAGGATAAGTTGTGGAGAAAGTGTACCCACCCGAACTGCTGGGGCTGGAAGTCTATCACTAATAGTCTGTTGGTGAGGATTAGTCAGATCATCCCCTGAGCTACAGGGGCTGAGAAATGCAGTCTTTCTGGAAAGAGAAAATAGTATGATCACATACAATATGTGTAAAGTGTTCACAGGTCTCACCTCCTTCCGTTCTTACAACAGTACCCAGAGGTAAGCAGGACAGGAATACTTAACGTCTGTGTTTCCAGTGGAGGAAACTGAGAGTTAGGAAACATAACACACATTCCAGAGGACACACAGCTGGTATTCAGGGGGCAGAGAGTCTTCCTTTATATGCATCCTGAATCTGAAAAAGATAGACAAATGTACAAATGTGTGGTAGGAGACAGTTATTTTGACTACAATAAACTCGATTTCCTTTGGCATATTAAGGTATCTGATGTGACTATGTTATTTAAAACATTTCAACAGCTAATTAAAATCAATTTCCTAGTTTAGCTTGCTCTCTAAATCAATAACTCTACTTCTACCATAATATTAACTATACCAAAACAATTTGCTTACATTGCTGTCCTCCCTGGTAATGTAAGCTCCTCGAGGCTCTAGACTGTGTCTAATTCGTCTTAGTACCCTCGGCGCTTAGCACAGTGCCCTGTAAGCAGTAGGTGCTCCATAAATGTTAGAACGAGCTAAGTTGAGCTGAACTTGAACATGATCAGCAGGACAAGTAGTTGAGCTATTTCTTGGTAGTGAGGTTAGAAGTGTTTGGTAGTTTCTTGCTTTTTAAAATATTCACCACAACACGCATGCATGACATCTATGATTATAGAACAAGGACTTTCTCTGTATAAAACTAATGAGCCCGTTGGAGGACTGAAATCAAACCTTCTCCTCTTTAATACTGTGTTCTCTGGGACTGAGTTACCACACCAGCCTTTACTATAATAGAGCAAGTGAAGCAAGCTAATATATTATTATTCAACGTTAAAAGAAAAAAAAAAACCCGCATCCTCTAACCTCTCGCTCTCTCTCTCTCTCTCTGTTCCTCCATTTACTGAAGACGGAGGAAGAAAGCACACTGTAAGGCTTTTCTTTTCTTAGGAATTTTAATGACTTTATAGAGACAATTGCCACTGCTAAGAATAGAGATGTATATGCTCCGTTGATGACAATTGCAAAAGATGGCAAAAATTCTTGCAGTGTCAACACTCTATACAAAATTTAGTTCTAGCTCTAACACTAGCTCTGGGACCTCAGTCAGACATATTCATCTCTCTGAGCACCCCAGTGAAGAGGTTGAATTCCTCTGTGTGTCTCACTGGAGGGGTGATTGGCATCTAAATGAGACAGTTCTTCATGTATGAGAGTGTCCTGCATGTTGTAGGAGATTTTGCATCCCTGCTCACTAAATGCCAGTAGCCCTCTCAGTCATAATGACAACCAGAAAATGCCTCCCTATTTCAAATCCACTCCTCCTTTGGGCGAGGTACCATCCCAAGTTGAGAGCCTCTATACACGTTTATCAAGAACTGAGTTTCTTCAGGTCAAGTATTTTATGATTCCATGAGAGTTCTAACTATGCCTATTAGAAATAAGTTATTTTAACTTAAAAAGATTAATAATGATAAAACAATAATAATAATCCGTAGCCATCGAGTACTTACTATGGGTGCCATGCTAAGTACTCTGTATGGATCGTGCAATCAAACAACACACCTGCAAACTTGCTCTTATGTATATTTCCATTTTATAGTTAAAGACAGTGAGTCTTACAAAGATTCACTGCTCAAGGTAATATGGCGAGTAAATACTGGAGTGAGGATGAGGCAGTGAGAAAAGTGGGAAGGGGGTGGGAAAAGGGGAGCTAACACTTATTGGATACTAAGTGCCAAATGTTGTGCGATTTATCTTTACATCCTCGATGTATCTTTACATCCCTGGCCTCACTGATTCTCTCCCAAAAGCCCTGAGATGTGCGTGTTTTAATATTGTTATTTTACAGCTGAGAAAGGCAGGGATCAAAGTGGTTAAAAATATGGCTATTTGATTTCATTTCTTTGTTTGTTTTTGTATTGTCTATCATGCACTTTGCCCCCTGTAATCAAAGCCTTCTGTGAACTAAGACACGGGTCCGTTTAGCCCTGAAAAGTGGATGGGTCAGTTTAGTTGCCTCATTCCTCCTTCGCTGGACAGAAAATGATTAGAATGATGAATTAGTGAGCAGTATGTTGGCTTGTTGGTTTCATTAGTTCATGCAGCAGACACCATGCCCTCTATTTTTTCCTCTGCCTACATCTTCAGGCTTTCTTCCTGTGTTTCTTCTCTTCTCCCCACCCCTGGCTGCATGGTTTCTCTCCCACTTCCTCTTCTCAAATATTTAGGGAATTACAAGAGGTGAGCAAGTTAGTCACGTTCTTTTCAAAGTTTCAAAGTGACTGCTGTAGACAGTGAGTGATTTCCTCGGTGTGCCAGAGGACAAAAATCACTCTTGGTGCTTTATGTGTGCGAGTGTGCTCTTGATGCCGATAATAAAAAACTGTGATGCCATCCGGCTTATGGATCACTGTGGAAATGACTCAAGATCACTGATCAGAGAGTGGGTGACTCATAACTAAATCACCACCAGACACCGACTGGCTCCTGCTGCGGTCTCTCTCCTGGGCAGCTGAAGGATGGATGTGATAGGCCGATTTTAAATGTTAAGCGGTTGGAGCACATTATGCTTCCAGGCTTGGAGACTGTCCAGCTGAAATTCACTCCTACTGGGAGTCTGTCAGAAACCTGCTACTACAGCAGCGCCTTCGCATCATGGAAGCAGGATCTGCATTCTTACAGCAGCACCCAGGCACAGAGGTTGGAGCTTTCCCCAGGAGATTATGTTAGAGCCTCTGCCACACACTTCCAGGGAGGAGAAATGAAGCCTGAGTTCTACAGTAGGAGAATCTGAGTCAGAATGATGCAGTAAATTGCTATTCTCCCTAAAGGGAGTTGAGAGCGACACTGGGAACTAATATAATAAAGAAGATAGAAGCTGAGGCTAGAAAGAACCTTGGAGAGCGTTATTCAGCTGATACTGCAGCCTAGAGAGGTTAGGTCACTTGCCGAAGGTTACACAATTTATTAGCAGCAGCAACAGCAGCAGCAGGATAAGGGCTAAGGATTCCAGATTCCTAACCTCTCTCTCAGCACTTATGAAACGATATGGTACATAGGAATCAGCGGGGAAATGTGTTACAGTGCAAATTCTGATTCCTAGGCCTGGGACTGGCTGCTGAGGTGCTGAGAGTCGTCATTTTTAACAAGCTCCCAGGTGATGCTGATGCTGCAGTCTTAGGACCACACTTTGATTAGCAAGGCTTTAGAGCACATTGCCACCTTACTCCAGGGAATTTGGTCCTTTGATAATAGGAATGGGATTTCTCTCGCAGGAGTGATCAGTAGGCAGGCACCAGCCTAGCTCGCTTCCTTCCCCTACCTCTCTTTCCCTCTCCTTCTCTCTCCCTCCCTTCTCCTTTTCCTCCCTTCCTTGCTTCTTCCTTCTCTCTCATTGTACTCAGCAGCAGGCTAGAACCACAGAAAGTCAATAAATATATCCTGATTTTACTAGAAGGTGGCTGCTGTTGGGGAATGCCCAGAATTAAAATGCACACTGCTGTCAGATCAAGGAATGGGCTCAATGTGATTTCCAGGTGACCTATGCTGTTGGTGCCCTGTCCAAGTCAATATATGAGAGGATGTTTAAGTGGCTGGCGGCACGTATCAACAGAGCCCTGGACGCCAAGCTGTCAAGGCAGTTCTTCATTGGCATTCTTGACATCACTGGTTTTGAAATCCTTGATGTAAGTATATATGGTAAGAATGAGGTCAATGTGTATTTACAAGGAGATTAGAAAATGTGAATTGAATGTCGGAAAATGTAGTCAAGAAACGATGAGATTCGTTCTGTGCAAACTTTAAGAGCTACTTTGGTTGGAAAAGAGCTATTATTAAATATTAATAAGTAACAATAATGATAATTATAATTAATTGTATTAAGAAATTAATTCAGCCTTAAATAAAGTTAAATAGAGGTAAAGGAAACTTTTATGATTTTGAATTTTAATGTCAAGTGTTATTTTATTATAATAATCTATATTTGTGGATATATCCGAAGGAGGTAAGAATTTAATTGAGCATTTGTGACTTGTTGGTCTATTTACCATCATATGATAGTGGTTATGGTTTTCTCTTTACTGTTCATTTTTCCAAGTGGACCTCAATTTTATTTTATTTTTTTATTGAGGTATATTTGACAATTAAAAAATGTATATATTTGAGGTCTACAATTTGATGATTTGGTACACACATATACTGTGAAATAATCACCACAATCAAGCTAATTAACATACCCATCACGTCAGAGAGTTACTATTTTCTCAATTTCATTTTTCTCTCTCTTCCTACCTGTTCATATCTTTGAAGTGTAACAGCCTTGAGCAACTTTGCGTTAATTTTACCAATGAAAAATTACAACAGTTCTTCAATCAGCACATGTTTGTTCTGGAACAAGAGGAATATAGGAAAGAAGGCATCGACTGGGTGCCTATTGACTTTGGTCTGGGTTTGCAAGCCTGCATAGACCTCGTCGAGAAGGTAATGCGTGTTTTTCTCCTCGTCTATTTTCATTTAGGAGAATTGTCCCTACTTGCCACATTGATCCTTGTCAGGACTCAGGCTCCGTCAGGGGATGGGAAATGGAGCAGGAGAGCTCTGCACGTTTTCTCTTAATGGTCTTCATGTGCAGCACCCGTGGCATCCTGACTAAACTCTTGCGTCAGTCAGCCCACTCCATCATCCCTAACGCAGACTGTCGCCAGGCATTTGCTGCTTATGCATGGCCTCCACTGTTAATGCGTGAGGAAACTTGTCGAGATTAAAAATGGTCTTGCTCTTGACTGGAAAAACACAGAGCTGAAAATATGAGCACTGTAGGGCCTGGCTGATTAACATAAGGTGAATGTGTAGGCCCAGAGCTGCTTAATGAAATTTGGCAAATTAGCATGCAAACAAACAAGTACCATAAATCCCCAAGGCCACTACCTTGCAGGATGTAGTTTGTTCATTTAATTGGACAAGTACCAGTTAGTTTAGGTAATTTATGACAATACTTCATGGCTTATTAGTAAATTAGCTGCCGTGTATCGTTTCTGAATTCAGTGATGTTCCCGTAGTCTGAAATCTTTCCATGTGCTCTGGGAGAGATTAACCTGGTTTGCTGGGGGAATTTAGCTTGGCCTTCTCTGTGGCTTTGTCCACGGGAGCAAACATGGCGGCACGTTAGCAGCTCCATGCCCCTTGGTTCTCGCTATAAACGTGGGTTGCAGTGAATTCTGGAGACAGGCTTGACTGGCCACGGCCTACTGCTTTTAGCATTCTGAACGTGCTGTCACATTTGATTCTCAGCAACCCTGTCTGGAAGGGGCTAGGGTGACCGACCTCTCACTGTCCTTTGCAGGCCTCAGAGTTTATCACTCAGTGTCCCATCAATTTTATTTATTAGGCTTTAGGTGAAACTAAATCTTCCTTGAAAATAGCCATTGTTCCTAACAGAAGTGGACGTCACATTGATTTTATTTATTTTATGACCAGTGAACTTCTTGGGGGGAGGATAGACTGATTTAAAAAATAATGAAAATGAACCAACTTGTGAGCTGATTAAAAATAATAATAATGACCCAACCATGATCTGGTCGATGTCTGCTGGCATTATGAAAGCTGTAGTTTTCTGATTAGAAATGAAACAAAAGACCTGGAGCTCCTTAGAGGGACAGATTTACCTTCTGGCAATTGTCACCTGTAATATCTACTCCCTCTGATTATGGCGAGACACTGTTTTCAGGCAGGAAGGTGACACAGACATTATTCAGAGCCTCACAGGTCTGTGAATGTTACTGATGTTTAGTTGATCTGAAGCCTATGGTCTCATTTATGCCAATCTCAGTTATTCCCAATAACCCACTAGCAACAGGGATGTAATTTCCTCTTGCATTTTCTACTGATGTGATAAAATGAGGAAAAAAACCCAAAACTGACCAGACGATAGAGGGAAAAGATAAGTCTTTGGTTTCCTATGAACAATTTTAAAGATATTCAGGTCAGGCAAACAAGGAATACCAAAATCTTTCTTTAAATAATTCTATATTTTGAAAAGATCATTGTGTTTGTTCAGGCTACGTGAAGAAAAGTTGTAGTAAATATTAATGATCAAAATTACTCCTTGAGTGGATGGTCCAGTGGTGCAAGTGGTTAAGTGTGCGTGCTCTGCTGCGGCAGCTTGGGTTTCGCTGGTTCAGATCTCGTGTGTGCACTGATGCACCTCATGTCGAGCCGTGCTGTGGTGGCATCCCATATAAAGTAGAGGAAGATGGGCATGGATGTTAGCCCAGGGCCAATCTTCCTCAGCAAAAAAAAAAAAAAAAGAGGAGGATTGGCAGATGTTAGCTCAGGGCTGATCTTCCTCACCAAAAAAAAAACCCAAAAAACAAAAAAAAATTACTCCTTGAAATAGAATGAATCATGGGAAGTTTTCAAAATTCAAAAGAACTAAAATACGTCAGTATGTATAAAATGTCTTACAGCATGCGTCTGTGTGCATATATATAAAGTAAAGAGATATTGGTACATAAAAGTTTTGTTTTTTTATTTTTACAAAAAAGTTTATATCAAAGTAAAAAAATGTATTTTAACACCAACATTGTTAATTTGGTCTTCAAGCATTCAGTGACCTCTTTCTCTATATATAGAGTGAAAAAATCTATTACAGGATTAGCTCACACTGCTTTCATTACCTGAAATATTCTAGTTTGTGTAGGACTTGAGCATCAATAATTTACACGTTAAAGCATTAACATGTGATTACATATTTATGGTTTTACATAGATATTGGTAAAGTTATTTCTAATACTTTTTTAAACAACTACATCCAAAATTATACATTTAAAAACATGTTGCCCCTTCAATGTGGTCACCTTGAGAGGCTGTCTTCCAATAATTCAGCCCTTTTGGAAAAAGTCCCTCACAGGATGGGGATTAGGGTAGGGTTTTAGACTTTTGCCGGCTTTGAGAGAAAATTAACTTCAATACTGATCATCTTACCTGTTTTCGAGTCCAAACTATGGATATTACCTAGCTTGATCACATCTTTCACCTTATTTGTCTGACTTGGCCTGAATAACTTTTGACTGTTTCTACACAATGCTACGTGGTCAGACAACAGGAAATTTCCAATGCCAGTAGTCAACGGTGTCAGACATCCCAAAGAAGGTTCTAAAATATTTTAAATCCTGGTAGCATGGGGATTATGCTTATTGGCAATAAGTTTTGTTACCTCCCAAGTGAGGTTCTTTGGATATGCTAATTCTGGTGTTTTTATTCTAAAATGAATCACATTAATATCTAATTATCTCTTGTACGCACATGAATATTTTCTTTAAACATGTAACTCTGTGCTTTTTTATTCACAGCTCTTACTTTCTGCCAGACTATTGCCCACAGCAAAGCAGCCCAGGTCCCAGAGCTCAAACCCGTATATCTTTTTTTTTTTTGTGAGGAAGATCAGCCCTGAGCTAACATCTGCCAATCCTCTTTTTTTTTTTTTTTTGCTGAGGAAGACCGGCCCTGGGCTAACATCCATGCCCATCTTCCTCTACTGTATATGGGGTGCCGCCACTGCATGGCTTGACAAGCGGTGCATTGGTGCACGCCCAGGATCCGAACCGTCGAACCCAGGGCCACCGCAGCAGAGTGCACGCGTTTAACCACTTGTACCACCGGACAGGCCCCTCAAACCCGTATGTCTTAGTGTTTGCCTGTCAATTAATCACTTAACAGAAATTTTAGATTTTAGTCACCTCGGGACCTCCTGTGCTCAGAGTTATGAGTAATGCAAACCAAAGGCATCATCCTGGCACTTAGGGTATGATTGGAAAGATGTCTTAAGACCAAAACTTTTACTAATTTTTTTAAAATTAAACAAACAAGTACATTTATTTAGCAACTACTAGTTTTGATCACTTCCTTGCACCCCACCATAAACGCCCTACGGTTATGGCGATGGCTGGACAGATGACACCTAACACTGGACAGATGAGATTGACAGCAGCTTGTTGGTCACATATACTCACAGCCTGAGGGAGGAGGACACCGCGTGCCATGCAGGGCCACATGGCGTTTGCACTTGGGAGCAGCATGAAGCAGCAGGGCTGTGGGAGGGAGGTTGTGTAGGAATGATATAGGGTGAGGGGATCCTTGGTTCCTGCTGGAGGATGTGACTGGTTGGAGTAATTCCACGGCTGGGAGGAACTGAACCCATTACTTGAGGATGAGCAGACACTGTACCCCGTCCCACGATAAGGAGGGTTGTCTGCCTGGGGACCTGACCCGCAGGAGCACAACAGGGAGGGGAACTTGCGACTAGGTTGTCTGAGGCCCTCCTGGTGTTCCTCTGATGTTAAGGCACACCTAATGTTGGGTCTGAATTTTAGGCCTAATACCACACTACTGTGTATAAGACTTTGAATTAATGCTGTAGAAAACGTAAGCATTTGTTATAAATAGCACTTGCCTTAGGAAGTATGCAGTCAAGTAGGAGATTTGTAGGTCTGATAAATGTAAAAATATGTGTTGGTATAAATGCAGTAAAGACACAGGCAGAGGCCCACAGAGCTCAGAAGAGCAGAGGTCACCTCCGTCTGCGGGAATCGACGAAGCCCTGGTGGGAAGGGGGTAAAATTTCAGCTGGATCTTAAGAAATGGGTATGATTTCAGCAGGTGAAGAGAGTAAGATAGTGAGCAGGTGGAGGGACTGGCAAGAACAAAGGGATAGAGACCAGAAACAAAGGACACGTTCCGAAATGTTAGGTCATCTAGTTAGAGCTTAGACCACACAGATGGAAGTAGCTAGAAGTACAAATGAAGGTCAGACTGGGAAGGGATTTTAATGAATTTATACCTTATTTTTAGGCAGTGGGGAGCCAGAGGGTTCTGCCGTGCAATAGAGTAGTCAGAGCTGCTTGTGTTGAATCTGGTGGGTTTGTGTGCGGTGTCTGGGATGGGAGGGAAGGCTCAGGGTAAGGCAGTTAGGAAGCTGCGAGAGCAGGCCAGGTGAGATAGAGAGGTCCTTAATCAGGACAGCAGAAATGGAAATAGTGAGAAAGTGACAGATGTCAAAGAGAGGAAGGCAGAAGTGGTAATATTTGAAGAGGGAACGGTTGGATCACTAATGTTCTGAGTCAGGGCAACAGACTCAAACCACTTTCTGTGCAATATAGGACAATTGATGCTACAGGGCAGAATAGAATTACTTTTTTTCCTGACATATTTGGAAATTAGTTTGCTGAAGGGCCTCATATTGATTAGAAGCTTTATACCTCCTGAGCACTGGAGAAATGGAGAAGACCCTGAAGAAATAGTGTTTTTCCCTCCTCAGTGGTTTAGTTGTTACTCTCTGAGCTATGACATCTACTTTCTTTACATAAAACTTCCATTCATCCCCAAATGGAAGTTGGCTTTATTGGCATCCCAGAGAAATGGCGGTCCTCATGTATGGGAGGTGGCTCTGCTGGAACTGGGGACTGCCTCTCCTTGTGAATTTGCCACAACGCTCTCGTTAACAGACACCATCCCAGGAGATGCTTGGATTTTTAAACGATTCATTCCAGTTTTCACTGAGGGTTGACTATAGGCATGGAGGAAAAATACATGGCACAAGATGGAGTCCATGACTCCAAGAGCTTGTCCTCCTCATCCTCCTCCTCATTTCTCACTTTGCCAAGAACCCACAAGCGCAGTGCTGCCAGGAGCAAGACAGGTGTTGGTTTCACTTAGAATACTTGTCCTCGCTGAGAATGCTTCACATATTCACTCACTGCATCACTCCCCATCTAGATGTTTGGGAGGAAGGAAGACGTCCCAGAACTATTCAGTACAAGAGTTATTGGTGGAATGTTGTTCAACACATTTTCTGTAAAATGCGACTTCTAAGTCTGTGAGAATATACAAAAGAAGAAGAAAAACAGAGTGTATATATTAGAATGATAGACTTAGGTGGTCAAAAACATGATCTTCAAATATCTGCTGATCCGCCACTTAGAAAAAGAATTAGATCCATTTGTATTGGCTCCAGTGGAATAATTTAGAACAAAGGATTCTAAATTGAAAACAAATTTTCTTTTAATCTATCACCCATCCAGAGCTTTGACTCAAAGTTGGTGTGTTCTCTTTCCATGAAAATATCCAGGCATAAGCTAATCTGCCTTTTAGAAGGAAATTCTGAAGAGAATTCAAGGAGCTTTTAGGTGGGTGGACCAGACCTTTAATGTGTTTCCCAAACCTGAGTGTCTATGGTTCTTAGGTTCAAAAGGTTGGTAGAGAATCATGCAATCTACGTTGTTGGGCCAAGGAGTCATGTTCTATCTGGGAATTCTCATGACATTTTCTCTATACCTCTGTTTTGTCTGCTTTGTAGTCTGGTATAATGTACGTCTTCTCGGTTAGATGCTCTGGAGACAGAACCCATGTCTGATTCATTCTGTTCTAACCCAAAGTGTCTGCTTAGTGATTTGTTCATAGAAGGCACTTTAAAAATATTCATGGGTAGATAAGTGATTATACAAATATATATTAGAAATGAAAATATAAGAGTCCTTGATTTTCCCTGCAAAGCCTGTTTTTCCCTATGCATATGTACCTTATATTGGTTAATGGCAGCATCCATTACCCATTTGCTCAAGCCATAGAGCTGCTCATCCTTCTGCTTTCTATTACACCCCATGTTCTGTCCATCAGCAAGTTGTGAGTCAGCTGTGCTTTCAACCTGTACCACATTTCAATAACTTCTCACGATCTCCAACACTATCACTAGTCTAGACCAGGGGTCAGCAAACTGCAGCCCTGTGGGCCAAATTCAGCTTGCAGCCTGTTTTTGTAAATACCTTTTTTTTTTTTTGAGGAAGATTGGCCCTGAGCTAACATCTGTTGCCAATCTTCCTCTTTTTTCTCCCCAAAGCCCCAGTACGTTGTTGTCTATCACAGTCGTAGAGTTGTAGCTCGTCTATACGGGACGCTGCCTCAGCATGGCTTGACAAGCGGTGAGTAGGACCGAGCCCAGGAGCCAAACTGGCTAACACCAGGCCACAGAAGCAGAACGTGGGAACTTAACGGCTGTGCCACCAGGCTGGCCCCATGTAAATAACGTTTTAATGGAACGTTGTCACACCCATTTTATTTACATATTGTCGGTAGCGGCTTTCAGGGCTGACAAGGCTGAGTTGAAGGCAGCGGTGGCACAGAGACTGTGTGGTCCACAAAGTCTAATATATTCACCCTACAGATCTTTAGAGAAAAAGTTTGCTGACAGGGGCCATCAGTTTTTCTATCATATATCCTTTTTTGGTTTTTGTTTATTACAACTCTTTAAAAATGTAAAAACCGTTATGAGCTCACTGGCTTTCCAATATAGGTCACAGGCAGGATTGGGCCCACAGGCTTTGCTTCACCAACCCCTGTTCTAAACAAATGATCCTTTTCAAGCATAAGTCAAATCATATCACTTCATGTTCAAAATCTCCAAAGTCCTCTCATTATACTTAAAATAAAATCCAAAATTCTTACCACAGGCTGGAAGGCCTCTGAGATCCAATGCTGCTCACCTCTGACTTTATCTCTACCACCTGCTGCACCCACCTTGCTCTGCTCTGTCCACACTTGCCTCTGGCAGGACCTCAAACTTGCCGGTGGGCTCCTGCCCCAGGGACTTTGCACTCCACTTCTCTGCCCAGAATACTTGTACACAGATCTTTTCAGGATTTGCTCTTCTTATTCAGGTCAGAGGATTTTACCCAGCTATCCTACTAAAATAGCTCCCACTCAGCCCTTCAGTCATTCTCTATCTCTTTACTTTGCATGATTTCTTCAGAGCACTTATGTGAAACTAAGTTATTTAGTTATTTGTTTTTGGTGTACTTGTCTTTTGTCTCCCTGCTCCACTAGAATGTAAGCACTCGAGGACAGGTGCTTTGTGTATGTGGCTCAGGCTGCATTACTAGCTCCTACTGGTACCTGACACCGAATAGGTATTTAATAAGTATTTGTTGATGGATGATTGGCTGGTTATATGTAGTCAACATCTCTTCCCCTTGTCAACTGGTTAGGTTCCTGGGAAAGAATTTACATGGATCCTCTACTGAAAATACTGTTTCCTGGTGTTTTTCTTCATCTGCTGTTCATATGTATCTCCAACAGCCAATGGGCATCTTTTCCATCCTTGAAGAGGAATGTATGTTTCCTCAGGCTACAGACGTGACCTTCAAGACCAAACTTTTTGACAACCATTTTGGAAAGTCGGTTCATTTCCAGAAGCCCAAGCCTGATAATAAGAAGAAATATGAAGCTCACTTTGAACTTGTCCATTATGCAGGAGTGGTAAGTTACCTCTAGACCCTCAGCCTTGAATTTGCCTGACTCTGTTTCAAATGCACTCAGCCAAAGTCCTTAGATAATATATAAGTAAAGTTTAAATTAAATGAAGAGATGAATAAAATAAATCTAGGTTCCAGAAAAAAGTTGGTGTAGCCTCTTAGCACTTAGGAAATGAAATACCCGTAATATATAATAGTATTCCATGTGTGCAGAGGTCAAAAACCTCAAAATAGACTCAGTCACCCCCAACTCAAAGTAAAGCAGCTTCAGAAAGTCATGGAGACCATCAAAGTCATGGGTTTTTTCCTTATTTTTCCTTCCTTTTAACTTAACATTGTGTGAACGAGTGAGTTCAATTGATTTTTTTTATTGAAGGTTTTATTTTTTTATTCTCTCATAAAGAAATAGTCACTGTGAAGTAATGGTCTCCAAACTACGGCCAACAAAAGCGTCTAATGACCCTCACTGCCTCTCTTGTCTCTGCGGGTGTGTGTGTGTGTGTGTGCCTCTTTTTTCTGCTTTTCTGTTCTAGTCAGTGATTCTGGATGGAACAGAAAGAGAACTGATATATGATAAGATAATAATTCAACCTAAAAATGACCTGCCAATTGTGCATAGATATGCTTGTAATTTTCTTCTTTGGTATCCTTGAATATTAATTATAATGATATTTATAGTAAAATACCATTATATTTGCTAATGTTTCTTTGAATGCTCACTGTGTGTTGGAGACAGTTATTTCATCTGTTCTTGCCTATGAAGGGGTCCTGATGTGAATTGTTTCTGCTGGAAATACCTTCTATTTCTTCCTCCCTCCCCTTCTCTTCTTTTCTTTCCAGGATGTAAATAGTAAAGCCTGAAAATCTCTTTGGGTTGCACAATGGACTTCTGGAGTATTATTCCGTACTCTTACGTCAAACTGATTTGAAGTTAAAGGACCTATACAATTTGTGACTTTTTTTAAGGAATGCGCAATTTGCTATGTTAATTTATGTATTCTCCTCTTTTGTTACCTGACTGCCTGCCTTTCCAAAGGTGCCTTATAACATCAGTGGCTGGCTCCAAAAGAACAAAGACCTTCTTAATGAAACAGTGGTGGCTGTATTTCAGAAGTCATCCAACAGACTCCTGGCAAACCTTTTTGAAAATTACATCAGTGCCGACAGTGGTGAGTCAAACAATCTTCCCTAATTCTTCAGCCTCAGAATGGAGCCCATTGCTGCTTACAAAAATCCTTGCTTCTCTCCTAAGACATCGATGTCTGCTCCCTGTGGTCTGACTTGCCCCCTCTTATTAGCCTTTCTGTCCTCACGCTGGTAGTTCTTCAGGGAAATGGTGCTCTAAGGTAGAAATATTTCAGGGAGCCTGCTCTGGCTTGCTTTTATCTCTACTCGACCCAGCTGCAAAGAGACAGCAGCCAACCATGCTTTGATAAATGATTTTGGGGAAATAACAAGCCCCTTTAATGTCTATTCCCCAAGTATCTTAGAATTCTTCACATTGCTTTCATATTATAATAACTTGGGGTTATTATAACTTCATCAGGGTGGAGATTATGACTGACTTGTTCAATTATATCCTCAAGCGTGTAGCAAATGCCTCTTTAGCGGGGACTCCATAAATGATTATGGACCAGCTAATTGATCTTCTCATTTAGTAGTTTGTAATTTACAAAGCACTTTTAGGTGCATCACCTTATTCAATCCTTGCCATGACCCTTTCAGATACATACAGAGGGAAATCTCTCCCTATCTTACAAGAACAAGTACAGAAGAGTTAAGTAGTGTCCCCCATTTCACAAATCTCCTACATGGCAAAGCCAAGGCAAGAAGCAGGACTCTGTGTCCTAGTCTGGTGTCTATTCCTCTCTCACTGTCCCCTAGAAACAAACAAAACAGAGAAATGGACAGGCTACATGGATTTAGGATGCAATTCAGTCTTCTGCACCATGATACAAAGGATTTGAAGATGCTGAGCCTCACCATTGGACTAAGGCTATAGAGGGAAGCTCTCCATGATTCATAGCAAAAGCCACAGAATGGCAGCCCCTGAGCAGAACCTGGCCTTAGACATGAATTTGTTTTGTCCACACAGGTTAAAAAAATCAGAAGATTTTACACACACATTTGGATTTCCTTTTTCTTTTGAAAAATGGAAATTATGGGAAAATAGAAAATCTGGGCAGCCTGAGTTCGGATACCCTCGTGGCAATGGGGCAGATTGCACTAGCTGTTCTTTAAGTGGGGTGTGTACCCCGACTTCCTAACATTCTCACCCTCCTATAATCTTACACTCAGCTTCAAGTTAACTCCTAGCCCCTGTAGGCTGGGTTGGGACTCCTGATTGACTTGGTCAGGGATGGAGAGAGAATTTAGCTCTTCTCGGCTTCATCAGCACATGATGACATAATTCAGGATCTTGCATGGAATCCTGTTGGCCTGCCTCAAGTGGAGGTTGAGAAATGGAAGCTACTGTGTTTGGACCCTGATTATCTCCAGGCAATGCATTTGCCTGATTCTAATAGCTTCTAAAGTACCTTTGAGAAGTCTGCTAGGTAGTGGCCACATAACCTTATGGCTCTGAGATGGGTAATTCTCTGATCATAAGAGATCAGAGAGTGGTTTGGGCGAGAATTAGAGAGGAAATTGTCTTCCAACTCTTGAGGATGTGTGCTGTGTTTTTGGGAACTAGAAGAGTATTGTCCAGAATGTCCTTTTTCATAATTCTTTAAGCAGTCCCAGAAAACACTTGCCTCCAAGTTTCTGATTCATCCAAATATTAAATTACCTAAAGAAGAGAGCAATAACCATATTCTCTTCTGGGAAATCCAAGTACTTTAAACCAATTGTGATTCTTTTTAAAAATTAATGGAAAGTAATAGTGTTCCCTTTTCATGTGTTGAGAAACTGAAATACAAAGAGGTTGAGTGATCCACTTGTAGGGCCTGGGGTGTGTCAATAGGATGTTAGTGATTAACTTTATGACATCTGCCTTGGCACAGTTGCTACTCAGGTTCTGAGAACATTTTATTAGTTTTCCGTATTGATAGCTGGCCTGTTTTCTCCAGATTGCCTATGGATTTTGTTGTTGTAGATCTTTGTGAGTTAGCACTACACAAATGTTTGTAAAACAATTTGGCTTAGCATAGAATCTTTTGCTTCAAGAAAATGGAAATACGTTGTTTTTTATAAATTATAAAAGCAATGCATGAGTGTTGCCAAAAACACAGACAATTTAGAAAAGCTAAGAAGAAAAACATAAAAATTACCTATAATCTCACACAGAGAGATAACAACTGCTAACATTTTGGTGTATACTCCTCCCATCATTTTTTATGTATATAGTTACCCAAAATATAAGCACATTTAAAAACATATACTCAGGATCATAATTTGTAAACTATCTTGTAACCTGCTTTTTCTCTTAAAATAAATCCCAGAAATCTTTCCTTGTTGGTTATATGGATCTGCATCACCATTTTAAAAGATTGCAGTATTTCATTGTATGCCTACTCTTTCATAATTTAACTAAGCGATCTCCTGTTGATGGACATTTGTCAATAATTTTATTTTTTGTTTAATTTTTGTGTAATGGCTAAACAATGCTGCAATGAGTATCTTTGGCAGTTGCCTGATTATTTCCTTAAGGAAAAGCACTAGAAATAGACTTTTTGTGTTGAGACATAAATATTTTTAAAGCTTTTGGTAGATAGCGCCATATTGCTTTCAGAACTTGGATGAATTTATGCTTTCATCAGCAGGCTATGCTAATGTGACAAAAAGAGCTTTTTAAATGCTTTTTTCTTCTTTTTTTCAGCTCTACAGTTTGGCGAGAAGAAGCGCAAGAAAGGAGCTTCATTCCAAATGGTTGCATCTCTGCATAAAGTAATTTTTAATTGCATCTATTCATATATTAACTGCCTCACAATTTGCACATATTACTACTTATTTGAAGTTTCACATCATCAAATAAGGATAAAGTATCTGAAGTTAGCCAAGTTGGAAAAGTTGAAGTTTATCTTGGTATTAATGGGCTTTAGTGGACACTGTTGGTGCCCTACCTAGGTCCCCTTTATCAGCCCAGCACCCATCTTCCAGCTGATGAGAATATTGGCTCATAACAACTCACAGTTGCCAGAATTGCCCTTGCCCAAATGGGCAGCTAAGCTGTCTCCCTCTCCTCCAGCCTCTGGCCACTCTCTTGCCTCAAGAAGGGACCAACCATGGTACAATTGGTGCATTTGTGCTCAGAGCTCCTGCAAGGATCAGACTAAGCTGAGTCCATACCATCGCTTTTTTCTTCTTCTGTCCTACCTTGCTTCCCTCCTTCTCCGAATAAATCTCTTGAACCAGAATCCTCATCTCAGATTCTGCTTCCAGAGAATCTGACCTAAGATAAAGATTTTCCAGACCGAAAACTTAAGAAACAATTTCTTTCTTCAAGCCATTTTATTGCCCAACTGTAGTTAACTGCTATCAAATTCAAAACAGGTAGATATGGTTCACAATAGAACTATGTCTGTCAGAGAAATATTGCTTTGCCATAGGAGAGAAATAATGTATGTTTGGTAAGCAGGGAAGAATGTTGAATTCATTATTTTATTGTTGGTATGCAGCTTGACTTTAAGATTAGGTTGATAAACTTGAAGACATTTGTGAGGTGGATTGGTGTTTTTAGTGATTTGCAGAGTGATTTTGCATTTATTATGCTCTCTATTATAGGAAAACCTAAATAAATTGATGACTAATCTGAAATCAACAGCACCTCATTTTGTGAGATGCATAAATCCCAACGTGAACAAAATGCCAGGTAAGAACTAGACTTGTTTGTAATCCACACTAGAAAATACATTTGATGTAAGCTATGTTGTATGTCTTTTTAAGAAACATTTACTGATCCCTTTTATATAAGTGTAGATTTTCAGATAGAAAAGTGAAAGTAAGTTAAAAGTGAGATCTTTAGAACTTCCTCAAGATTGCCTTTGAATTGAGATTCAAGCAGACGTATAGAAGGATTTCACAAAGCAAGCTCAATTGGGTAACATTAGAATGCTTGATATTATCATTTAAATTCCTCCTTGAATTTCATGCTAAAATGTGGATGAGCTTCTATGCTGTTGTCTACAAAGGCAGAGTGTAATAAAAAGGGATTGAATAATCAATTGAGGGATTAAGGTAGATATTTCAGCATAAAGGAAATTATTTGGTCTGATTGACCATAAAGACAGTTCCTAAATCCATTTTTAATTGTTAAGAACTCCCTCTAGTCTTCCTTCCCAATACTATCATCTTCCCTCTCCTTACTAGTACTGATCTCTTTAGTTATGTATTTCAGGGCAGTGGATGCTTTTTTTTAATTGAGGTCATATTGGCTTATAATGTTGTATAAATTTCAGATGTACATTATTATATTTCAGTTTCTGTATAGACTACATTGTGTTCACTACCAATAGCCTAGTTTTTACGCGTCATCATACATATGTTCCCCTTTATCTCTTTTGCCCTCTTCCCACCCCCTCCTCCTCTGGTAACCACTAATCTGCTCCTCTTATCTATGTGTTTATCTTCCACATATGAGTGAAATCATATGGTATTTGTCTTTCTTTGTCTGACTTATTTCACTCGGCATAATACCCTCAAGGTCTATCCGTGTTGTCGCAAATGGCACAATTTTGTCTTTTTTATGGCTGAGTGGTATTCTGTTGTATATACCACATCTTCTTTATGCATTTGTCTGTTGATGGGCACTTGGGTTGCTTCCATGTCTTGGTATCATGAATAATGCTCTGATGAATATAGAGATGTATAAATCTCTTTGAATTGTTGATTTCATGCTCTTTGGATAAATACCCAGTAGTGGGATAGCTGAATCACGTGGTATTTCTATTTTTAATTTTTTGAGAAATCACCATACTGTTTTCCATAGTGGCTGCACCAGTTTTCATTCCTACCAGCAGTGTATGAGGGTTCCCTTTTCTCCTCATCCTCTCCAACACTTGTTATTTCTTGTCTTATTAATTATAGCCATTCTGATGGGTGTGAGGTGATATCTCACTATAGTTTTGATTTGCATTTCTCTGATGATTAGTGATGTTGAGCATCTTTTCATGTGCCTGTTGGCTATCTGTATATCTTCTTTGGAAAAAATGTCTGTTCAGATCTTTGGGCAGTGGATACTTTTTGATGAGTGGATAGTGGTAGGGGGATGATGGGATATGTGGGTGGTGGTGCGTTATTTTTTCTAATGTTTTTAATTGCCAAAACAAAGTTTTTACAGATATTAACTACATGGATTGGTTTCCTAACATCATTGGTTTCCTAACATCATAGGTTTAAAGATTGCCAGCCATCTCTTTGGAATTATAGGCTTCTATGGAGCTTGGTTAGAGGCTGTCAGCCTCAAAGGAGTGTATATGACAAGCACTTATGTCTTCAGAGCACTAATCACCCTTGGAATATGTAGCCAGATGTTGCTGATTCTGATTTCTGAGGTTCTGTAGTATCTTGCATTTTTATTAACCTCCTGTAATTAAGACCCCAGTCTCGACAGTCTGTGACCTATTTTGGGAGAGTGTGATGCTCAACAATGATGCTGCGGTTTGAGTTTCTGCAATGCAAACACTTCATCTTAATTCACGCTGTATTTTTTTGCCTCATTGTTTTTTATCAGCTGGGTTTCTGAATGCATCTAGGGACACTGCTTCCATCTAGAAAGGAATCTAATTAGCTGTCTCTATTTTGGAGCAATTTTGTTACCTATTAGAGTTGCCTCCCATCGAGTCAGCTCTGATTTCAGCAGGTTTTTCTTTTTTTTTAAGTCACAAGACAAAGTCATAAGAAAAGCTTCATGATCTAATCAAAACAGTTCTTCATATGTACTTAAAGGGAATGAGCATGCTTGATAGGACTCTGCTTCTGTCCCTTCTTACAGATCATCTGTTTCTGTTGATGAAAGGGATTGGAGTACAGGGCTGTGGGTATACAGCTTGGAGTTTATTCTGTGACCCTGGATGTAGGCGGAGAATCATCTATTCCCATTTTTCTTATAACACTATAGCAGGCTCTTGTGTTAGGAGGAGTGCTGCTTGGCTTCTTCTGGAAGAGTTGCTAAGAGTCAGATCCAGTGGCTCCTTAGATGGTGTTTCAAAGGCTTCTATCAGAGACTGTAGGTACAGCTGTAGTGGGGCTTCTTTTGATGAACGAGGAGGTGACAGGAGGATGCTTCAACTATAGAATAAAACGTAGGCACTCTTGAGATGATAGGAGGAGAATATAGACTGAGACGGGGCCAAGTCCTTCCTAAGGCAAAATAGTGAGCAGAGTTTTGTGGTTGTGCCCATCCTGCCCTTTCTTCATGTTCTTCCTTGTTGTGACCCTTTCTCCTCCTACTTGAGGTGGCAGGTCCCTTTTGTGTTCTCATCCCCCTCTCTAGCTGCTTTTTGGCTGGCAAATGGATGACACTAGCCATTTACATTCTAGCAAAAATGTAATCTTTTTCATCTTCCAGAAGTATTTGCTTGTAAAATCTTATCTAACTGTGAACTAAAATCTTATCTAACTTTGTTCCACGTTAAAGGAATTTCAGGTAAATCCTATTTAGAGATTCCTACCTAACAGAACCGGTACTGTGAGGGCCATCAGGCTGGGAGTGAGTGAACCCCTGTTACTTACCATGTAGATAACACCAAATTCAAACGCTTTCTTTTAAACCCAAGATGCAACAGTTAGGACAACATCTAGGGTAATAATTTTTTTAGACACAGACTCAACGTGGCCCTCTTCCTTCAGGTGTGATGGATCCTTACCTGGTTCTACAGCAGCTGCGCTGTAATGGGGTCTTGGAGGGGATTAGGATATGCCATGAAGGTTTTCCAAACCGACTGCTCTATGCGGATTTTAAACAAAGGTAAACATACATCCCAGTGTCCAAAAAGCCTGAGGCAGTCCATTCTGGTTTCCTCTCTTTCTGTGGGTTTAGGCTGCATTGTTTGTTTGGTTGATGTCCTCCAGACTGTGGATCGATGTGTTTTGGTGGTGGTGAGATATATGCTGACAGAGTTCCATTATTATTTCCCCTTAAATCCAACATCCATGTAGCTGTAATATCCTTAAATCTCTATTAAAGGATAATAGACCCACATATAGAAGAAATATATACAGAAGAAAGATATGGAGGCTGAATTGAATCTCTGAAATGTTGTACATACTTAATCATAGCTGCCATCCAAGCAGGCTGTTGGTTTACTAGCAAGCCTGTGAAAGGAAGGGAGCAGGAAGGGTGTGTGGCAGGAGGCAGGAGAGGCATCTTTGCTTTCTCTTTCCTGAATTCTAACAGCCTAAAGTATAGATCATCAAGCAAATTTGAGCAAAGTCTGGTAGAGTAGAAAGAGTACCTGTCTCAGAATTAAGAGGCATATTTCTAGTTCTCCACCAATGCACCATTAGAGTGAAGGAATCTTGGAAAAGTCATTCAATGTCTCTGCTTTTCAGTTCCCTCCTCCATACTATAGAGATACTTGAGTCTGCCTCTTTCCCTCTCTTTCCCTTCCCACTCTCTGCCTCCCTCCCTAATTGAGCAGAGAATCAAATGGGGTTGTCTTTAAACCACTTTGAAAAGTATACACTATTATACCAGTGTAAGGGATTATTGCTTGTAACCTCGTTCTTATTGCCAAGAGTTTTGTGACAATTGAATGTACTCATAGGAGAGGTAGAAGTCTGTCTCTCCTTTCACCTTACTTGTCCAGATTACTATTCTTCATTTGAATCATATGCCTCTCTGACCCCAGAATTTATTCTTAACCTATTTTAAATTAGGTATTGCATTCTGAACCCAAAGACTTTTCCAAAGAGCAAGTTTGTGAGCAGCAGAAAAGCAGCTGAAGAATTAATTGGCTCCTTGGAGATAGACCATAGCCAGTACCGCTTTGGAATCACTAAGGTAACCAGAAAACTACAAAGGATGCACTTGGAGAAGAGTGGGAGGAAAGAGTATCTTAAAATACCCACAAAAGTGCAATTATAAGGCATTCTACAGTTCTTGTGACCACAAATAATACAAATAGAGCTCAGTCGAAAGTGGAAACTTCAATGCTATTTGAGACAGAAAATCAATGCTTCTTAAGCTCAGTCTTGGCTACTTTACATTTTTATAATTATTCACCTAAGCAAGTATGTGCCAAGATATAAAATACTAAATCAACCGTAGTGTGCTAGAAAATGTGTATCCATATCAGAGCTAGAAAAAAGTGAATCAACTTGCTGGAGCTAACTGCTTGCCTGCATGTGAACTCATTCATCCACAAGTACTCTTTTAGGGAATTAATTCTAGAAGACTTATCTGAGTAATTAAAAACTTTAAGGTCAAACCTACTCTCCAAAAAATTAATCCAAAATTAACTTCCTTAAATGTGATTTGCTCTATTCTGCTTCATCTTAGATGATCTTGGTATGATCTACATACTCTGGGAAACTTCTGACTAATACATTTGGTTTTATCTGACAGTCAGTATCACTTGTTCCTAATTACATCCATAGAAAGATCAAATTATCTGAAGGAGAATTGGAGGGCCTCAGGTGAAGAGATCACAGAAAAAGAACTCCATAGGACATGATTATAAAATGTTACTTGACTCTCACATTTTGAGTACCTGAGAGTCTGTTTCTGCTGTTTGTTGTTTCTGCTGATTTCCACTACTGATGCCTTGCTGCCTTGAGTGTTTAGTTATTTTTACTGTGTACTACTCATCTAGGCCAGGACTAGCATGAGGTGAGTGAGCCTCCTAAGGCACGAAATTTAAGGAGGCATTCACTCTTATGGTTATACATGTGCTGACTTATACAACCCTGAAAGTGATAAATTTGTGCCTTAAGCACGTCACTCACCTAACCTTGGCCATTACTGATGATTCTTGAAAAAATATTTATGTGAATTCTTTAACGCCTATGATAAAAGTGTCTTTCTCTGGAGCAGGGGTCAACAAACTATGGCCTAAGGGCCATCTTTATGCCCTATTTTTTTATATGGCCCACTAGCTAAAAATGATTTTACATTTTTAGAGGTTTGTGTAAAAAAGGAAAAAAAAAAATATTCTGCCAAGACTGTATGTGGCCTACAAAACCTAAAAATATTTACTATCTGGTCCTTTACAGAAAACGTTTGTGGCCCCCTGCCTGGCACTTCGGAGCACTGCCTGCCTGGACCTTATCTTAAAACTTAAACCAACTTCCCTAGACAACCTAGACATTATTAACAGATAAGGGGGAGAATAGTCAAAGTTCTTAAGGAACCAATGTAACCACAGGATTCAGTGAAATATTTTGCAAACTTTAGATTTATAAAACCAAGCTTTCTAGGATGTACATTTTACACATTAAATAAAGCTTAACAAATAGAACTGATAAATGAATATATCAATTGCTCATAGGGTCATTCAACAGACATTTACTGAATACTCATTTTGAATGGAACTAAAATCTGACATTTTTTTTAGGTGTTTTTAAAAACTGGCTTTCTGGGCCAACTGGAAGCAATGAAAGATGAAAGACTATCTAAAGTCTTCACGTTGTTCCAAGCCAGAATACGGGGCAAACTGATGAGAATCAAATTCCAGAGAATTCTGGAAGAGAGGTATGATATTTCTTTCCTGCACCCACACTGCTGGAGTGATGGTGGCCTCAATCACTGTGACCTCATCTCAGTGCCTCATGAAAAGTCAGGGTGAAGAGCGACCTCCTCTGCTTAGGCTGGGACTTAACATAAACCTTTTAAATCATGAAACACCAAAAAGAGCACAAAGGGCTTTCATTGCCCTCTTCAACCAAATATTAGCATAATTCAGATATTTCTTGCCTTGACTCCAGCCTTCCCTTTGGAAGGATTCTTTATAGTCTGAGAAGTTCGGACCTCTGAGGGTGAAGTGACTCACAATTCATAACAGAAGCAGATCTGGAAGAGTTTGCATGCATCCCACAGCCAGCATTGTGGGGAACTTTGCTGCAAAGTGAGAAGGTGTTCTGACCACTTTACAACCTCCCCTGGGTCAGAAACTCTGGCTTTTGCTGACATGTAACCATAACTCTCTTACTTCATTTCAGGCAGGTTCACTAGGGACATTTATCACCACATTTGGACACTTAGGTGTAGGTTTTGTCTACTCTTTAATAGAATCATGGAAAGCAAGCTAGCAAAATTTCCAAACAAAGGCATTGTGAGCAAGGGATTCTGCAGTTGTATTTACTTTTTCTGTAGCATAGTTTACCTTCTGGAGAGAGGTCCACAGGTCTTGGTATAACTTGCTTAATTGACAATCTGTGAATTCCTTCTGTTTCCCTAAAGGAAAAAAAAGACCATTACAAGGTGATGTCAAAGATATTAGAGAGACATCTCCTAAGAGGCTTCTGTGACCCTAATATGATATTCAGTATGGTATGGGAATTTATGGGAATTTGGGATTGGGGGACATGGCTTCTAGGACCAGTCATATAAACTTGGGTAAACTCTTAATTTCTTCATAGTTCACTTCCTTCATCTCTAAAATGAGGTCTTTACTATCCATTTTTTCTCTAGCATAGGATGATTTTTTTTCTTTTTTGCTGAGGAAGATTCCTCCTGAGCTAACATCTGTGCCAGTCTTCCTCTATTTTGCATGTGGGTCACCGCCACAGCATGGTTGACTAATGGTGTAGGTCTGCACCCAGAATCTGAACCCGCGAACCTGGGCCACTGAAGCGGAGTGCACCAAACCCAACCACTATGCCACAGGGCTAGCCCCCATAGAATGATTTTAAAAAAATTATTATGAAATATTTCAAACACAAAAAATATTATAATGCTCACTCATGGAGCTATCATCAAAGTGTATCAATTCTTAACATTTTTTTCTGTAATTGCTCACAACTTAAAAAAAAATTAACAAAGTTGAAGCCCCTTGTATATTTCTCCCTTGATACCAGTTCTATCAAAGTTCCCTAGATCCTGAATTTGTATTTATCATTGTATTTATGTTTCCTTCATACTTCATATATAAAACATATAAAGGTATATTTTCATTCCTTTAACATCTTTTTCTATATAGTTGCTCACAACGTTTTTTTTTGCGTGTGTGAGGAAGACTAGCCCTGAGCTAACATCCGATGCCAGTCCTCCTCTTTTTGCTGAGGAAGATTGGCCCTGGGCTAACATCCGTGCCCATCTTCCTCTACTTTTACATGGGACGCCACCACAGCATGGCTCGACAAGCGCTGCGTCAGTGCACGCCCAGGATCTGAACCTGTGAACCCCGGGCCACCAAAGTAGAGCGTGTGTTCTTAACCGCCACGCCACTGGGCTGGCGCACTCACAATGTTAAAAAAATAAACTAACAGACACGGTTGAAGCCCCTTGCATATTTCTCCCTTGATCCAAGTCCTATGGAGATATGAAGATATGCAAATATCCTTAAAATGTGACATGATTTTGCATATTTTTAGTCTTCACATAAATAATATTCTGTATGTCTTATCCTGAAATTCGTTCTTTATATTAAGTACTATTTTTGAAATTTATTAAGGTCGCTAAATCTAAAGCTAGATTATTGAATTTAACTTCTATATAGTATTCCATTGTACGAATATACCACAATTTATTTATCCATTTTCCAGCTCAAGTAAATTTAAGTCGTCTATAATTTTTTGCTATTACAAATAGTTCTGCAGTGACACTTTTGTAAATGTCTTCCCCGGCACATATGCAACAGTTTCTTGAGAGCAGTGTTACTCAAAATGCTGGCCCATGCTCTGGTACTTTGTGGATAGCAGCTGGCCGGCGCAAACACTTTGAGTGGCATTTCTCCAGGGTCTGAATTATTAGGTTTTAGGCTATACACAACTTCAGCGTAATGAGATATTGCCAAAATGCTTTCCAATTTACTCTTCACCAGAAGTGTATGAAAGTCCCATTGCTCTATATTCTCACCAACTTGTGCCATTTCAGACCTCAAAAACTTTTGTCAAATTTTGTCATATTTCTGACTTTGGGAAAAGCTATCATTTCCCTTTTAAGATGATATTTTATTTATTTTTTTTATAGACATGATTTGTTGTGTGGAGGACATTCCTTCCATATGATTTTGTTAATCAGGAAAATGGTTAAATTCTTTTTCTGCGTCTATTGAAGTAATCACATGGTTTTTCTACATTCACCTATAAATGTGTTGAATTATATTGATAGATTTAAAAAAAATTTTAAACCCACTTTGTTTATGAGATATTATCTTTTTCATACATTGTTGGGTTTGGTAGCAATATTACCATAAGGATTTTTGCATCAATGTTTGTGAATAAGATTGGCCTGTAATTTTCTTTTCCCCTGCTACCTTATCTGACTTTGGATCATGGTTACCTTAACCTCATAAAAGAGTCGGAGAATATTTCCTCCTTTCACAAAATGAAACAATTTATTGTGATTATTTAGTCCTTGAATGTTTGGTAAAATTTGGCTGTAAAACCACCTAGATCTGGTGTTTCTTTTAGAATAGATTTTATACTTTTGATTCAATTTATTTAATAGTAATAGTCCTACTGAGATTTTTTTTCTTCTTGAATCAGTTTAGAAGTTTCTTTTTAAAAAATTTTACATTTCTTTTAAATTTTCTAATCTGCTAGATTATTATTTTTAATCTCTACCATATCTATAATTGTTTCTAGAGCATAATCCTAGATTATTGTATTCCTATAGTATTATCACTACCTAGTATTGTTTACTAGTGCCTTCTCTCCTTTTTCTTGATCATTCATGCCAGATGTTTATTTTGTTAGTCTCTTCAATGAACCATCTTTTCATTTTCTTGTTTTTTTTTTGTTTGTTTGTTTTCCACTTCATTAGTGGTTTTTTTTTTTGTGAGGAAGATCAGCCCTAAGCTAACATCTGCCAATCCTCCTCTTTTTGCTGAGGAAGACTGGCCCTGGGCTAACATCCGTGTCCATCGTCCTCTACTTTATATGGGACGCTGCCACAGCATGGCTTGACAAGCGGTGGGTCGGTGCACACCCGGTATCTGAACCAGCGAACCCTGGGCCGCTGCAGCCGAACGCGTGCTCTTAACCGCTTGCACCACCGGGCCGGCCCCTCATTAGTTTCTTATTTTTATTCTTTCCATCTTGCCACTTGCTTTGGGTTTATTCTTTTCGTAATTCACATTTTTTTTCATTGTGTCTAATCAGCTGCTTAATTCTTCCATCGAGTGCTTGACTTCAGTGACTATGCTTTTCAGTTTTAGACATTTTATTTGGTCCTCTTTCAAATCTGTTTGCCTTTTTATCCTAGTGGCTCATTTCTTTCTTGTTTTTTTGATTCTTTCCTTTATGCCTTATAAATTTTGAACAATTATTTTATGATCTCCACCAGATTGTTCAATTGTCTGAAATTCCTGGGAGTTTAATCAAACTTTTTATTATAGGTGCTCACTCTCACTGAGGGTTGATTTTTTTCCATATGTGTTTTGTAATTTTGAATTGTAAACTCATCTTCAGGGGGGCTTTATCTGAGACAAGCTCTTGATTTTAGGGTGTTCTCTTCAGTGCACGTTTTCATTTTCCTCCCTCAAGGGTCAAAGGGGCATTTATTACCAGTATAAAAAAATGATCATGCTAATTTCGTGCATATTTCTGCACTAATCAGATAGTAAAATTTAAACTTCAAACATTCAGTGGTTCTGGTCCATGATAAAAAAAAAATTCCTGGAGTAGGATTTTTTTCTTCATCCTGAGCCCAGACCAAATCAGATATACTTGTCTTTGATGTCTCCCTGTGTCAATGGGTGAAGTTTTTAATCCTCCTCTTCATTAAGGGTGAAATTCTTTGAAAGTCTCAGCCTGTCTCTTTATCCATGTAGATATAACAATACCATCTCCTATAATACCAAGGTTGGTTTCCTTCTTCCACCAAGGTGTCCAGGCTGTCCAGGCATTGACTTATTGCTCAGGATTTTAGCTCCCTCTTTGTTTCACATTGTCTTTCAGGTTCAGCTCTCAATTAAAGGATGTTTGTGGAGGGAGCATTTTCAGGACATCTAGTCCACAACGTTGCTAGCCCCAGAAGTCCCTCCTAGGATTTTGGCCAGAATCAAATGAGAGCCAGGATGTAGAAGTGCTTCGAAGACTAATGAGAATTTATAATGACTCCTAAAAAGATGTGCTTATTAAGGATCTTAATTTGGGAAGTAACTCTTAGAGCCTGGGTTAACTGGCTTTCCTTTTTTCTCTATTGATTTAGGGACGCACTTCTTTTGATCCAGTGGAACATAAGAGCTTTCATGGCTGTGAAGAACTGGCCCTGGATGAGGCTCTTCTTCAAGATCAAGCCTCTTGTCAAATCTGCCGGAACAGGAACGGAGATGGCTGGACTGAAGGAAGAGTGTGTGCAACTGCAGAAAGCCTTGGAGAAATCAGAATCTCAGAGAGGCGAGCTGACAGCACAGCAAGTGTCCCTCAGCCGGGAAAAGAATGAGCTGCTTCTTCAGCTGCAGGCTGTGAGTGGCCACACCGTTTTTTCTTCAAATCAAGTTTTTAATTAGATTCTCTTGTTTTGCAGGCAGTGTTCACCTGAAAAAAATAGAGGCACATGCATTTCGAATACTATAGAATTTCATCAAACACAGACAATGGAAACGCTTAGAGACACCCTGTTTCAGAGTGAAGTGATTTCACTGGCAGGATGTCTTTGAAAAAGGAACAACTGTGAGATGAGTTTTAACTATATAAAAGCGCTACAATCTATCGTGGGAGCCAGAAAGCTCTGAGTCTTAATTTGAATTCTGTATGCAGCCCATGACTCATTAGCAAATCAAAAGACAGGATTTAGGTCCTGAGAAAAGCTTTCCTAGATCTTCAGGATTATTGCAGTGTGCTCCTGGCTGGTTTTCCTGATTTTGGTCTCCCTACTTCCCTTTCCCCGGTCCAAATCAACATTACTAATCAGTCGAGTTCTTAGAACAGCAGTTGTCAACCTCGGCTTTGCATTAAACTCATTTGTAAAGCATTAAAAAATAAAAAGAAAGATGCCTAGACCCCACTCTGAGATATTTGATTAAGCAGGCCCTGTGTGGGTCAAATAATCTATATGGGTGATTCGATATCCAGTCAGGATTGAGAACCATTGTCTTAGACAAATATCATGTTGCTTCCCTGATGAACAAGCTTCAGATCCTGCAAAATGGACCTTATAGATCCCAAACCCTCAGCCCTGGCATTCAAGCCTCCATCTCCCATCTGTTGCCCACGTGCCGTTACTCACTGCTTTTCACATTCCTCCTCCTTAGCCACTGGGACTACAGTTACCCCCAAACATCCCAAAGGCAGGGAGGAGACTGTATTCACCTTCATTATAATCTCCACCGCACTTAGCACAGTGTTAAGTTAAAAAATATTGGGTTCCAATACAATTGTATAAATAAAACTGTTTTTCCTGCTTTTTAAACTTACTGAAAGAGAAAATTTGAGACTGACTCAAGTTATTCTTTTATTTTAGGGCTGTGCTATCCATCAATGTTCCAATCGGCCATAATTTACATAAGAATTTGCACCCAGACCCATATTTCGGATGCATATTTAACAGAGCAGTGATTCTAGAACTTTAGTTTAGTGTATATCATCTTCACCTGGGATGCTTGCTAGAAATACAAATTGTTGTGCCCCATTCCAAATCTCCTTTAAGATCCATCCTATATGAAGAACAGTTTGTAGTATTATATTTGGCCTGGTTTAGGCGAGAAGCACTTTGGATGAGACCTGGCCTCCCAGTTTTCATTATTTTTCCTCTAGACAGAGAGAGTGGCCAGTGCTACTTGGGCTGATGTGGTAGATAGAAATGGACCTAACTTGTGCAGGGAGCAACAGGTAAAAGCCTGGGATCCAGGATAAAAGATCAGTGTGGGGAGCACATGAAACATGCGTGTTCCAGGGCAAACCCAGGAAGGCAGGGATGAGTTCAAACTGTAACTGTGATTTAAAAAGTTGACAGAACTCTGACATATTTTATCATCATTTATTTGTAAGGGACATAGCTAAACACAGTAGTGATCAAGGAAACAGGATTCGTTTAAAATCATTTACTTAGAATACCAGCAGAACTGAGTGAACCGTTTCCAATTAACACTGTGAGTAGGTGACAGAATAACTGCCATTGGGGAAAGGATCTTCCTTCTGTTCAACCGCCACACCATTGCTCAGCTGGCCGTACATCTTGCCGTCACGTTTAATGAAGGGATCAATGATGGTCGATTGGACTGTCCTCTTCGTTCGGTGATGGTGACAGGTCCTGCACACATACTGAATGGAAAAGAGCAACAACCATTGCACTTGTCATCCTGGGTGAACCAAGATCAAGTGTGCCCATTATTACCCAGACATTGGAAGCTTCTCTGATTTGCATGGATTCTTCCTGCTTTGGCCTTCTTATTTGTTTGTTTTTAATTTAGCACCTTCTCTTTGGGTCTTTGGTGATGATTGAGATTTGCTCTTCTATACCTCCCCCATCTCTGCCTGTTTGAGCCCCATTTGTTGGGCAGACAGCCACTCTCTTGCGAAGACCTAGCCAGAAACCAATAGCCCGTATTTTTTCCTTTTTCTGCTCTTGATCTAAGTAGCAGAACCAACTTAAGCCAGTCAAATAGATAGGTAATGAATTGTCCAAACTGGCATATTGCAGAGGACGGTGAGGTCTAGAGAGGGAAGATGGAGATGTGTGTGAAGTTATGTTGCAACGAGACCTACGGTAATTAAGAACTTGCTCACAAAGAGGTTTTATTTAGCATCTAATGGAGACAAATTAGAGGGGTTCAAAGTTATAAAAAGTGCTTTTGTAGCAAAAGGCAATCAGCCCCCTCATTTTTCACTTGACCCATACCGCAGGAGCAATGGGTCACTCAGTGAGAGGTGGAGGCAGTACGTTTGAAAGGAAAAAGGGAGAGTACTTTGTGCTCTATGTGTATAACTTGTGGAACTTACTGCTGGCAGAATCATTGAGGAAAAGATTTTAGCTGGAAATAATAGTGAAATCTAGTTAGTGACTTGCAAGTAGCCTTATGAATTCTAAATTCAGCCTAAGAATAAAAAATATACAGCTCAGCTCTATTTATTAGAAGATACCTGTATATATTAAAACACCTGCATCGAGGCACTTATCATAATGTCATAAATATTCTATTGTCTGAGGGAACACTGCTTTCTTAAAAGACCATATTCTGAGCAGGTATCAACCTCAAACCATCTGCCCACATGGATGCTTCCAGAAGCTGTGATTTAAGCAGTACAGCGCTGATTTTGGGAGATGTGTTAGCTCCTTTAGGCCACCAGGATTCTATTAAGTGCTTTAGGAGAGGTAATCTAATCTACTGAATGGCCTGAAAGATTGAAAGCACCTCCAAACACAAGCAACTCCTCCACTTCTCCACAATAGCATCGGGGAACTGGGAATATTATTTCAACTGCTTAGGATAGGTAGGTGAAAGTGCTGGGCAGAGGGCAGGCAATTATCTCTTTGCTATGTGTTAAGCAGCATTTTCGCCTAGCTGATAAATTACTTCCAGCTGTTGGCAACAATTTTCTCCTCATCATGGCAGGAGCAAGAGACCCTGGCGAATGTTGAAGAGCAGTGCGAGTCGCTGATTAAATCCAAGATCCAGCTGGAGGCCAGAGTCAAGGCGCTGTCTGCGCGGGTGGAGGAAGAGGAGGAGATAAATTCTGAGCTGACTGCCAGGGGGCGGCAACTCGAAGATGAATGTTCTGAGTTGAAGAAAGAAATCGATGACCTGGAAACAATATTGGCGAAGTCAGAGAAGGCGAAGCGTGCTGCAGAGCACAAGGTACTTTTTCTATAACATTAGGAAGGCCTAGATGCCTGAATGCCATTCGCAATCAGGCTTCGGTACCAGCCTTGCTCTGTCTAAATTAATTAACACAGTGGCCTGCAACTGTACAGCACTGGAAGTCAGAACCAGCCTAAAATCAAGGGCCTGATGAACTGTGCTGTCCCGATTTAAATTTCCAATTCGAATTTATGGAATCCTATTTAATTTCCCAAATGAAACGTTTTTCATTTGTTCCCATCTTATTGCATCTGAAACTAAAGAGAAAGAGCAAAATGGTTTCATTGGTCTTCTAAGTATCCTTTTTTGGATGGAGAGCAAGCATGAAGCGGTTTACTGAAAGGTGATTTTGTTGTGTCTGCATCCCCAGCTCTGTCATCGATTTGGAGTTTGACCTCTTGAAGATGTCACTTTAATTCCAGTTAAGGACTTTGACGTTTTGTTCGTTTTAGTTGAGGTTTTTAGCTTGTGCATCTGTGTATGAATTGCGGTTAGCTGAGGAGTCTGTACCAAACCTCTGCTGAATTACTAGTCTCCAGAATGACACTACATTTGGCAGATATAGCAACTCTGGTGCCATTGGTTCCCTTTCATAAAAAGCACATGGGCCTGCTATAGCCAGCTTCCATTTTTGCATACTTTATCAGCTGGAACTCTTCAACTGCCACTTTCTCAGGATGTTGAGGCACAACAAGATTAATACGTGTCCCCTGAATACTCAAAAGAAAGCTAAGTTACCTTTAGTGGTGGTCTTGTTATACCATAATATGATACTCTGAAAACTGGCCATCCAATGAGCTATATTGATGATATTTGATTAACCAGAATACCCCATTCCCGGACCATGACAGGTAACAGATCTTTTTTGTGTATGTGTGGAAGAAACAGTGAATTTAGAGTTCTAAAAAGTGTATCAGGAATTTGGCTAAATTTGGTTCTTCAAGACAGTGGATACCTCATAAGAATTTTTATATTAGAAAAGAGAGAAGACAGACCTTAGCATTATACCCAGCCTTCCAGGGGTAGCTCTAATGAAGCCATTGTCATCGTCTTCCCACAGGTCAAGAACTTGGCTGAGGAAGTGGAGTCTCTAAATGAGGATATCAACAAACTTCACAGAGCAGCCACGGTCATGCAGGAGGCCCATCAGCAGACCCTGGATGACCTGCACACAGAGGAGGAGAGGCTCAGCCACCTGAGCAAGGCCAAGTTGAAGCTGGAACAGCAAGTGAGTGAGGTGAGTAGTGCTATGTCTAGCTGGTTAGCTGCCTACGTATATACGAACCTCTAATTCTTACTCAGTTAATGTATCTTGACAGTTTCAGGAGAACATAGTCATATGGCTTCTTTCTCTCATTACTTAGAAATGTTTTTTCTTAATGTCCACGGAAGCACTACAGTATAAGAGAGGCCCCAGCACGTAATCTCAGTTTTTAAATGTAACTTTCATACAACCCTGGGCAGTGGAGAACACTGAGATGAATCGTAAAGGGTTATCACTCTAAGTGATGGCTTTTCCCCATAGCTCCCACAGAACCTGGTACTTTGCCCTACAGATATGTTGGGACTCTGTTTGACACTAGTGCTGAAGGATTGGTTTAAAGGCCCTGCCATGTCTCCAGTGGTGTGCTGAGGTTTATTTATAGTTGAAAGTTACGTAAGTCACAAGCTGTGTTCTACCTACGCTGTTGGGAAATACTTGTAAGATGCTAAAGATGGTGCCCCTGGTCTGCCTCCAAGCACCCTGTGAAATAAAGATGTTTCAGATCAGTCTCAGGGGGTAGCTACGTCATCTTTCCTTTCCCCTCCCCAGCTGACACAGTGTACACACTCCTTCTCCTATTAGTCCCAAAAGCTTAGCCTTTATACAATTGCTGACAAGGGTGGTTAGGTTTTTTTTTTTATTATCTGCTTCTTTTTCCTCATGCCTCTCTATCAATTTCCTCTAATAACTGTTAGTTGTCTCACTTCTCTTCCTATTTCCACTGATTGTGTATCTCACAAAGCCTCACTATGGGGATTTATTGGTGTGTGTGTGAGTGCACACGTGTGTGTGTATGTACACTCACGCATGCGTGCACACACACACTTGTTCTCTCCTGGAGTTCATCTACTTTCACGTTTTCTCATACACCTGCCAGAAATTCTCCCTCCTCTCCCCATTTGAATTTCATGTCTTTTGCTGGTTACAGGAAATAGCTTCTATTGCTGAAAAGTAAACAAATCAATGAAAAAATAGCCATATCGTCACTGTTACCTAGCCTCCTGCTAAACTAACCTCGATATCATTGTTGACCAATCTAAACCAGACAAAACTGGAATGTTCTGACCCCCTTGGTGGGGTGCCAGAATATGACGCAATGTAATGGACTAGAAGAGGGTGCCAAGGTGTCAAAGGAGGTGCGGACATCATGTCATGTGGGACGTGTCTGAAACAGTCAGTACCAAGTTGGGAGACTCAGGACAGCTGCCTAATCATGGATGATCGTGTGGAGACAGATTTTCTTGGTGTTGCTCCAGGGAGCAGAGCTTAGACTTGTGGGAAGAATTTACAGAGAATGTTTTGGTTTCTTATGAAGAAGCACTCCCGAGTAAATGGACTTATCCACCCATGAAATGAGCTGCCATGTGAAGAAGTGAGCTTCCCGTCACTGGAAAACGATCAGAAAAAGGCTTTCTGGCCATTTATTATTGGTGCCTTCCCTAGGATAGAACATATGTTCCTTAATCTCTAATGTTTTCTTCTATCACTGTGATTTCTAGATTCTTTTATCTTATTGATGCATACAATATTTATTTAAAAATATCAGCATAATTGGGCATCATTTACAGAATCCGTGCTTGTATTTTTCTTTCTTTTTTTTCCAGAAAGTAAGTAGTTAGTGAACACATGTAGTGAAGGATAAACTTTACCTACTTATTTGGCTAAATGATATCTCCTTTTGTCAGCTTGAGGGTGCCTTTGAGCAGGAGAGAAAAGCGAGAATGAACTGTGAAAGGGAAAAGCGCAAACTGGAGGGCGATTTCAAGCTGAACCAGGAGAGTGCAGAGTACCTGGAGAGCAGCCAGCTGCAGCTAGCGGAAAAGCTGAGGAAGTAAGCCACCTTTCTGTTGCATGAGCTTCTGGGAGACCTTGTACTGAAAGGAACAGCTCTCTCATGTCGTTTATCCTCACGACTCCAGGGCCAGACGTCTCAAGACCTGAAGGGGAGGATAACAAGCCTAGGAAATGGATTTTTTTTGTTTTTGCTGGGCTTTATTATATAGTTGTAACGAGAGTAAATGCATAATCTAGAAGAATGTAATTGAAAATGCATCTGAATAGCAGATGCGAATGAAAGATGTAAGGCACATGAGATGTGAATTATTAGAATTTGAGGCACAACTCAAAAAATAAAAATGGCTCACTTCTTTTACTCATGATGAGACCAATGGCATAAAAAGTAAAACAAAAATAAAAAATTTACCCTAATGTGATGTCTCATGTACCCTCTGATCACTCCAAAAAAAATACTTATTTGCCAGATCTAACTTCATTAACGTTCATATAGCTTTTTCTTTGATCAAATAATTTACTCTTAAATATTAAACTTAAAATCTAAAGCAGAACATAACAATGATCAAAATTAATGCAGGGGCCAGCCTGGTGGCACAGCGGTTAAGTTCACGCATTCCGCTTCGGTGGCCCAGGGTTCACTGGTTCAGATCCTGGGTGCAGACCTGCTCACAGCTCATCAAACCATGCTGAGGTGGTCTCACAGAGAAGAGCTACAACTCTACAACTATGACATACAACTATGTACTGGGGCTTTGGGGAGAAAAATGAAAAAAGAAGATTGGAAACAGATGTTAGCAGAGGGCCAATCATCCTCAAAAAAAAAGTTACTCTCTTATAAAAAGTTGAAAACCTTATGTAAAAAAAAAAAATAGGGGCTGGCCCGGTGGCGCAAGCGGTTAAGTGCGCTCACTCCACTGCGGTGGCCCGGGGTTCGCAGGTTCGGATCCTGGGCACGCACCGATGCACCACTTGCTAAGCCATGCTGTGGCGGCGTCCCATATAAAGTAGAAGAGGAAGATGGGCACGGATGTTAGCCCAGGGCCAGTCTTCCTCAGCAAAAAAGAGAAGGCTTGGCAGATGTTAGCTCAGGGCCGATCTTCCTCACAAAATAAATAAATAAATAAATAAAAATGAAAATAAATAAAAAAAAATAATGGAACTTTGAGTTCACATGGATTCTTTATACCCTAAGAACCTCAGAGTAAGATGGTCCCTTCTAGTTTAGTTTCACCACTCAGGGAAATGGATTTTCTCACTGTGTCCTGTTTGTCTTCCTCTGTTTAGCTAGACTTTCTTCTAACCATTAGAGATTTTTCAAGTTATTTGGGGTGGATCAAATAAGACGGGAAGACTGTAAGGTCAAAGAGTGAGACAAGGTTAAAGGTTCAAGCTGGGAGCATATCGATCATTGGGGCCCACAGTGAAAAAGAGAAGAGAGTCAAGTGAGCAGCTATGAGCTTCTGGTTTTCCTCTTTGTGTTCGTGAGTTGCCATTATACATGCTCATGGTGTGGCTTGATTAATATTCTACTAACAAGTTACTGAACTTGATAGGTGTTTGGAAAAGGTGAAATAAGCAACCATTTGAATGTAATGGAACAGCAAAAGGCAAAATGATGATCAAGTTCCCTTAGCATTCAATTTCAAAGACTGTGTTTCAGCTCAGCAAAGTGAAAATGATACTCCATCCCTGTAGGCCAAGGTCGAAGAGCTCTGGCATTTTAGAAATCCATGTTTACAGGAAATTATAACTTTATTATAAAACATTTTTCTAAATGAACTTGTGTTACGTGGAAACTTAATACATGATAGAGGTGGAATTTCAAATTAGCGATGACAAAATAGAATACTTAAATGGTGCTGAGATTATGAGGTAAAAGTTAAACTTCTACCTCACACTATTCACACACATAAAATCCAGTGGCATTAATGAATTAAATGTAAAAATTAAGCTATAAAAAAATCAGACAATACAGCATTATTCATAATAGCCAAAATATGGAAATAACCAAAATGCTCACCAGTGGATGAATGGATAAAGAAAATGTGCTATATACATATAATGGAATATTATTCAGCCTTTAAAAAGAAAGAAATCCTGCCATATGTGACAACATAGATGAGCCTGGAGGACATAATGCTAAGTGAAATAAGGCAGTCACAGAAGAACAGTACTGCATGATTCCACTTATATGAGGCATCTAAAATAGTCAAACTCATAGAAACAGAATAGGATGGTCTGGAGACCAAGGGCTAGAGAGAAGGGAAAATGGGGAGTTGCTATTCAATGGGTATAAAGTTTCAGTTATGCAAGATGACGGAGTTCTAGAGATTTGCTGTACAACATTGTGCCTATAATTAACAAAACCGTATTGTGCACTTTAATATTTGTTAAGAAGTGGATCTCATGTTAAATGTTCTTACTGCAATAAAAATAACAAAAAAACCATTTGAAGACAATATAGGTGATGAGTCTTAGGAAATCGGCAGGTTAAATCTTCTTGAATAACTCACAAAAAGCCAAAGACATAAAAGGAATATCTTGATAAATTTGACTACATCAAAAATTTAAACATTTAGGTTGCAAAAACCAACATAAATAAAATTGCAGGGGCTGGCCCCGTGGCGTAGTGGTTAAGTGTGCGCACTCCGCTGCTGGCAGCCCGGGTTCGGATCCTAGGCGCGCACCGATACACTGCTTGTCAGACCATGCTGTGGTGGCGTCCCACATAAAGTGGAGGAAGATGGTCACAGATGTTAGCCCAGGGCCAGTCTTCCTCAGCAAAAAGAGGAGGATTGGCATGGATGTTAGCTCAGGGCTGATCTTCCTCACAAAAAAAATAAATAAAAATAAAACATAAAATTGCAACAAATTATAAAGTATGAGAAATATCTACAATAGATATCAAAAATAAATATCAAGAATATTAAAAGAAAATCTTTAATTCAATAATTAGATGAGTAACCTAATAGAAAAATAGGCAAAGGACACAAGCAGGCAGTTCATTTGGTTTACTGGCCATTTTTAAATCCCCATAGTTGACAAGATGTTGTCATCACTAATAAACAAGGACATCCAAAATAAAACAATGACATACAAATCCATTCTCTCAGATTAGGAAAAATTTAGCAGTATGCTAATATTAAGAATAAATGTAGAGAAATAATAATCTTACATTGCTATTGGAGGTCAAAGGGCAGGGCTATATATTTTTAAGCACATACCTGTACCTGACCCAGCAATTCCCTGCTCAGTGTCCACTCTAGAGAAACACTCACTTGTACACAAGGAGGCGTGTATGTGAACAGTGTTATTTGTAAAAGCAAAATATTGGGGAAAACCTAAGTGCTTATTTATAGAGAAATGGATAAATAAACTACAGGAAGTCTAAATCATGGAATAGGTTGTCAGTTAATTTTTAAATGAAGTAATCTATGTGTGGGCCAACATGGAAAAATCTTCAATGTATTATTGGGTTAAAAATAAGTTATAGAACTATATATACAAATGTATACAATACTATACCTTTCACAGTAAAGAATGAAACTATTTCTACTGAAATATAAGCACAAACATATGTCAATACTTAGAAAAAAATGACTGGATGGATTCACACCAAACTGATAGTGGTGGTCACTTCTAGGGAAGAAACAAAGATTGGGTGTAATAGCCAAGAAGAGTTCAGATATAGATGTAATAGTTGAATTTTTACAATGAGAATGAATTCATGTGTTATTACTAAAATTCTAAAAATATTTAAACAAAACATTATGACTCTGAACAATTCCATTTGATACATTTTTCCAAACAGAAAAGAATTAGAATTGAGTCGGATGAAATCAAACATGGAAAAGGAGAAAGGCCTGGTGGCTCAGCTTCAGAAGATGGCTAAAGAGCTTCAGGTAATCATTTATCCAGTACCTGTGAGTACCTGTATTGAGATGCATGGGTGGCGACTGGTGCTTCACTGACAAATGCTCTGCCAAGGTATCCACACCCTTAGCCAACTATAGACAGAGGCAGAAAGAGCAGTGGTTAAGAAGGTAAACTGTGGCATTCCACAGATATGTGACTCTTAGGAAAATAACTTTTTAAGCTTAAATGTCCTTCTCATGAGAATAATAAAAACAAATAGCTAATTTGTTGAATGGTTGCTGTGCACCAGGCATTGTGCTAAAATCCTAGGCATGTATTTTTTCACTCATTAATCCTCCTGACGGCCTTTGAGCTGATAATATTAAATGCAACAGTACATTTGAGCAGTAAGCACAGTGCCTGACCCGTGGTAAGCATTGTGTTAGCAATTTAATTTTTATGATGATTAGTCTTTGTGATTAGAAGGCAATTATGTGGAAAATCTGTTTTGTAGCTGCTTGTAGCTTCCAGACATTATTTGATAACAGGCACTTATTTATAAGCTTTAGACCATGTGACTGTTTTATACTATATGACGATGTTATAAAGTAATATAAATATATACGTATACATGTAACTCCTCACATACACATACGGATGGGTGTTTTTCCTTTGAAGCTAAACAGTTATCTCAGTAATGTAACCATTACACAAAATAATTTCAGAACCCCTTTCTGAAAATTATCTTCTGATACCTTTTAAGTGAAATAAGAAAACCAGTCTTGCTGCTATCTGGACAGGCTTTTGGACACAATATTAATCTCCAAGTGATTATCTATCATATTCACCAAGCTTGTCTTCAAAAGACAGTTGACTTTATCCAAAACAAAAAATAAATCCAAAATTTTAATTCATCCAAAAGACAAATTTTCTTACCTTGATGATTAAAAAAAATGCTTTAAAGATTATTTCTGAAGAAATGTTTCAGAAATGTTGGGTTCAATGACAGTATTATTTGGGATAAAGGTGTTGGATCCCAAGAATGCTAGTGGAAAGAGGATCGTGTTTACTTGGATGTGGAAATCATAGATTTTTTTACCACCTTCTCTGTCACAACTCATCCACAGATCTGATAGCTTACTTACGTGGTATGATCTAGAAATCACCATCCTCTAAGCCGTGGTGCTCTTACTTAACGGAAAGGAAAACATATTCTAAAATAGATTCTATCCTTTTTTCCCTCCACCCTAACCTATACCTAATTGTTTAAGGTGATGTTAGTGAACATCAGTGGCTTCAGTGTGCTGTTCTACAATGTGTAGTGTAACGTATAATGTACTACAATGATGCTGTCAAGATTGTAGAGCTATTTGCTCCTACACTAAAAGAGTTTTGGGTTCTGGGAGGTCTTATCACCGCTTTTCTTTGCCTAATAATTCTGCCTCTGATGGTATCAGATTACTACTCACATTAGTAGTCCCCTTTCCTCCACCTATTCCAATCTGTTACTTCAGCTCTCCTACTACTTGAGATTGCCTGCAGACTAAGTAGCCACATTTGTCAGAATTGTGTATAAAATTAAATTATGCCATTTCTTATGAGTAAGTTGCTTGAACTCAGAGATATTCATTCTGTTGTTCAGATTTTTGCCCCAGTTCCCAATAGTTGAGATTGTCAGGTAAATGAATTCCAGATGAGTTAGGTATTGTATATAAAATTCATCATTATTTTTTACAAACTCTCTCTAAATGTTTTTCTTGTTATATGAAAGATATTTCCCATTCCTTTGGAAGATCCTCCTTACTAAGTTTTCTCCTCCACATGTATAGTGTAATGAAGTTGCTCATCACCAAGGGCTGGGAGATTTGGAGGAACTGCAAATTTTAATTTTGGTCTTGGGACTGATTTGGAGCAAATCTCCTAATTTTTGTGTGTTTTATCTTCTTTAACTATAAAATGGGAACCAAAAGTGTTATATTATTTTTCTTAGTTTTGAGAAATTAAAAAAATAAAAGATACGGTAAGGCTCTTGAATATAAAAGATGCTCCAAGTGTTTAGTAAAAGTCAAAATTATTTATTGCTGCAGACTCACATACAAGATTTGAAAGAGGACCTAGAAGCTGAAAGGACCACTCGAGCCAAGGTGGAGAGGGAGAGAGCCGACCTCACCCAAGAACTGGAAGAGTTGCATGAGAGGCTGGAGGAGGCAGGAGGGGCCAGTTTGGCTCAGCTTGAGATAACTAAGAAGCAGGAAATAAAATTCCAGAAGCTTCGCCAAGACATGGAAGAGGCCACATTGCACTTTGAGACAACTTCTGCCTCTTTGAAGAAGAGACACGCGGACAGCCTGGCTGGGCTCGAGAACCAGGTAGAGAGTCTACAACAAGTCAGGCAGAAATTGGAAAAAGACAAGAGTGACTTGCAGCTAGAAGTGGACGATCTCCTGAGCCGTGTTGAGCAGATGACCAGAGCTAAGGTAAACATTCCCAAGCCCTCCTCGTGGACTTCAGAACATGGAAGTAGGTAGGGGAGATGAAGGAAAAGAAAATTAACCAGACTGGTGACTCAAGGTGTTTGCTAATGGAGGCTCCGGTTCTTCAGATTGACTGGATCTGGCCTAACGTCAGCGGTCGTTGTTAAGGTCACGTGACCATCACCTGAATGTAGCCTGACGGTGGCTTCTTTTTTTTTGAAATTCCAGTCGGTGTTCCTTGTGGTTCTTTCTGGTGATGACATAAGTAAGTAGGCTGGGAAAGTGAAGCCACTAGCTATGTGAGTGTTGTGTCTCTCTTGAAGAACAGTTTTGTGTTGGGAGCACTCCTCGGGGTGGCCTAGATACTTCTAGAGTCTGTCTGAATGAATGGTGGACACAAACAGCTTTGCTGAGAGAAGGAACTTTTTCTCCCTCACGTCCTCTGGCGTCTCTTTAACCAGCCAGCACTAGAAGAAAGTTTCATCACATGTCCTTTCTCCACTGAACCTGTTAGTGTATACTCTGCACACTCTCGTCTCAAACGACTAGCATCAGATCACAGGTAGTGGTCACCCTGCCTTCTGGAAGTTGAGAGGAGGCTTGCTTTAGATCAAGCAGAGCTCACAGCTAGAGCGAAATTCTCCTTGTGAGCAGAATTTGTAAAGTCACCTGAGGACGAGACAAACCAACAATAAAGCTTCATCTTCTTGGACCGTGGCCAGAAAAATGTAAAATTTCTTCATGGATTTTGAGTGGCTCTTAAAATGTTTAGCATTAATTCCCTTTAAAGACCACATTGAGTAGAAAGAAGCACAATCACCCTGCTCCCCCCACCCTCTCTTCACTGTCCCCTCTACCCCACCTCCAATCATCTTAGACTATAAATCTAGTGAGGTCTTGGGTCGTCTCTTTCTCCTCTATCTCTCATATGTTCTGCATTTTATATGGATTCTGTCTTTCACTCAGCAATGAAAACATCCTCTCTCCATGCCCTGTAGGCTTCCTTTGCCTCCCTCAGCACAAATGAGGACCTAGGAGTCCTTACTCTCTCCATATTCCACTGTGCCTCTCGTTTATCCTCAGGAACTCTTCTGTTTCTGCACATTTTCGTAAGAAGTCATAAAATCATAAAACTGTTGATAGGTTCACCATAAATCCATTAGGTATGAATTTCATACTTTCCAATTGCCTCTGGAATTTCATTGCTGCTCAGTTCTTTAATTTTCTAATTCACCTTCTGTTTTATTTTATACAAAATCCTTCCTCAGATTCTAACCCTGCCTTTCTGAATCCTTCCTGTCAATAAATGAGAAGAACTAACTAATAAAATCAAGACCATTCAGTATAACTTCTCTCTCCACCTTATAAGTTATATTTTTCTTTTCCCTCATCCATCTCTTTTCTTCTTATCCCAAAGAATAAAATATTTTTCTTAAAACCATTATTCACTGGTTCCAAAAAACAAAAACAAACCAAAATAAGAAAGATTTTTCCTCAGATACTAGCGATGGGATTTTGAAAGGAAAGCAGAGTCTGTCCGTACCTGCCTTAATCTGTCTCCTTGACCAAAGGGTAGTGTTCTATTTATCTATTGCTGTATAAGAAATCATCCCAGAACCTGTAGCTTAAAACAATATTTTATTATTATCTCTCTTGGTTCTGGGGGTTGACAGCCTTAGCTCAGATGGCAGTTGAGACTGGGGTCATCTGAAGGTTTATTCACTCATATAACTAGATCCTGGGCTGGGAGAGTTATAACAGCTGGGGGCTGGTTGGAAATCTCTCTCCCCATGTGACCGCTAACTTTTACATATGCCTCTTGGGAATTCTGTGGCTCACAGATTCAGTGACTTGTCCAAGGTCATACAATTATATGGCAGAGATGGGCCTCAACTCCAAATCCTCTATATGTATCTGTGGGTGACCACATTCTGCTGCCACCTTAAATATTTGTTGGTGGGATAAATTGATTCTGTTCACTCTCTTAGGCATATACATTATGCTGAAGTTTTTCTTGAATTGTTTACTTCATGTTTTCCTGAATTATAATGTCAGAAATGCCAATACTCAACGGTACAGTGGAAACTGAAGCATTTTCAAGGCATATTATGCTGACAGAGAGGCCCAGGGCAATTTAGAAGTTATAGGCAATCTCACAATTATCTTGATTATTTTGAATTCCCATTGGTTCCAGCATTTCTGGGAGGCAGCATTTTTATGCATCACTTTAACAACCAGCTTTAGCATGAACATGCATTATGCTATTAACCTCTTATTTCCCAGTATCAAAATTTAGTGTCTATCCTTATGCTTATATTTGAAGTTCTTTTGAAGGTCCAACCCCTTTGAATGTTATATCCCTCTACAGGCCACCTTTAGATAAACAATCTCATTGTCTTTTGCAGATCCTGCTTCTAAAAATGCTTTGTAAATTGAAAACAGTATTCCAGTGCTTAGCATTGCCTGTGGATACCTACCATTTGAGGCTGTGCCTAAGGGCAAGTGCCTTTTCTGCCTGCCCAGGTGGCTGCCTCCTCTGCAGATATGCACAGCCCTGCTGGGCTTCCCCATACAGGCATCTCTTGAAAACTGGGGATTCCCTGGCTCCTTCTCTTGCCATTTCCACACACCATTGACTAAGTTGTCTTAGAGAGATCTGTGTTCATTCACCCTCAGCAAACACGTACACAGCGTAACATAGTCAGGGCACAAACACAAGTGCCATTCCTTATACCTGGATGTGTTCCTCCTGGCCCAGTTAAGGGGTCATTTACTATTGGAGACAACATACAATACAGGTGGTTCCCATAGGCATCATATTTTTATCCAATTTCCTCTGGGACCTAGAATTCGTGACAATTTGAGCCAACTAGGACATCAAGTCAATTAATCCTTAACATTTCCTTTGCTATTACTACTTCACGTAACACATCTTTATGAATCTAGTATTTGATCTTTGTTTGTTTCTTTGTTTGCATTTGCACAGGCAGTTATTGGTTCAAATCTTAATTTCAACACTTACTAGCTGTGTGAATTTGGGCACGGTGTTTAGCCTCTCTGACTCTGTTTTCTCATTTGTAAAACAGGTCAGTCTGAACTCTTGAAGGATATTGTGAGGAGAACAATGAGTGTGCCAACTTTGTCAAATTGCTTCCAGAAGTGAGAGCATTCAAAATATAATTAGAAATTTCAGACCATCTAAAAACTGTTACATTTATCACTACTATAGCTTTCTTCTAGAAGCAAGTGGAGAGAGTGGATAATTGAGTGTACCTGGCACTTAACATCAGTGCTCTAACCTGTGTGATGCTGATGGCACTGTACGAGAAACTGGTCATTGAATCTCTGCCAGATCTGGTTTCACAACCACCAACAAGCTTGGGTGTGCTATGGAACATCTGTGACTTTCCTCATTAGCCTCCAAATGGACATTATCTGATTAGTTTGCTAATCAATGGATAATATCCTTGACCAAGTTAAAAAAGGGGGTTGGAATTCATAAGGAAAGTTTGACTGTGACCTCTATGTAAACTTTAGTGGATATGTTGGCCAACCTCTTACTAAAGTCTGCAGTAGTTTGAGTCTCTTAGACATGTATTAAGTGCCTCTGTTGTGTCAAGCACTGCATTCGGCCTTGGGGACATGAGAAGATGCAATCGAGGAGTCTTTCATAGGGAATTTAGAATAGTCAGTAGTGCAAACTTAAAGAGAACAATCTTCAACATAGTGTAGACTCCAGCTGGAGATCTCTAAGACTTTTGCTGATTCAGAAGTTTCCCGGAAGACCAAACCTGGCATCATCTTTTAAATGTTCCTGGTCCTTGGCCATTGCTATATCATAACAATTAGGTTGACATTGAGACTATCAGGTTTTCCACCAGATTTCAGCATTTTCTCCAATGCCGTTGGCATGATCCCTTCTTTGTTTTCTTATTCTTCCATTTCCAAAGACCACATTTCCATAGTGCTCTTTCTTTGTAGAGACAAAAGTCTCATGGGCTATTTATGGATTGATATTTAATATATGTAAAGAGCAAAACACAAAAACAGCTCTGTAAAGTCTATAGAACCACCAAGTCATTTTACCATTTCTGACCATATTAATAAGAAGAATGCATATTAAAGCTAGGTAAAGAGGATACCATCATCTTACATTTGTCAGCTCTTGGTCCTGAGAATATTGAGTTTCAAAGTCACTAGCATTAGTTTCCAGAATGTGGCAAGAATCTGATGATTAGATCTGTTACCTAAACCAGGTAGAAGTGCAAAGGCTGAATGGCACAGACTTTTCTTTAAGCATAAAAAACTATTTCTGAGAAGTTGGAGTTTGTTATTGAAGTACTAACCCAACAGGGTTAATTTGAGCTTACAGTCTTAGTGATCAGGAGGGTGCGGTTGCTTTGACAGTTCAAATTTCTGTCATCAAGCAGTTACAGCTCAGGTCACCCATTTAGTTTCTCCTATCCTGATGGTTAGCCCTTTGGATTTCCTTTCTTCTTATTCCATCCCCTCCCTCCTTATCTCCCCTCCCTCTGCACGTACACTCTTATTTACTGAGTGACTAGTATGTGCTAGGCACTATTCTAGGCACTGACGGTATATCTGCAATCAAACAGAATCTCTACCCTTATGAAACTTATGTTCTAGTGGAAGAGAAAGATGGTTAAATATATAATATAATGTCAGGAAGTGATGATGTACTTCATCAGTGTTTGGCATGTTTCCCTCTTCAGAAGAGCGAAGAATTCTAGAGAGTGTCCCAATACTTAGAGTTGGGTTTCTCTGTTGACACATACAGTCTGAGAAGTTTGGGCCTCTTAGGGGCCCAGACCCTGAGTTTACTGTGCTTTCTTAAATTAGAAGATTGATTTGCTGGCTAGGTCTTCAGAGGATAAAAGAGCACAAGGGTCCCAGGAACCTCCCTCCCCTCCTTCTTTATGTGGCTAACTCAGCATGGATTCTATGAGCCATGTCCAACTCTTCTTTCTCAACTCATAGAATAATGCTGAGAAGCTCTGTAGTCTGTACGAAGAGCGCTTGAATGAAGCAAATGTAAAACTAGATGAAGTGACTCAGTTGGCAAATGACCTGACAGCACAGAAGACAAAGCTCCGGAGTGAGAATGGTGAGTAAACATGCTGCTTCGCTTGCTTGTGAGCCTCAATCCAGCAGACTGGTGGAGGGACGACTGAGATGGTAAGCCAGTCACTGAGCTGGAGTGGGCAGTTGAAGATTCTAGGGGAAGAAGGAGGCCTCTGATAGACCCTTGTTCACAGACACGCTCTTGTCTGGGAAGGGATACTTCTGTGCCACTTTGGGAGGCTCTGCCTAGTTCTCATCCATGAAGGGGAAAACCAACATTCAGTTGGCTAAGCATCTCTCAAGACCAAAGGATGGGAGGGGCTATCCACACATGCTACAAGACACGCCTTTTTATAATGTCTACCTCATTGAAAGAGGCATTTTTTCTAATTTTCAATAATGAACCCACATTTCTTTCCTACACTCAGTAAAAGCCATAGTCTGTACAATGGCTTACAAGGACCGCACAGTTGGGCCCCCCATTATCTCTTCGACCGCTTCTGCTGCTTTCCCCTCTCTGGTCTGCTTTGGCCACATTGACCTCTTTGCTGTGTTTTGAACACACCAGGCACATTCCCACCCCACAGTCTTGCCCTATCTATTTCCTCTGCCTGGAATACCCTATTAACACTGCGGAGACTTGAAGATGAAAGTTAATCAAATGGGTATCTGGGGGATGTCGAAATAGGCCTTGTTGAGAAGGCGACATTTGAGAACTTGCAACCCGTTTCCTCCATGTGCTTCTTTTTCATAATATTTACTACATTCCAACAAACTACATACTTGACACAACAAACATGCTTATTTGTCCATCTCCATCTGCCAGAATATAAGCATCTTGAGGGCAGGGGTCTTTGTTGTGTTCACTGATGTATGCCAGTCATCGAGAACAATGCCTGCCACTTAATGGTGCTCCACAAACATTTGATAAATAAATTAAAAGTAGAAAAATGTCCCATGGCTTGCTGTCTACTATTAGCCATGATGACAGTTTTTTTGGGGGAAAAATTTTCCAATCTTTTACATTGTGGCAATCTATTTGGGGTTTTTCTTTTTCAATTTGTCATAAGCTTTTTTTGTATCCCGTGTCCTCAGTCATTTATAATTGCTGCTTCTAATCCATTAAGTAGAGGGACATAGTTTACTTAATCTTGCCCTGTAACTTGACTTGTTTCTCTGCTATAAGCAGCATGTGGCTGGATATTTGTCTGCAATTAGAATTATTTTTAGTAGTATATTCCCAAAGATAGAATTCCTAGGTCAATAGAAATAAACAATATGTTCTTGATGCCCAGAGAGACACACTTCGAAAAGAGAATGAAGACCATTTGGACCATTAACCTCCCTCTGCCAATGCACACTTCTGTTCCGAGATGCTAAATCTAGCGCCAAAGCTAAATTAAAACGAGCTGGCAAAACCACAAGCCTGGAAATCTTTAAGAGGAAAGTGTTTTTGGTTCTGGCAGGGACACCGAATAAGCCTCTTCTTATACTGGTGACAGCGTGTGTGACACCTGGCCTTGTTACAAAGCCCACAGTTTGATCTTTTGTGCCATCAAGGATGTAGTCTGTGTGTGGACTCCACAGTCCAGGGACAAGCCTGGAGAATGCCTGGATGTCTGGCCCTGCAGGAAGTGCTGTATAAAATTGGTTCTGATAGTCACTGCCTACCTCCCCCTACTTATTGGCGTTAATTTTCTATTCAGTTTTTTGATGAGGAAATTGGTGGGTAAGTGAGTGAAGTGAAACTGGGTCTGAGATGATGATTCTGCTTAGGATGCAGGACCTTTTCTTCCTTCCCTTAATTCTTATCTTTACCTTTTGGCTTTTGTGTGAGTTAATTTTAAGTATATACCCAGCCAAATGTCCCCGCCCCTCACTGGGTCTATGCTTCAGGTTTTTTAATGCTTTTGTACCACTACTGCCTAAGTTTCTTTCTCATGCCCTATCCTGTCAGCTTATCATACCCTGCTTTCAAAGGAGACCGATAGTAAATGTGGTCAATTAAGCCATGTTAAATGGGTTCTGTTCTGTAATATACGTGATATATTAGTCTCAACCCACTAATGGATCAGCACATCTTCAGAATCCTTGTAAATATAATGTTTTCACACAAAGATTCTCAAAGTTTGGTCCACAGACTCCCAGTGATTGTCAAAACCCTTGTATGAGGTTAATTATATTATTCATTATAATTCGAAGATGCTGTTTGCTTTTATTATTCTTTCGCCATTTGTATTGATGGTGCAAAAGCAATGATGATTAAAACTGCTGGAGCCTCATCACCAGTCAAGACAGCAGCACCAAACTGTGCTAGTAATCATTGTACTCACTGATACATACTCACAGTTTAAAAAAGTCAGTTTTGTTTAAGAATATCCTTAATGAAACAGTAAAAATTAGTTTTATTAGGGGCTGGCCCCATGGCCTAGTGGTTAAGTTCAGCACGCTCTGCTTCAGTGGCCCGGGTTCAGTTTCCGGGCACGGACCTACACCACTCGTTGGCGGCCATGTTGTGGCGGTGACCCACATATAAAATAGAGGAAGACTAGCGCAGATGTTAGCTCAGGGCGAAACTTCCTCAGCAAAAAAAAATTAGTTTTATTATAGCTCAACCTTGAGTATATATCTTTTTGATTTTCAGTGTGACAAAGCAAGAAGGATGCATAAAGCACTTCTGTTTCACGCTTCAGTACGATGGGTGATTGTTTAAACTCTGAGCTCAACTAGCAGTTTTTTCTGGGAGTACCGTATTTACTTGAAAGAAAAATTGAGAAACTGTGCTTATTCAGACTTAGATATTTGGCAGATATTTTCTCAGAAATGAGCAGAGTGAGCCTGTCACTTCAAGGAAAACAACTGACAACGTTTGTTGCCAACAATAAAACTGGAGCTTTTAGGCAAAAATTAGATTTTGGAAAACATGTATATGCTATCATGAGCTTGACAGCTCTCAATTCTTAAAGACTTTTCTGATGAGATCAGTGGTGATGTTAACAAATATACTTTTTTTATATTGTATAATGAAATGTGTCAACATTTGGAAGATCTGCATAATTCAGTGAACACATTTTTCAGATCACTACTTCATGATGTTACAAAATCATGAATGGGTAAAAGATCCATTCAAAGTTTAAGACAGACCCAGAAATTTTAATGTAACAGAGGGAAAAGTTCATTGATGTGGTTTATTCCATATTGCAACTAACCCTTAAGAAACTTCTATTTGTTGGGTTTTGGTGTAGTAGCAAATAGTGGTCACAGTTATCTAAAAAGACTATGAAAATACACTTCCCTTTTCCAACTACTTACCTGTGAGAAGTTGGGTTTTCTTCATACACTTCAACCAAAACAATATATTATATTGTTGAATATATTATATACTCAATAAATTGAATTCAGAAGCAAATATGATAATCTAGCTATCTTTTATTAAGCCAGAGAATTTTATAAATGTAAAACAATGTCATTTTTCTCACTAATTTTTTTGGTGGGGGTCTTGAAAAATCTAGTTTTTTACCCTAAAAAAATTGTTTATGTTAACATATCATTAATATTTTTATTATTATTATTTTAAAATGAATTAATACACATCTTAAATTTCTCTTTTAATTTCTAATACACTATCTATTAATATAAAACTCAAGTGAACAAAATCTCTGTGGGGTCCTCAATAATTTTTAAGCATATAAAGTGTTCCTGAGACCAAAAAGTTTGGGAATCACTGCTTTAGCCCAAACAGATGCTTCCTTGTAATGTTGAGAGTTTTAGAACTTATTTGTAGCCAGAAGGATGAAGGCATAAACATTTGGGGCTTTTAGTGTTGCACTAATTGTGTTATAGAAGCAGCCTTGGCTCAGGATTGGCTTAGCTTTAGTACTATTTCTAATAACCAAGGCATTTTTGACCTTGCGTTAATGAAATAAGCTAAGCAGTGAAGGCAGACTAGAGTGTAATAGAGTTTCCACCTCTCATCGTCACATTCCCCACCATTTAATGACTATTTCTCATATTTATTTAGCAATTCAGTCTACAAAATACATTCACACTCATGTAATTTTCATTAACAATCTTTTATTGTTATCTTCATTTTGCAAATGAGGCAAAGAAGTTGTAATTATCTAAAAATTATATAGCCAGAAATTGGTAGAGCCACACATAACAAACAAGAGAGCATGGCATAAAGGAAAGAATGTGTTCTTCAGGATTAAGAACTTAATTTGAATCTATATCCATTAATTACTAGCTATGCGTGTTTGTGTCTCAATCACATTGAAGTAAGTTGCCCTGTTTCCCCCCTTGCAAAATGGGTAATATAATACATACATTATTAAGGAGTTATGAGAATTAAACCAGATAATATACATAAAGTACCCACCGCATAGAAGAGTCTCAATAAATGGTAGCTAATATTATGTGTTATCGACTCATACTTACTACTAAAAATCAGTTCTTTATTAGGGCTCTCTTGTGAGTCCTGGAAAGGCTCATTGCCATCATTTACCGATAACTGGATTCTCGGACCCCTTCTAAATATCAAAAATATGTGGGTAGGGGTCATTCTGGTTGCCCTCAAAGTCAACAAATTAAGTGGGGGGGGGGGTGGAATGGGGGCATTAGATGAGGAGGAAGACTGTGATTAGCTTATTTTGTGAAATCTTTCTGTAGGTGAGTTCCTAAGGAGGCTGGAAGAAAAGGAGGCTCTGATAAACCAACTTTCCAGAGAAAAGAGCACCTTCACTCTGCAGATTGAAGAAGTGAAAAGACAACTGGCAGAGGAGACCAAAGTAAAGCATCTATTATTGCTCACTAGTAGCTTGACTATGTTTAAAAAAAAACGAGTGCTTGGTGGGTGCAACCTGAATATCTTCTCATATGAAAGAAGAGGGGAAAGTGCCCGAGAAGTTATGGGAAAAAAGACTTGTTGGGCCTTGTATGTGCCAGGAAGGGCCTTGATCACTGAAGGATCTTCCTAGTGATGCGAATGGCTTCTCTACTCTGTCAGATTTAGAAGAAGCACAGTACATGTTTCCAGTTTGCATTATTACTTGAACAGAAAGTCTGCAAGGCTCTTTATGGATCTTTGGTTCTAAATTGCACCAAGTGGAATTTACATAAAAGACCAGAATGAAATAAATGGGGCTGGCTTAGTTTAATATTACTTTTAAATTGTCAATAAATTATAGATATTAGTCATTTCTTCCCAAGAGAATATATAATGCTGCTAGTCAGCTGACCCCAGTGAAAGTATTTCTTTAAGGTGAAAGCATAGCGACTCACATGAGAGACGAATTCTTTGAGCTCTGGTATTTCAAGTTAATTCTTAGTCTATATTCAAGGTGTCTTGTTACGAAGACCTCAGAGTACCTCCCTTGTACATAATGTCACTGCAAAGGCATCTAGTGTGAGGGGCGAGGTCATTGAGTCTTCAGACTTCTGTTTTTAAATATTTTATTTTATTTCCTGTACTCTCTTTATTTTCTATATTATATATAAATCTTTAAATTGCTTCCATGGTCTGTGCATCAAACATTATGCTAGATAATTCTCTCATGTTATCTCAATCTTCATATAAGTCATATGAAACAGGTAGAATTATAACTTTTTACATGAAGAAACCAAGGCTCTGAGAAGACAAATAACTTGTGTAAAGTCGTACAGCTGGTAGCAACTGTGAAGGAAATTGAGCAGGTAGTGGAATGACTTGATTTATATTCTAGAAGCTCTCTCTGGCGGCCTTCCCAGTGGCTTCTGACTGGCCTACAAGGCCCCCTTACTCCGGCTGCAGCCTTGTCTGTGACCTGACTTCATCATCTGCTTCCCTCATTCCCTCTCCCCGGTCACCCTGGCCTCTGTTCCGCCTCTTAGACAAGCTGCCGTCATTCTGGCCTTAGGACTTTTGTAGCTGCTATTCCTGTGGCTTGAGGGCCCTTCCTCAAGGCCTTTCAGGGACGACGAGAAGGAGGCAAACATTCTACGTGGTGTCAGTCTGTTTTATTTTCTTACTGCTGTCAGTAATCTTATTTATTAACTTGTTTACATGTGTGTTTTGTGTGTCTTCTCAGTCCTTTTCGCTCCTTAGGGCAAAGAGTTTGTCTCATTCCCTTCTGTAAACACTAATGCCTGGAACAGGTGCTCAATAAATATATATTAAATTACAGGAAGGGTCGCAATTTGAAGCCAAGTTTATCGGATTCCAAAGCCTGGGTCACTGTATATATTGTTGCTCCTCATTCACTGCCCAAGGGTGTCTGGTTGAGGTTGCCATTAACCAAGCCTTGTGCTCTCAGAGCTGCATCTACCTGAGAAGATGCTTTTCTCTAATTTGCGTAAAGGACCTGTGAGGACTGAGACCCTGGTTCTTCCCACTAGACTAGGTTATCTTTTGGGAACAATGCTACTCGGTTAACCAGATTACCATTTAAGTGATAGAAATGGTCATTAAACCCAGCTCTGCTGTCCAATAAATACAGTAGACACTACTACACTACAGGTGGCTATCTAAATTTAAATTTATGTTAATTAAAATTAAATAAACTGAAAATTCAGTTTTGACCACACATTGTACTGGGTACATTTTGAGTGTTCAATGGCCACATGTGGCTAATGGTTACCATATTGGACAGTGCACATATAGAATATTTTCATCACTATAGAAAGTCCTATTGGATAGTGCTGTTTTAAAGTGATAAGAGATAATGTTTTTAGAGATTTACACGTGAAATGAAAGGTTTTGTTTCCCTCATCAATGGAATGAAAAGGCTAGACTAAATCTCAGTGGTCCTTTCTAGTCCGAATAAGATCTGAATCTTATATATGGCTAAATATAAATCTTATTGCTTAAATGATAGTGAATGTTCTCCTTGCTACCTTCACATTCTCCATTATTTCCAGGACCCCAGGCCAGTCTGTTGTTGAAGCCACACAGTCAGGCTGGCATTTCCTTAAATAGAACTCTCTTCCCTGTTTTACCAGCAGCAATTAGATACTCTATCCTTTCTCTTGTCCCAAATTCTCCCCCTGGTATTACCTTACTACGTTCAGGTTCAGCTTGAATTTGTGGCAGGTTGTTATTAACCTTATCTGAAAAAAATGATGTAACCTTCAAGCCTTTATCTAGAAAAAATGATGTCACCTCCAAGCCTTTTGCTGTTAATGGTGATGGTGCCTTTTTTTAACGTGTGTTGTGTCTCATACAGTCACAGAGTGCCCTGGCCCAGGCACTGAAGTCAGCCAAGCGTGACTGTGACCTTCTACGAGAGCAGTATGAGGAAGAACAGGAGGCCAAGGCTGAGCTGCTTCGGGCTTTATCCAAAGGCAATGCTGAAATTGTGCAGTGGAGAATGAAGTACGAGGATGATGCCATCCAGAGAACTGAAGACTTGGAGGATGCCAAGTGAGTAGGGCAAGGCTACCCTGAACCTGGAGTTGTCACACAGCAGATTATGGGAATAGTGACTGTGTCTTCAAGGCCTCAAGTATGCACTTAACGAATACTTGCCAAGTGCATGAACAAGCCCAAGACCAAAGCTGAAACAGCCACCCCTGGCAAGAAGCACATGTTCTAGAGAGGCCAAAAAAAAAAAAATTATAATACAACATGATAACAGCTATAGAAAGGTCCTGGGGAGAGAAAGGAGGCTCTTTCTAGGGGTACGAGGGAAGTCTGAGAAGATGTGACTGAACAATGGTTTGAAAATGGTCTAGCACTTAAAATCCTTTATTTCATTTGTGACACCAAAAAAATTGAGGCCATGTGTGTACACGTCTGCCTACACTAAAGTCATCAGGTCTCTGGTCTACAACTTGTAGACTACAAAGTGATCTGTGAAGGTGGACAGGGATGGCTGGAAACATGATAGGATCTGTCATCATGCCTTATGGGACAAAGGTTTCTTTGAAAAGACATCACCCTCAGGCCACCTCTAAGGTTAGTTTTATAGCCAACACTACATAAAGGCTTCAGAAGTTCTTTCAGGAACTACCGAAGTTTTGCGCCCAGATGCATCATGACCTGGACCAGGGTGCAGTACTGATGCATTTTGCTCAGAGGTCGAAGGACTGTGTATCTCTGAGAGAAAGTGTCAAACCGACCCCAGTTTATAATCATTAAAGGTTTACTCAAAAGAACGTGTCTGGCTTGGTAGCTTGGCAAAAATCCATGGCAGATCAATACATTTCTCTTTCGCTTCAACCAAAAATATTGTTTTCAGTTCTTCACTGAAATCTTTGAGAGACAGTGCTGTGCACTTGCTGTACAGCCACTGTGTTCTGTCCCAGAACGGGTACCAAGCGATCCCTCTCTGTAGCCACGGTAACTTACAAAGGCTGTGGGATGACAGGTACTAAAAATACCTGCAGTCGACGCTTTAAAAACTCCAGACCACAGAAAAGTGGGGCTTTGAACTGAAATGGCTCCTCATATCCAAAATATGGCATTTGCTTTTAAAGTAAGATTTTTTTTTCTTCTAATGATTGAAGAATTCGGATGAAAGTGCCTACCAGTCCTTCTGTTTGAAGGTTTCTTTGGGAGGGCTAGAAAAGAGGGACAGTATAGAGGTACTTAGGACCACACGGATTTGTTGGAACTAATTGTTCTGTCCTACATGACGACTAAAGAAAAATACCATGGGCAAACATGGTAATATCTGAAGACCTTTTTTGCTTTAAACTTAGTTGAACATCAAATAAATAAAGCATTTTCTGTATTACGCTTTCCCGCTAAATCACCTCAGGGAGGTAGAGCTACCAAAAAAAAAATCTAGGATTCTATTTGTTTTACTTGGAAAGTTGAGGATCTGCCTGCTCTGATTTCCAGGTTTGGGTTCACAAGAGTTAGTTTAGTGGAATTGGAATCAGGCTCAGCTGAGGCCCAGCTTGCTGCTCTGAGTTCTGAGTTCCCCAGGGATAGGAATTTGGTTTCTTAACTCCCATATCTCTGCATTTTCTAGGCAGCTAAGTAGATACTTCTGGTTGACAAGGTGAAGAGCAAAATGGTAGCTGGTATTAAATGTGGAACCACATTATCAGCGAAACGAGAATGACCCCTTGTCCAGCTTGCCCTGGACTTGCCTGATGTTAGCACTAGAGTCCCCTGTCCTGGTGAAGCCCTCAGTCCTGGCAAACCAGCATGGTTGCTCACCCAAAGGAAAAGTCCTATTTTCTGGTACCAATTGAGCATTTCAAAAGTAGTTAAAATACGTGTAATTATTTTACAAGACTCTTGTTTTAGGTGGAGTAAAAGCATCGGAATCTCTTCTTTTCTCTTTCCAGCTTTATTGAGATATGATGGACTTATAACATTGTAAAATTAAGGTGTACAAGGTGATGATTTAATATATGTGTATATTGCAAAATGTTTACCACATAAGGTTAGTTAGCACATTCTTTACTCCACATAATTACCATTTTGTTGTTATGGTAAGAGCTTTAAAGCTCTACTCTCATAGCAGCTTCCAAGTATACCATGCAGTCTTGTTAACTAGAGTCACCTTGTGGTATATCAGAATCTCCTGTTAACAGTGAAGAACAGTGAAGCAAAGAAGTGAAATGACCATGGTTAGAAAGCCAATGAGCAAGGAGAAGTTGTTAGACCCCAGATCCCTCCTAGATGCTGAGCACAGATTTGTTTTTGCAGGATTCCACCAAAAAAGGGCTTTATGACCACATTGCTCTGTTGGGCTAGTTGTGTGTCACATGTTAATTCCTGAGGACTTTTTCCTGTTTAATAACAGTGGATCAGAAGAAGCTTTGGTACATGTGGTACCTTTCATCTAAGAAGAGTAATAAATGAGAAAGAATGGGACTACCAGTGTCGCTGTAGGAGATATGAGTAAGAGAACACATTTCATCCATCAGAAAGCCTAGGAGCACTGTCTCGTGGGGGTGGTGGTTAATATACCACTCCATCTCTGCGCTGAAGGACCCCTGGGAGCAGTGGGACCTGTTAAGTGAACATAACAATGCGATGAACTTGAGTATATAAATTTGGGAAGAGGAGTTGAGGTGGCAAAGAAATCCAGAGAAAAGAGAGAATTTGGGCATGTTTAGGAGCCACACGATAAGAGGGAGCGAGAATGAGCAGGAGAGAACAATGGAGCCCAAAAGCTCTTTAAAGACTAGATCCACCTAAGAGGGTGTTCAGCAGAACTTTCTCTTTCTCCCATTTCTTGTGAAGTCATCAATAAACTCTGTATTGCTTATTTAAGGTTTAGGGTAAGCAAATACAGGGATTCAGAGATCCTGAGTTCCAAGTCCAGGGATGGGATGAAATAAAGGACACATGGACCCAGGAGCCAGAGAATGGGGGTCAGCAGACCTCTGGGGTCTGTAGGCACAAGGAGGTCATTTTCAGACACGAGCTGCTTTTGCTTTGTACCATTAAGCCAGCCTCAGGGCTATCCCATTTTGTACCCAACCACCGTCTTTAATCAAGGACAAACTGGATGAGCTCTTGAGAGTTGTGGCTTCACTCACCCTTTGGGTCTCGCCTTCTCAGGAAGAAGCTGGCAATGAGATTGCAGGAGGCTGCTGAAGCCACGGGGGCGGCCAATGCCAGGAATGCCTCCCTGGAGCGGGCCAGGCACCGACTGCAGCTCGAGCTCGGGGACGCCCTGTCGGACCTCGGGCAGGCGCGCTCCGCGGCGGCCGCGCTGGACCAGAAGCAGCGGCGCTTGGACAAGAGCCTGGAAGACTGGAGGCAGAAGCACGAGGAGTCACGGGCCATGCTGGACGCCGCTCAGAAGGAGGCCCGGGCCCTCGGCACCGAGCTCCTCCAGCTCAGGCACGCCTACGAGGAGAGCACCGTGAGCCGGGAGACCCTCCAGAGGGAGAACAAGAACCTGCGAGGTACTCTGGGCCCAGCCTGGAGCCCGAGCAGGAGCAGGGAGCTGGCGGGGCAGGGCGGGGCAGGGGGTGCCCGGCTTCCAGGGCAAGGCTGGCCTCCATGGGCAGACGCCCCGGTATTGTCAGGGACCCCTCAGGTTTCCACTTTGCTGTTTGTAATACTTCTTTCTGAGTTTTTTTTTTTTTTTTACTATAGATGTATTTTTATTAAATTAATTCTAAAAATAAGACTACTTGCCTACCGTTAGCCCCAGTTCCACTCTGCAAAGGCCCCCACTATTAAGAATTTCTTGATATCCATAGCCTTACCAAGATTTTCCACATATTTCCAAGCGTGTATTTTTTTACTCAAATTACGTTTCTACACCTTTTATTTTTTCGTTTATCAGTATATTTTCTAATTTAACCAATATTTCCTTAGCCCATACTATGTGGCAAGCGCTGTTCTGTAAACAATTATTCATTGTTAATTCTCTTACATGTTAGTGTCTTTATCTGTAAAATGCAGATTATGCTGAATCAAGCAAAGCTAAGAATTTGTCCAAATTCACAGTTGATAAGCAGCACATCTGAGATCTGAGCCCAGCCAGCTTGACTCCAGCATAAACCCACTTAACTACTGGGCTATGCCACCTTCCCTGTGCCTCGTGGTCTTTGCATGCCTGTGCATGGGGACCTGCCACATGATTGTTACTAACTTCATGGTGTTTTATAATGAGGATGACTAACACTTATTTAACTAGACCTTATTCATTTTAGATACGATTTTTCACAATTATAAATAATCCTATATTATACATCCTTGTATATATTTTTGTGGACATGTAAAAATATTTCAGCAGGATAGAATCCTAGAAATGAAATTGCTGAGTTAAAGGAATGAATTTTTAAATTTTGAGGTACTGCCAAGTAGCCCTTCAAAGAGGCTGCCAACTTACACCAGCAGCAACAGTGATGTGCATTAAAACCCTGAGACGCCCGGGGAGCAAGTTGATTACTATTGGAGGAGTAAATGAAATTTGCTTTCTCTGTTGACCTACATAGTCCATGATCAGGTCACCAGGCATGGGAGAGGTGCTGGAACAGTGGTTAGGAAACTTGAGCGCATCCAAACCCCCTGGAGGGCTTGTTAAGACACGGAGTTTCAGTATCAGTAGGTCCAGGAGGGGATCTGAGATTTTGCATTTCTAACAAGTTCCCAGGTGGGGCCGGGGCTGCTGGTCTGGGACCACACTTGTCTGAGGTGGGGCTTGGACAGAATTCTTTTTCAAAAGCTAAGGTGTGGTCAGAGTAGAGAACCACTGCTCGGAGTTTTCTCTTGGGAACTCTTCTTCTGGAGAGGGCTTATCAGGGAAGGATTTATTATTCATAGGAGAATTGCCATCCAACAGGTTTGTTTTTGTAACTTTTTAAAATTCTTGTCACGTCACATCACAGCCTGGGATCTCAGAACCAGAGGAGTGGGCAAGCTCTCAAGCTCCTTGCATCGTCTCTGGACTGTGGGTGATTCCCAGGGCTGCTTGGCGCTACCCTCGACCTCTTAGGTACAAAGTCTTCCTCCATGAAGAGGCAGAACTGACAAGAACAGTATCAGGCGGTGGCGGTTTGTCACTTCTGGATGCCTTACTCTGTCAAAGGCCTGCGTTCAGGAGAGCCTAGCCACAAACCCACAACTGCCTGAGCTCCTTCAGATTCTTTGATCTGGCTGGGCTCATGTGTTGGCTTCTGGCAGTGACCCAGTTCATGCTTTAAGTTCCCATCCTGGTGTCGAGTGGCAGCGGACACAATGGCAGCCACTGGTGTTGATAGCTAAACACTTACACTGGGAGTGTAGGGATTCCAGGTCCATGTCCTACAGCACCTCCAGGTGGAATCTGGCATGACTCTGGCAAGCAGGACCACCATGTAGAGTTGTACAGGATGTTCAATGCACAACACTCTAAGAAGCACCATCCTCACCAGCTGTCGTAGGCAACTTTCTGTCAGATGGCAAGAAGGGATGTCTTTTTCTAATTCGAACAAAGGTCCCATGTGTGCCCCCAGTGGCCTTGCCATCAAGTTGCCAAGGATGGCATGACCACGGTCCCAGTGGGCCTCTGGGGACAGTCTGTTGTGTCTGATATCATGGGTCTGAGACTGGTTCCTTTCACTAACTTTGCTTTTCTTCCCTCTCCAGAAGAGATTTCTAATCTGACAAATCAGGTGAGAGAAGGAAACCAGAACTTAAGTGAAATGGATAAGGTCAAGAAACGGATTGAACAAGAGAAGACTGAAGTCCAGGTGGCGCTGGAAGAAGCAGAGGTATTACCTCCAGGGAACAGAGAAGGTTTTATCATTGTGACAAAGCAGAAGATCTGCATTCTAGTAACAAGAACAACAACAAGGCAGTGACACTTATTCCAATGATCAGCACATGCCAGGCACTTGGCCAAGTGTCTGATATGCGTTATTTTATGTAATCACCCAAGCAACCTATTGTCCTCCTTTCACAAACGAGGAAATCAAGCCTCAGAGAACAGAATAAGCAATAGTGGAAGCAAATCTCCTGATTGTAGTGAAAACAGGACCCATGTCTATCTCATTCACCAGCCTAAACCCAGTGCCTAGACCCTCTCTACTCAAAATGTGGCCCAGGGACCAGCTGCATGGGCGTCACCCAGGAGCTTGTTAGAAATTCAGACTCCCAGGCCTCTCCCCGCATTTTAACAAGGTCCCTTGGTGGTTCATCTTCACATTAACATTTGAGAAGCACTGGCCTAGAACATTGCCTGGTGCATAGTAGAGGGTCAGTAAATATTTGTTGAATGTTGAATGAATAAATCTCCTCAAATCAGTCAAAACAATTTTTTTCCAAAAAATTTGAGGCAGTTTTGAAAATGAGATTCAAAGTGATGCTCTCAAACATTTGTTTCTGAAAGCTTGTCTTTGTGCAGGTTGTTTGACAGGAGCGTTTTCAGTGTTATAGATGAAAAGTTCAGGAAAAAGCTCTGATTTTATCCCAGGTGTGTGTTAGTGATTGAAAGGATCACTGACAAGACATTTGCCAAAGAGGGTGAACTCAGAAGGAAGTGATCCTGTCACAATCATTAAGTAGTTAACAAGCCCTGCAGGCCTCCTTTCTCACAGCTGAATTTCATTTTCTTGCCCCACCCTTTGAATAAGCACCGGGTCACATTAAAATGCAGTCCCACCCACTCACCCTCCAGTAGAGACGATTTTTAAAAGACACAGCAGTCAGTTTTAGGCAGGGGCCTTTGGGAAGGTGTGATAATGGAAAATTAGACCCCAAAGGACTGCTCTGTGCCAAGAGATGTCTGTTAAATTTATCTCACCACCATGTTTCTGTAAGAGACCTTCCAGACAGAAGACGTGTCCGTCTTACCCTGTACATAGAGCTGTCAAGTGGACGGCTCTTAACACTGCTCTTGCCTTTTTGTGCATAATTGTTTTCTGAGGTCTTCGACCTTTTATATAGAAACCTTTCCATTGGCAGTGTGATGTCCCCTAGCGAGGCTGGTCCTTGAAAAGTTGTGAACTTTGTTTCATTTACTTGTTCCCTTTGGTTTCTGGCCATCCTGGCCAGGGACTTTCTGAAGCCACCACTTTAACCCAAAGAATTAACTTTTATGGTAGAAATTTCAAGCACCATGACAAGCCAATGAGAGATGTGAATGGACAGGGGCAATTTGAGTCCTGTGTAACACGTAGACATCTTTGTCTATTAAATGGACTAGTGCTCAGAGCAAAGGTGGGAGTATTAAGGCCCCTGCGCTCATACCATTTAGTACCACTAGATGGCATTACATTCTATTCACATTTTCTCAAGTTTTGTCTTCAGCTGCATCCATAAATACTTCATCAACTTGGACATGTATTTGTAAAATTGGGTTATTATGTTCCTGGGCGAGCCTTTATGAGAAACTTAATCAAATTATTTTTGAAGCCACAAAACTCAAATGATCCCAGGTCACCTTCTCCAAAGATTCACTTTCTTGGTGTATTCTAGAGGGTTAGAGGTGAACATTTCACCTGAAGGAAGGGCACCATTCCCTTGAAGGAAATTGTTATCCAAGCATTTGTTTTTTATTTATTTTCTTTTATATTGAAGGTGGTGTTGAGACAACAGCAGCGACGCCTTAAGCCATATTATAATCCCCAACATCTTTCTTATTTTTATTTTGAAATTGCTACTCAGTTTTACTTTTTACTTTTGGTGGTATGGGCTAAGCACCCCTCAGAAGAAGCTAAAAAATTACTCCTGCCTTCAGGACTGTCTGCCGATTGTTAACTGACCAATAGCTTGTTGTCATTCCTTGTGCCCTTTGTAAACATCCTCATCAGTCTCCTCCAAGTGGTATTTTGTTTATTTGTTTCTTATATATAAATTTTGTCTTTGGAACAGGCTTTAAAGATTTAATCAAACCTGTACTTTGAAAGTTGAATCACCTTTATAACATCCCTGGCAGTAATTGCCTTGCCTATATTTAAATACTCAAAGGGGCCGGAGGTCTCCCTACCTGTCAAAGCGATTTATTTGAGGTAGCAGTAGTAATTATGGTGCTAATGGCTCACACTGAGTGTTATGTGTCAAGTACATCCTAAATTCCTTTATTGTTCTTCATATGACAATATTTAGGCACTGTCCTATTTCTTGCCCTCTGAATGCTTTCAACTTCTTCTCTATCCGTCTGTGATGTCTGGAATTAAAGATTCCAGGTAGGAGTCATCACCTTCCTTGTTCTAGCTTTGATATTTTGATTCATCCCAAAGATGGAATACATTAGAAAAAGTCAAGAGTAATAAATTAAAAAGTTTAAATATAGTCACAGACGAGCTTGAACTTTTCTATTTTAAAAAATGCTTTAGAATTCTAGTTCTTGAACTACAGCTGAAAGCCCTAAGAGTCTCAAAGCTGTAAGTGACATGACAAACAGAAGTAATCACTTGTCTCTCATCCTGTTCCGATCGTCAGGGACCTGGTTTGAACTTACGTCTCTCCCAGCGACTCTAAAGAGAGCTACATTAGTGACATATGTTTTGAGGAAAAAAACTTTTGTCCAAAAGTGGGCTTAATTTGGTACTTTTTATTTATGTATTTCAGGGAGCTCTGGAACGTAATGAAAGCAAGGTTCTTCGTTTCCAGCTTGAACTCTTGGAAACTAAAGCGGAACTTGAAAGAAAGCTTTCAGAGAAAAATGAAGAAATAGAAAGTTTAAGGTATTTAAGATTATTTTGGTGAGCACAAGTTGCATGTTTCAGAATCTCTAACTGAACAGAACTCCCTGTGTTTGGCTGCTTTTATGACCCCTGTTGGAACATCACCAGAGAAACTTAGCCAGTCCAACCCTACACTAGCATCTTTCTAGCAAGTTTGTACTCTTAATATAAAAAAATGCCTCGGGGCTGGCCCAGTAGCCTGGTGGTGAAGTTCCGTGCACTCTGCTTTGGTGGCCTGGGTTCGCCGGTTCGGATCCCAGGCGCGAACACACACCACTCGTCAGCCATGCTGTGGCGGCGTCCCACATACAAAATAGAGGAAGATTGGCCCAGATGTTAGCTCAGGGCTAAATTCCTCAGCCAAAAATAAAAATAAAAAAAGCCTCTACACAATTACCGTCACTTTTTATAATTTTCTTATATTGGAGCAGCTTCTATTCTCATACAAGACTTAGGATAAGACATCAAAAAAGCATAGTTATATGTACAAGGACTGTGTATACTGTCTAAGTCTACCTATAGCAAGCCTCTTTCTTGAGCATCCAAGAGACTGAGTGATAATGCTGGACAGTGGAGGAAAAGAACTAAAAAACTTGATGCTGTACATTAAAATTAATGTTGGATCAGAGTGGAGCTTTCACATACCCCCCGCCTGTACCTGTAGCCATTTCTCTGGAGAGGTGCGGGAGCCGGGAGCTAAGGTGCTTGTTGAATCCCTGTTGAAGCAGCTGAGTCTTAATAGTCAGGAAACTGAATTAGACGGGACTCAGGGGCTGCAGGATCTTTTCTGAGCTTCCTCATAACAAGCTGATGACTTTAGACATTCCACTTCTTGGCTTCTCAGTGAAGCGAAGGACGAAGGCAGCCCCCTACAAGTCACAGAAGGTGGTGAGGAAGATCAGTCAGCTGACATCGGCAAAGCACTTCACACTCGATATGTCAAAGGCACCATTGTAAACACGTGGAATTAACTACCATGATGTTATCTGTCTGATCTGTTCCCTTAAGTCAATGCCATATGTCAGCAAGGAAAATCATTTGATTCTGAGGTTCAACTGGCAGCCTGCTTTCAACATCTTTGTTAAACAATTAAAAAAAAACAACCTGATAACATGTTCAGCTGAACTGGCCTTGTTCCCCTAGCCCATTTTCAGGCAAAACCCTCATGGGGTCATTTTTTTAATGAGGATGTCAAGCCCAATTTGGCCCTCTCTGTGCTGAGTTATCTTTGCTCTCCCTCCCCAGCCCTGTCCTCTGTAGGGCTGACTGTGGGGGTGAATTCTGGTCCACTTAAGACACTCTGAGTCAGTGTCTGAAAGAATTTTTTTGATGAAGGGCGGAAACATTGGGCCTTGATATTTGCCCTACTTCCTTGCATGAGGAACAAAAAATGAACGTCTTCTTGTGCAGTTAAAAAAAACCAACCTCATTTCAGGTAACGTCAAACCTGTGCCTATTAATAAACCTAGCTAAGGAAAGAATGCATCCTCAGAGAATCTGCATCTCGTCAGGTACATCTGAATGTCGCGGAGCAGTTCACCAATTATAATAATCTTAGTGCAAGAGAAGCCGGGGATGCAAACAGCTAGGGCCGGGAGAAGAAAGAACTGAAGACGAGACACAAGCTGTGAAGGGGCTGGAAAGAGAAGGGGTGGGCTGGAGAGGGGGGGGAGCTATTCATGAGTTTTAGTTAATGATTCATAATAACCATAATAGGTACATCCGGAAAGGAAAGATGAGCCTGTCTTACAAAATATCACAAATACCATCACAGACCCTTCTGTGTGAGTGCTCCGTGCAAGTGCAGATTGTATCAGAAAGGCCTTGGTTTAATCTCACTTCAAGCCTAGGAGAGGAAGGGATCTTAAGGAAACTGAATAGAATGCCAGGGGGAAACACCAGCAAAGCATACGATCAAGAGCAATCAAAGATAAGCCAGCTAAGTTATAGAACAGAAGGGAAATATTGCCTGAGGGCAAGATGAGGCTCCAGGTCCCACTCCACATAAACCTTGGGAAACCCCACAGAAACTGAAGGAGGCCTGTGAGACAGGGTCCTAGAAGCAGAAGGGACCAGGAAAGCAAGAGAGGACTCAGAGGCAAAGGCAAAACCAGGATAGTGCTGCAAATTGGGTAACATTCAACTCATTCTCTGCTGGCGAGCTCACTCTTCCGTTCCACGAGCACTAATCCTGAGAAAGCTGGCCTGGAGGCCTGTTGGTGGTGAAAAGTATGAGCACCTGGTATGCATGTCGTGTGGTCACTTCTTCAACAGACATGTGAGCACTTCATGTCGGCCAGACACTGTGCCTGCTCTTCTGGCCAGGGCTTCCGCAACTTTTATGGATGATAAGACTATTTTTTTAAAAATTTTACAAATGTTATAATTAGCATGGCTGTAGGTAGGGAGGTGACAATGCACTCACTGATGAAAGGTGGGGAGGAATTTTGGTAGCTGGCTTCGACCCTCTCCAGACTAGACACGGGAAAGGAGGGCTGACATCAGTGGCCAGCTTGAAGGCCAACTGGTGGCCACAATTGCCACGTAAGTCAAGCCCTACCACAAGGCCCAAGACTGGGTTGAAAACAAGTGGGTCAGATGTATCCTGAATCTTCAGGAACCATCAACTCTATCCCTCTCCCAACTCAAGACATTCAAGGAAATACTGAAATGTGTGAGGTCTTCTCACTGGCCCAGAGCCAGAGTGCACCTGGCATGTATTCTGCTCTCTCCAGACACACTCAAGGAGGTGCAGTGGAAGGAGGTTTTGGGAATGAGGCACTGAAATTCCTTACTCTATCAAAATGCATTTGTTTGCTTTGGTTTGATCACCTATAGAAGGTTAGGTAAACGTTTTCTGCATAAGGTCAGATAGCAAACATTTTCAGCTTTGCAGGCCCTAGGGTCTCTGTCACAGCTACTCAGCTTTGCACTTGTAGCTTGAAAGCAGCCATAGACAACTAGAAATCAAATGGGCATGGCCAGAGGTGGCCCGTAACCCATGGTTTGCCCACCCCTGGCATATAGCCTCAGGTATCTAGTGATGTTCCTTTATCTTTTCCTTCCATAGGATCCACTCCTCTGAATTCAGTAATATCAAACTTTACTATGTGGTTTTCATTTATATGCACCATCCAACTTAATTTCTTTTCTTGTCCCAGTCTGTGTCAGAAGAATATGTTTAAATATCTTCTCATTTCTAAGTAAAATATTTTAGTATATTTATCTTTAAGAATTAGGATCTCAAACTCAGACATAGCATTCAGTTAGCAAAATACCTTGTTAATCATTATAAAGTAAATCGTATGTATTGGAATTAAGACAAATCTTACATTTCTCTGATATAGATGAGCAGTATGGCAAAAGAAAAAAATGACCTATTGAATTAATTGTCAATTTTAAGTCATTAGCCTTTTCAAGTTTTATTCTGATCTCTAGGTTTTTGTTTTATTGGGTTTTTTTTGCATTTGGTTTCTTTCCTCAAATTATATTCCATGTTTCAGGGGAAAAGAAGCAAAAAGGAACTCCTTACTAAATTGCCCTGACCCTGAGTGCTTCATTTTTCTTAAAAAATGTACTTGGGGGAGTTTTCATTTTGAAGATTCTTGACTCTGCGTGAAATACGTTAACTGTTTAGGTGTCGTTCGCTAGGCGCCTGACTCACAGCCAAGCCTCTCAAACCACAGCACTTCCTACTTGTCTGCAGGCACTCTTGAAGTTTCATAAACAACTGTGGCAAAAGTACGGTTTGAAACATTCCACACGTCTGCTTAAGTGGCATGTACAGAGGAGTCTGCTCTAGTGTCCCTGTGTAAGGAGAGTCAGCGGTGACAAAAAAGAGAGTTTCTCCAGCGTAAGACAGAGAAGCATCTTATAGCTTTCAGGGATGTTGAGTGTGCGCATCCCTGCCTTAGTTGGCTCGGGCTGCCATAACGAAATGCCAGACTCGGGGTTTAAACAACGGAAATTAATTTTCTCACAATTCTGGAGGCTAGAAGTCCAAAATCAAGATGTCCGTGGGTTTGGTTTCTCCTGAGGCCTCTCTCCTTGGCTTGCAGATGGCTGCCTTCTCACTGTGTCCTCACAGGGTCTTGCCTCTGTGCGCATCCCTGGTGTTTCTTCATGTGACCAAATTTCCTCTTTTTTTAAGGATACCCATCAGGTTGGATTAGGGCTAACCCTAACAGCCTCATTTTACCTTAATCACCTCTTTAAAGGCCCTATCTCCAAATACAATCACATTCTGAGGTACTGGAGGTTAGGGCCTTAACATATGAATTTGTGGGGGACACACAATTCAGCCCATAACAGTCTCTAATGTCCAGTGTGGGGTAGGATGGAGAGTGGGCCACCATTCCTCAAAGTCATTCAAGGACCCGGGTTCCTTCCATCTTGTGATGCCACTATCTTCCATGTGCGGCCACCTCAAGTTTGCCATAGATGGGGAAGAGGGAGTACAGGATCACACAAGTAAAAAAGTTGTATGGATGAGGCTTGGAAACACCTCTATCCATACGACACTGGCCAGAATTCATGTGACTACATGACCCCAGTGCACTGCAAGAGGGCTGGGGAATGATTGCACGCGGTCCCACATTTTTCATTGCCTTCCTGAACACACATCTATCGTCTAAGTTTCCATCACTTTGCAAATACGGTTTCAGCATAGGGCTTTTGTTGTTATGAAGGCATACTGAAATAATTCAGTGTCACACAGCAGCTGGTTTTCTCAGCCAATCCTTGGTTGTATTCTCAAATTCCTGGAGAAAGATAACCTTGCTGTTCTAGGAGAGCTGACCATCTACAGGCTATTAGAGAAGTGTTGCTGGCGCTTGGGACTTGTTCCAACCTGGCTGACTTTGTTGCCTCGTTCAGACATTGTTCACTGTGGAAATAGTTTAAATGTTATGTTTGTCTGCAAGAGCATCCTTCCTTCATCCTTCGCCACTCTAGGAAATGCAGGTGTTTGCCCTAGACTGTCCCTTAGGGAGTCTTAGATAGGCTAAGGCTGCCCCAGGGGAACCTGAAAATAATTCTGGTGCTTTCCTTGATTCTTCCAGGAAGTTGGCCTTGGAATCTTAGTCTGTATTGGTGGACGTATGCTCACTCACCCAACCCTACAACAGCTATGTTTTTAAAGTGAAAATGCTTTAGACTCATATTGTTAATTACCCAGAATTTTTCTTGAATTTAATTTTTTAATTTTAATCTTACACAGCAGGTAACCTTTCTTAATTTGAGTGCATGATTTTTTCCCCATGAATGTTATTCTAAAATTAGGAGGAACCAGCAGTGTGCTATTGACTCGCTGCAGTCTAGTCTGGATTCTGAAACCAGGAGCAGAATGGAGGCTGCCCGGCTGAAGAGGAGCATGGAAGGGGACCTCAGCGAGATGGAACTCCAGCTTAGCTGTGCCCACCAGCAGGTGTCAGAGTCAACTAGATCCCTGGGCCAGCTTCAGATTCAAGTCAAGGTATTTTCTAATTGTAATATGGGGGAGGGGGAGGGGAGGAATGCCTCTGCTTATGGAAGCAAACCAAGCACCAGATTGTGTTGAGCGATAAAAATGAGGACAACAAACCTAATACTTCAAGAGGGCCGGAACATGCTTCCACTTACATCGGTGGAGTTTTGTTCAGCGCATGCGTGCACAGGTGCGTATGCCATTGGACTCAGAGGGGTCTGTGCCCCGGGCCCATGTTTCCTCTTGCAGGACCTGCGGGTGCAGCTGGATGACAGCACACACCTGAATAGTGAGCTGAAGGAGCAGGTGGCTGCGGCTGAGCGGCACAACTCTCTTCTCCAGTCTGAACTAGAGGAGCTGAGGTCCTTGCAAGAGCAGACAGATCGTGGGCGCAGGCTGGCGGAGGAAGAGCTGCTGGAAGCCACAGAAAGAGTCAATCTTCTCCATACCCAGGTGGGGCCCATATATTCTCCCCATTCGCTACATCAGCTGGTTGAAGGCAGGGTTTCCACACGTGGGTCAGCCTTGGACCATACACAGTTGCATGTCAAGCGGTGGGTGTGGCATGTGAGGCATAGGGAGGGCCTTGGCAGCAGAGCAGTGGTCACACTCTTCATTCATCCCCAAATGTATCAGTTCCCTAGGGCTGCCATAACAAAGTACCACAAACTGGATGGCTTAAAACAACACAAATTTATTCTCTCACTGTTCTGAAGGCTAGATGTCTGAAATCGAGGCATTGGCAAGGCCATGTTCCCTCTGAATTTTGTAGAGGAGTCCTTCCTTGCCTTTTCCTAGCTTCCAGTGGTTTGTTGGCAATCTTTGGTGTTCCTTAGCCTATAGAGGCATCACTCCAGTCCTCCACCTTCACATGGCATTCTTCCTGTGTGTCTTAACATCACCTTCCCTCTGTGAGTATCTGTCTCTGTCTAAATTTCCCCTCTTTATAAGGACATCAGTCATACTAGATTAGGGCCCACCCTAATGGCCTCATTTTAACTTGATTATGTCTGTAAAGACCTTATTTCCAAATAAGATCACATTCTGAGGTACTGATATTAGGACTTCAGCATTTGACCCATAACACTAAGCCTTCTGCCAGAAGAATAGTCCATCAGGGCATTAATAGCCTGGATCCTGGGGAGAGAGAGATGAATATTCTCTGGTGATCCGGAATCACTTGCCTACTTCTCCTATTCCCTCTAAGCCACGTGTTCTCTCAGCATCCCAGGATTAAAAAAAAAAAAAAAATGCTCCTGCTTCAGAGCCTCAGAGCCAGGAGATTTCTAACAATTCTGAGTGGCTGCTGACGATGAGCTGTCAGGACTCTGGCTTCTCATGGAAGGTTATGTAAGTGACATGAATTCCTAGCATCTTTGCCATTCTCATAGAATCCGTAGAAACCGTAGTAGCTAGGACAAATGTGTATGGTAAATGGGTCATTCAACAAACATTTATAGGGTGCCCACCATAACCTGGACATGTATATATGGTGTAGATACAAGATGTCTCCATTGTCCAACAAAAATGAAGACCTGAGTAAGTAGTAGTGCACTGCTGTGAGTATAATGAAGGAGAGCACAGCCCTACAGAAAGCCTTCCCTGACAGTCCTAGACTTAGGCAGATGCACACCAGGCTTAGTCTGAGTCGTGAAGGACATGTAAGCAGTCAGCTAGTAGAGAGAAGTGAAGAGCAGAAGCATGGGGAGAAGAGGAAATTGGGGATGTTAAGGGAAATTGATATGCCCTAGAACGTGGGGGAGGGGTGGTGGTAGACTCGGCAGAAATGATGCTAAGTAAGAAGCAGGGAGAGCCAGGTCACCAGGGACCTTGAGTCTGAGGGGGATGGAGTTTGAATTCTGTCTTGCAGCTAATGGGGATCCTCTGAAGCATTCTGAGTGGCTGAGAGTGAAAAGATCAGATTTGCATTTTAGGAAGTTTACTCTGGTGATCGCTGTGAAGGACGGATTGAAACAACGAGGGGCAGAATTGCTGCACTCTGGGGTATTTAGAAATGCCTGTGAGGTCATTTTGGTTGCCACAGTGCCTGGGAAGTGCCACTGACATTTAGCAGGCAGGGTCCAGAGGCACTAATAGTCCTGCGAGGTGCAGGATAACCCACATCACAGAGAATTGCGCCTCCCAGAATGCCAGTTGTTCCTCCACTGAGAAATACTGGATAAAAGGAAGTATAAGCCAGAGATGTACCAACTGGAAGGCATTGCAATTAGTTTGTGCCTGTAGTTTGACTTCTGTGTCCCTGTGCGTGACGCAATTCTATTTGGACACCATGTGGTATAGAACAAACAGGCTGCAGGTTATGCATAATTCCCAGCTGGCTAACTTGCTCCAATGTTTCCTCTCTCTCTCAAGAAAGCTTATCTAAATACAATGAGTGGGATTCTTATAAAGTAGAATATTGATTTTTTTTTGGTGGGGGGAAGATTAGCCCTGAGCTAACATCTGTTGCCAATCCTCCTCTTTTTTGCTGAGAAAGATTGGCCCTGGCCGAACATCCGTGCCCATCTTCCTCTACTTTATATGGGACAATGCCACAGCATGGCTTGATAAGCGGTATGTAGGTCTGTGCCAGGGATCCAAACCTGCGAACCCTGGGCCGCCAAAGTGGAGCACGGGAACTTAACCACTACGCCACCAGGCCAGCCCCCAGAATGTTGAATTTTTAAAAAGTAAATCATCCACTATCTGTAGCACTCATTTGCCATGCATATTATAGCTGATAATGTACCAGTGGGTCCCAATATGATGAAAAACCACTAGCCTAGTGAGAGATGAGGACATGAACCAGACAGAGAGAGGAGGAGATGGATTGGGAAAAAAAAAAATTAGGCAGTAAAGACCTGGTCTTTAGGGCAGTTTCTGTAACTTTAGGTGTGTAAGAGAAACTAACACAAAAATGAAAATTCTCAGATCTCACCCCCGATCTACTGAATCAGAATCTCTGCAGTGGGAGCCAGGTGTGGAGTGAGTTCTCAGGTGATGCTGCTGGTCCAGAGACTACCCTTTGACCAGCACGTATAGGTGATGTACTGTTGGTAAGGACCTCTCCTCCACCTTAACCATGAGGGGGCACCTTGCAATTAGAGAACCCTACCTATCTTTTGATAACAAATGAAACTTTTGAGGAACCTTCTTAGCTCCTTCTGCTTTCTCAGATCTCTAGCCTAGATCAAACACAAGACCAAACTTATCCTTGCCTGATTACGTGTCCTTTTTCAAATCTGCGCTGTGACAATCTAGATTACCCTTCCACACAATACTCCCTAACCCCTTTCTTCCCCCCAAAAACCAGAGAGTCATTCAGCTTGAAAAAGTTGTAACCATTATCTCCCTAGTAGATTTTAAATGATTCTACGTACAAACAAATCAGCATTTATACCCATACTTCCCTCTACAAAGAAAAAGTTTCTAAGGAGTTATGTGCAGTGAGCATCCAGAAAAACACACTTATCCCCCAGGCCACACCCATGGCCGTGGGAAGCCTGGGGGTGCACAGCGCCTGGCTCTCTGTGAGGACAGAGGATGACAGCCTTGATGAAGATGCTTCATGCCATCGAGACAGCAGAGTAGAACCTGAGGCTGGAATATCTTTCTATTTATTTCCATGGCTTAATCCTGCCACTGAGAGAGCCACTAACTAGAGGAAAGTGAAAGGACAATGAGGAGAAATAAAAAACAGAAGCCCGTGCCTTTTATGCACACTCTCTGTGCTAAGGTTTCACACCTGAGAAAGGCTGTGCTTCAATCGTGGACCAAATAGCAGCAAAAGGGGCTTCAGCCTCTTGTCACAAGCAGAGAAGAAAAGAATTAGGGCAGCCTCAGCCACAGAACACAAAGAGCCCTCCAGTGTCGTGGGGGCTTCTAAGGGCTGGAGGATGAGGCTCCTCTGAGCTGCCCTTCCCACCCCCTCACCGCAGTCAGATGGGAAGGGAAGGAGATCAAGAGGAGGGTTTTTTCCCTGGAGCAGCATGCTGGAAACTGATTTTCATTCCCCAACTGGCTGCTCCCCAAATCTCTGCAGCCGACCCTTACTTCTGCTCTGGGACATTGGCTTCTGCCCCATCAAAGAGCAAAAGGCAGAAAAACAAAACCAAACACACGTTTGGGGCTTGTAGGTCACCTGGGATCCCTTTCCCCTTTCTGATTCAGGCCGCCGTCTCTTTGATCCTGAATGGTTGAAATCTCTTCCATCCCGGTATGCCTTTCATGGCCAGTGGCTTTTCTAATGCTGCCTCCTGGGGTGGGAAGTATTGTTTAAGTGAGTATGGCTGACTGGAATAAAACTCACTCCTGGCCAGAGCCCTCTCCCACTTCATGTCCCAAACAGACCAGCTTGCGTTTGCTTTGCTAGTCTCAACGTGTCTAACAAGAATGCTGCTTTTCCTTAGAACACAAGTCTCCTCAGCCAGAAGAAGAAACTGGAGGTTGATGTTGCCAGGATGCAGAGAGAAACTGAAGAGGCGGTGCAGGGGTGTCAAAATGCAGAAGAGAAGGCTAAGAAGGCAGTCACTGAGGTGGGTCCGTTGACTGTCTGCTCACTCCTGTCTTCCAGAGTTGACCGGAGCAGTAGCTGAGGGGCAGGGGCAAATCTGCAGCCAAAAAGGATTCACTGATTCTCCAGACAGCCTGGAGGAGGGTAGCTGACCCCTCAGCCTCTCTGTTCCCATTTTGGAAAATTAGGCCAATTAGCTCCTCCTCTCCAACCTACGGAGACAATGGAAAGGAGCCGTTGAATTGCTATAAGCAAAACTTTACGAAAGCAAGAAATTTTTTTTTAAAGTTAAGCCACTTTCCACTTGTGAATCAATATTTCTGGTGTATAGAAACAATTCTTCCTGTTTTTCTTTACAAACAGCTGTTTTCCTAGGGTCTGTAATGGTTGTATGACGATGATCTGGAAAGAATGCTTATTTCACTTATATTTTACAACCCCTACTATGGCTTGAGTAGCAGACTCAAGTTGGTGAAGAAGGGCTTCAGGGCTGTACCTTCTTTATTTGCAAGTGTAAAATTGTTGATGGCGGTGCTTTCCCTAAATGACGCTAAGCTCAGGATTGGCTGCCAGCCTTGACTACACCTTTGTGGGAACTAGAGAAAGGCTACCCTTGGGGCACCCATTGTGGGCAGTTGCATGCTTCTCTCAAAGGACAGAGCAAGCAGAACCCAGCACTTAGCAGAAACAGTTCACAGAAGGAGGGTGAAGGGGCAAGTGTGTGTATGGAGGCCCTGGGCTTGCTGAACAGAGCCTGGGCTTGATGCCAGCCTCCACTCACCCCTTCCGCATCAAGTGATTTCATGTAGTCCGTCAAATGCATAACCGTGGCAGCAGGCCTGACCTTGCTGTGCGAATGGAAGCTGATCCTCTTGCTAAACAGGGTATGGGAACTGGGGGGACAAGATATTTAATTAGATTTTACATTAGTTGTTTTAAAATTCAGAGGAGAGGAAGAGCTTGTATCTATATTTGCCCGAGTTATTTAGCACTTGGGGAGCTAAATAAAACCTTTGCACCAAATCCTAGCTGTCAGGTCACTGTAGAATCCTGCCCCCTATAAGAATAGAGAGTCGTGCCCATCCCTCGGCCATTTTGTATAGAGGCAGACACTTCTGCTCTCTGACGGAAAAGAGGTGTGTGAAAGCTGGAGCATGTTTGATGGCCAAGGGAAAAATAATATGCTTAACATTTATGAAAATCCACATAGAAAGGAATAAAAAGAGCTTCTACGCCTGCCTGGTAAATTTATGCAGTCACACAGTATGAAAACTCTATCTGCTTAACCTTGCCTTTATAAGATTTTCTTGACAATGTTGAAAAATGAACTCACTTCTTCTTCCTCCCACCCTTCAATTCTCCAATAGTTCATCTCTGAGTCCCAACCCTACACGGCAGAGCCCAGAGTTGCCTCCGTAATTCATTCTTTGCCCTCACCATCTGCACAGAGTCTCACACTTAAATTATACAGATGGTTGGTAACCTGACAGACAGAGGAGCTTTGGCTGGGAGGGCAGTGTTCTAGCATTAAATGCACTGAGAGATTCATGAAACAGTCCTTAATAATTGTGTGGAGACACCAAGCCCTTGTACGCATAGCCAAAGCCAAGAGCAGGCTTCACTAGCGAGAATTAACCTTCCTTGTGCCAGTTTATTGGCACTGAGAGCATCTGTTGCTGCCAAGTTCCTGAAGCCTAAACTTGTTTGCAGTTGTAAATCACAGAATTATAGAAGGGAGATGTGAAGATTTTCGTAGGCACGCCTCCACAATTTTCCAGGTGCGTGATGTTACAGGATGTGTTCTGGTGCTTTATTCACTTGAAAGCTGTGGCTTCAGTTGGTCATCTTTCTTTCAATGCAAGTGTTGTGTAAGCATGTTTATATGGCACTTCATCTCTGGACTGTTTCCACCACCCCTCACCCCAGGCTCCTCAGTAGCTGCCGCTATCTTGATTGCCTTGTCATTAACAAACTTGAGGGCTGCAGAGGTTAGGGAGAGCGTGGTGGGAAGAGATTAAATATACAGAGGCAAGCCGTGACATCTACTCAGATCCGGAACTGAAGGCTGTGGGTGGACATGTTAAGATCCATTGGCTGCTGGGTTGTCTCAGTCCCTTTCCTTCTTTTCTAGGCAGCAAACATGTCAGAAGAACTGAAGAAGGAGCAAGACACCAACGCCCACCTGGAGAAGATGAGAAAGAATATGGAGCAGACAATTAAAGACTTACAAAAAAGGCTGGATGAAGCTGAGCAGACTGCCCTGATGGGGAGTAGAAAGCAAATCCAGAAACTGGAATCCAGGGTAGGAGTTTGCCTGGGTCATCATGGGGTCTTGACCACTCCCAATTCAAGGCCTTATTGTCCTGGAACGTCGCACCAGACATTCCCTGCCTCCCTCGTTACTTTTGCTTTTAGCACTTTCAGGTCTTTGAGTGTCCGATCTCCATATATTCATTCATTTTCGCTTGACTTTGGGCCACCCAATAGGACTTTTCTTGGACCGGATGAAATCTGCCTTCCCTCTTCCTGCTGAGTGAGAAGGCATCTCCACCCACTCGCCCTTCCCAGCTCTAGGCTCTGCCTCGCCAGGGCCGCGCTGTTTCCAACTCCCCTGCACAGTCCCGCTTCTGTGCCTTTGCTCCCGTTGTTTCCTCTGCAGAGAATGCCATGTCCTCACAGCCAGGGAAGGAGAAGGGAAACCACTAAATCCAGGATCAAGAAAGACGTAGTGGAGACATAGTAAGGGCTGACAGAAATGATGTCAGCTTCAGGGAGCTTAAAAACAAATAGAAGACATATCTTGAAAATAGAATTTTTAAAATTACTGAATCAATTTCAATGACAATGTACAGGTCATGTGACAAATGCTACAAGGGTGGAAAGAATATTTGACTGGGATTTGATGGCTCAGAAGGGCCTCTGAAAAATAGTGTTGTCTTTGCACATTTATGTTATATCCTTACAATGGAACACCAAGGCACATTTATGGTATATCCATATGATCGTGCTGATTAAAAAGGAATGAGGAAGAGTCTGTAATACGTCCTGGAGATCATGGCTAGCAATATAATGATGATAAAAGGTGCAGGCAATGTGGGGATGATACAACCTCTTGTGCAAAAAAGAGGGGAAATATGAGCAGATGTACACACTTGCTTATATTTTCAAAAAGAATAACGACAGGATAAAACAAAGACTAATAAAAATAGCTACTCATAGGAGACCACAGAGGTGAAAGTTAGACCTCCTGACTGTAACTTGTTTCATTGTTTTGATTGCAGAATCATATAAAACATTTATATGCTTCGTAATTAAAAAACAGGTTGAAATCAAACAGAAAAAGCAATCCCTAAAATTTTAACACAATTAGAAGCAAATGAAACTAACTGTATATCAAGTTGGGGGCCATAAAATACACACAAAGAACAGTTATTCCCAGTGACTTGTAAACATAGTGTTTTGTCTGTACATTCCTTATGGAATATATCTAAGCACAAAACAAAAAATAGCAAATAAAGCAAACCGCACTTGTAGTTTCAAAATAACAATATCTTATTATTGCTACTAGCAATAACACTAATATAATTATTTATCCAACAACATATACAAGAACCAAGATTTTAGTATGAGAGAAAAAGCATTTAAGTATAAAATCAAAGAACTTACACTATGCCTTTTTTTCCTAAAAAAATACATATATGATACTGGTATTTCCAACTCAAATTTAAGATTGCAGAATTTTATTTTATTTCCAATTGCTGTTAAGGCCTAGAACCAAGGATGACTCAGTAGCAATGAGCTCCTGAATATCAAATGATACTAAGGAATTATAGTTAATTTCCTTAAAAACATCATCATCATACCGTTAGCTATTAGAATTACATAAAGAAATATTTACAGGTGGAATTATATGATGTCTAGGATTTGCTAAATTTAATAAAGCGATTTTTCCCTGAGGTGTTTAATCGCTTAAAAAAAAACACAGCAAAACTGTAAGTACTTAAAAAAGTGGAAGAGGACCTGTGTTAGTCTCGTGTCCCAACTGACACAGCTGTGTTAGGTTTCTATCTGAAAGGGGGCCAGACGATTTTCTTAATGGGCTTCAAGCACAAGGAACTTCACACCTGCTGACTCTCCCGCCCCCCCTTGCCCGCCTTATACCTCTGAAGAAGAACAAGGGGGCAAGTACAGCTAAACTGGGGGAGGGTGGGGGGATAGGAAGCGGTGGGGTCAGACATTCCAGGCACATTCTTACCTCAGGGCATCGCCACTTTGCAGTTTTAAAGGGGTGGTTGTCAGGAAACCCCACTGAGAAGGCGGCATTTGTGTCAAGAAGGCAGGGAGAGAGCCATGGATGTCTGGGGGAAGAGAAGGGGCAGCCAGCACCCTTCCCCCTCAACTCCCTACCCCGCTTCCCGCTTTATTCCTCTCCATGTCACTTATCACATCTAACTTGTTCTGTATTTTACTTTATTTTGTTTGTGTGTTTCCCCTCTTTAGAGTCTACGCTTCCACAGGGGAGAGATCTTTGCTTTGCTGCTTGCTGCATCTCCACCACCCCCCGGGTCTGGTGTGTAGTGGGCATCAGATATGTGTTGGATGAATGTTGTTAACCTCGTTTGTATAATTCTATAAGGCTACAGGCAGATTGCTAGTGTGCAAAATAGCTCTCCCAAGCTGGGTTTGGAGACAGGCAGGGCTGCGGGGCTGTGTGTGACATATGTGTGACTCAGGGTCTGATTTCTTTAGGGAGTCCGAGCTGAACATGGAGAAAGAAGCTTCAGATCAGGTGGTACATCGGCTGAATCCTTGAAGTGTGCTGTATATAGCTTATTCTCCCCATATACTTGCCTACATTCATACATACGTGTGTGTGTGTGATTTTATAATCTAAGAGGGGAAGCTTATCACCTCTGCATGGATTAACCTTTCACATCCCTCAGAGTCTAACCAGTCCTTTTATGAACTTGCATAGTTCAAACAACTCACTTTTGGAGAGGCAGTTTTCCCAGAGAGGTTTCCCTGTTCAACCACGGTCAGAAGGAGAGTGGACACATCTTCCCTTGGTGATTTCCCTCTGTTTCAAATGATCGTGCCAACAGGCAAATACAGCAACAGCCTGGCTTGCTGGCTGCCAGCCTGTGGTCTGAGATCATGGTTGGTTGCAGGTTCGTGAACTGGAAGGCCAACTGGAGGGCGAAGTCCGCCGCACCGCGGAGGCCCAGAGGGGAGCCCGCAGGCTTGAGCGATGCATCAAAGAGCTGACTTATCAGGTACGCCAGGAAACCTCCCCCTGTTTGTCTGGCTGGGCTCTATTCCAGGAAGAATCCTGGAAGAATGTGCTCCTTCAGCCTGAGACGGCCTTCTAGGCCTCCTGCAGCTCCCTCTCCATCCTCGCTCTCGCTTGGCAGTAGACTCTGACTCACCCTTCCAGCTCCTCTGCTATTAGTAATTTGGGCCGTCCCTTTCCAGAGCTCTCAGGAAGCAAAATGTGAGTGGCAAGTTGCAATTAGAAGTGAAGAGCTGTTTATACCGTCCTTGTTTTTTTTACAAATAGTGTCTGCAGCACTTTCAGAAAGATGCCTTCCTGTGAGAGGCTGAGTGAGAACAATGTGTAAATGAACTGACTGGCGGGGACTGGGGTGGCTACTCAGCGCCCAGGTTCCAGGGGACGCTGACTAAATTGGAGCAGGGGACATTTCCATTCCTATTTTCTGGTGGCACAAACACTCCAGGCCACTCAGGACTCTGTCTGGTGCTGGTGCCAGGTGGAAACAAAGCAAATGCTATCAAGAGGCCCCCTCTTCCCCAAGCCTTCTGACTCTGTTTTCCTGCTGACTAACATTGGTGTCAAGCGAGTAACTGGAAAGAGGTAGGCAGACTTCTTACCAGTAACTAAGGCATTTCTAAAGTAGCAATATACTCCTTCACTTCTTTTTTTTTTTTATTTGTGAGGAAGATCAGCCCTGAGCTAACATCCATGCTAATCCTCCTCTTTTTGCTGAGGAAGACCGGCTCTGAGCTAACATCTATTGCCAATCCTCCTCCTTTTGTTTTCTTTTCCCCTTTTTCTCCCCAAAGCCCCAGTAGATAGTTGTATGTCATAGATGCACATCCTTCTAGTTGCTGTATGTGGGACGTGGCCTCAGCATGGCCGGAGAAGCAGTGTGTCAGTGCGCGCCCAGGATCCGAACCCGGGCCGCCAGTAGTGGAGCGCACGCACTTAACTGCTAAGCCACAGGGCCAGCCCCCTCCTTCACTTCTGTTTTCGTTTTCTATCCTTTCTCCCCTTTTCTTCAAATGGAGTAGAACATAGAGTCCAGACGGCAGAGGCACGTACTGTTCCCTCCCCAGGGCCTCCATCTTCCTGGCACAGAGCAGGTGCACATATTTCAGTCGTCAAACACATGCCAAAGGCCATTCTAGGCCCTCTCCCGCCACACAATGTAGCTTGCTACAGTAAAAAGGCAAACTCATTCTAGGCACCCATTTTTACAGCAACTGTGACAGTACTGATGCAAGATCTGTGGGTCCAGATTCTGGTCCCGACGGCTGAGTCCTTAGATGTGTCAAAGTCTTCAGGAAGGACAGTGTTGATAAGAAAGCAGAGCACTTCAGAAGCATCATCTTGGGCTAATTATGATGAAATGAGCTTCTTGCACAGTTCTTCTTTGCTCAATAAGTGGTTCTTTTCTAAGATGAGTTCGTCTGACACTTCTTTAGATCAGGCTGGGTATTATCAAAGCCACTGAAGAGTGAGCCATGGTCTGTGTGGCTAAGGAAGTAAATACCTGGGGAACATGGAGGACGTGCTGGTCTACTCTTCTTTTGAGGGAGGCCTGGGGGGGGCACCCATGTTGAAGGAATGAAATGCTGCTTGTTAATAATGTCTGGGGTTTTCTTCTGTTTATTTTCCTATGGATTATTCTTACTGTTTTCTTCTGTAAACAACTTCATTATAGAACAAAACACTAAAGCTATACTTTTTTGCTTTTCATTGTCCCAAGGAAGGCATTCTTGTTCTATTGTGTTTTATCTTTGTTTCTTTATCGCAATAATCTTAGTGTTCCCTATGTGCTAGTAAGGAGCTGTATTTCTTAATGTCTTCCAAGTATCTGCATAATGCTTAGAGTATATCTATTCAATTATGCCATGATTTTCTGCCATCAAATCAGATAACACCTATTGAACCCTATTTTATGCAAGATATTAGGATAGACCCTGTAAGTTTAAAGAGACATTAGAGAGCCCTCCACTTTCCTTGATCTCAATGCCTGGTTTTAAAGTACTCAAAGTAGATGCTGAGTCAATTCAACATGTTTAACATCAAATATAATCAAAGTAACCATCAGGACCGTGAAGCAGGGTGTTTTGTGATGGTACATCCTAGGTGCCAATTGAAAGTGTCATTTTGAAAGTTTTCCTTTCCTAGGAAAAATCCTCTGCGAAGATCCTACTACGCTGGAGAGCGTATGACCCCCATCCGCCGTAGTTCTATGGCCAGTCCCCATGGAGCATTTGTCTTCCCCCGTATGTCCCTCTAGCATTTGGCAACTCATCCTATTTTCTCTCTCCAGTGCCTGGAAAAATGTGCTATAAAGCAGGACATAAGATTAGGAACTGAAAATTGTTGTAGAAGGTAAAGACTTTTTCTGCCCCTCACTCTCCACTCGCCTGCTCCATTTCATGGTTGCTTCCTACATTCAGAGATCTGTGTGTAGATGTTATATAATCCCTACAAATCTAATTACAGATATAGTATCTTCATTTTTAGGGATAAGGAAATAAAATCTGTTCTCAGGTGGGTTCTCCGGGAACCAGAGGCCAGAATGGAGTTACAAGTACAGGGTATTCTTTATTGGAGGTAACACCTGGGAAAGATAAAGGGAGAGCAAGCAGGATGGGTCAGAGAAAGCCTTCAGACCCCAGTGTGAGTCTGACCCCTGTGAAGGGAGAGGGTGAAGGAAGGAGGATTGGCTAGAAGGAGCCTCAGACTGCGTGCAGCTCCGAGCAAGTCTCCAGCACCAAGATTGCCCATAAAGGAGTCCCATGTTGGGCGGAAATGTCCGGACCCTCGTAACTCTACTGTGCCTAGTTACTGGGTGGGGGTGAGGGGTGCTGCCTGGGGAGTGTGTGATCTCAGGGACGATGCTGGGGCAGATCCGAAAGCTGGAGGTTTTCAGGGAACTGCACTCCTCATGGTTGAATGGCTAGTTCTTTGCTTGAAGGGAAACCCAAACAGAGCACAACCGTGGCTGCTGCAGTTACTTAACCTCAGAGCTGAGACGGGAACCCGGGCCTAAGGTCAGAGGCTCTGCTGCCCAGGTGGGAGGAGCATCATTAACATCACAACCACCTCCAGCATTTCCCCGTTTTCTTCTGTGTGGCCTCTTTTACCACACAGTCAGTTTACTCACACAGTAAATTGGTTTTAAGCAACTAAACCTCTGTTGGTTTTAGAACTTCTTATAAACACATAATTATATGAATTTTCAAATTTCTTAAGCCTGAGAGGTAGGGAAATAAGCAGATGTAAACAGAGAAGAGATTTTATTTAAAAAATGGATTTGTCTCATTTCCCTAACCATGTCATTCCTTATATATTGTTGGTCCCTACGTTAGTGAGCTTAAAATTAGTAATTAATTATCTACTGTCAGATTGTACATTAAGGTAGGGGGGAGCATTCTAGGCAATAGAAGCAGCTTGGTTAAACCTACATTTATTTATTTATATTGAGATATAATTGACTGTTACATTGTGTTAGTTTTGGGTATACAACATAATGATTTGATATATATTTACATTGTGAATGATTATCACAACAAGTTTGGTTAGCATCCATAACCACACATAGTTACAAATTTTTTTTCTTGTGATAAGAAGCCTCTTATCAACTTTCAAATATACAATACAGTATTGTTAACTGTAGTCACCATGCTGTACATTACATAAGTCCTCAGGACTTATTCATCCTATAACTGGAGGTTTGTACCTTTTGACTACCTTCACTCATTTTCCCCACTGCCCCCTCACCCCCACCTCTGGCAACCACCAGTCTGTTCTCTGTTTCTGTAAGTTCGGTTTTTTTAGATTCCATGTGTAGGTGAAATCATATATGATTTGTCTTTCTCCAACTGATTTATTTCACTTAGCATAATGCCCTCAAGGTCCATCCAAGTTGTTGCAAATGGCAAAATTTCCTTCTTTTTTATGGCTGAATAATATTCCGTGGTATATACATACCACATTTTCTGTATCCATTCATCCAACACTTAGGTTGTTTCCATGTCTTGGCTATTGTAAATAATGCTGCCGTGAACATGGAGATGCAGATACGAGATAGTGATTTTGTTTCCTTCAGATAAATATCCAGCAGTGGAATTACTGGATCATATGGTAGTTCTATTTTTAATTTTTTGAGGAAACTCCATATTGTTTTCCATAGTGGCTGCATCAATTTGCATTCCCATCAAGAGTGCACCAGGATTCCCTTTACTCCACATTCTCACCAACACTTATTTCTTGTCTTTTTGATAATAGCCATTCTAACAGGTGTGAGATGATGTCTCATTATGGTTTTGGTTTGCATTTCCCTGATGACTAGTGATGTTGAGCACCTTTTCATGTACCTGCTGGCCATTTGTATGTCTTCTTTTGAAAAATGTCTATTCAGATTTTCTGCCCACCTTTTAATCAGATTTTTGGGTTTTTTTGCTATTCAGTTATATGAGTTCTTTATGTGTTTTAGATATTAACCCCTTATTGTATACATGATTTACAAATATTCTGTCACATTCCATAGGTTGCGTTTTCATTTTGTTGGTGGTTTCCTTTGCTATACAGAAGTTTTTTAGTTTGACGTAGTCTCACTTATTTATTTTTGCTTCTGTTGTCTTTGCTTTTGGTGTCAAATCCAAAAAAGAATTGCCAAGGCCAGTATCAAGGAGCTTACTCCCTATGTTTTCTTCTAGGATTTTATAGTTTCAGGTCTTACATTAAAGTCATTAATCCATTTTGAGTTAATTTTTGTGTATGGTGTAAGATAGTGGTACAGTTACTTTTTTTTGTTTGTTTTGCATGTGGCTGTCTAGTTTTCCCAACCCCATTTATTGAAAAGATTGTCCTTTCCCCATTGTATATTCTTGGCTCTTTTGTCATAAATTAATTGACCATACAAGTGTGGGTTTGTTTGTGGGCTCTCTATTCTGTTCCATTGGTCTATGTTTTTGTTTTTATGCCAATACCATACTGTTTGGAATGCTATAGCTTTGT